GCTATAGTTTACCGCCCTCCGAGCCCATACTCTGAGTTTTTGTCAGAGTTCTCAGAGTTCCTATCCGAATTAGTCCTTCTCGCAGATAAAGTCATCGTCGTCGGTGACTTTAATATTCACATAGATGTGGAAAATGATAGCCTAAGCATTTCTTTTCGGTCCTTGCTACATTCAATTGGGTTTACACAGTGTGTACATAGACCTACGCACTGCTTTAACCACACTCTCGATCTCGTCCTGGCTTATGGCCTCGAAACTGATGCCCTGTTAGTCAGCTCATTAAATCCTCTATTATCTGATCACTGTCTAGTAACTTTTGAATTTGTGCTTTCAGGTTACTCTCCTCACAACAAATTCGTGCTAACTAGAAGGTTGTCTGAAAATGCTGTTACTAAGTTCAAGGAGGTAATTCCGTCTGCTCTAAATTCTGTAGTTGAGAAAAACTTTACTGATAGCTCATATTTAAACATCAGTCCCTTGCAACTCGACCAGTTTGTTGATGATACCTCAGGCACACTGCGATCAGTTCTAGACTCAGTTGCCCCTCTTCGACAGAAAACTATTACACGCGAGAGGCTAGCCCCGTGGTATAATGCTGAAACCCGTGAGCTGAAACAGTTATTAAGAAAATGTGAAAGGATTTGGCGCTCCTCCAAAACAGCTGAAGCTCGTTTTCTCTGGCAGGAATGTCTCGATAAATTTAAGAAAGCCCTACGACGTGCTCGGACAACCTACTACTCGTCTCTTATTGAGGAAAATAAGAATAACCCCAGATATCTCTTCAGCACTGTAGCCAGGCTGACAGACTGTCCGAGCACCACTGAACCATGTATCCCATTAGCCCTTAGCAGCAATGACTTCCTGAGCTTCTTCAATGATAAAATCTTAAAAATAAGAGGTAAAATTAGTAACCTATTGACTCCATCAAGTGTCTCTCTCTCAGATAACCCTAAAAATGTTGAGGAGCCCCTAAGGCCTCTGGTGCACCTTAGTAATTTTGTACCTACTGACCTTCCTGAGTTAAAGTCAGTGGTGCTAGCAGCCAAACCATCGACGTGTCTCTTAGACCCAATTCCATCTAAATTGCTGAAGGAAACTCTTCCTTTGATTAGTACGTCCCTGCTCAAAATGATTAACACGTCTTTATTAACAGGATATGTTCCCCAGTCTTTCAAGACTGCATTGATTAAGCCTCTCCTTAAAAAACCTACTCTAGACTCAAGCTCCCTAGCTAACTATAGACCAATATCCAACCTTCCTTTTATTTCTAAAATCCTAGAGAAAGTTGTTGCGAATCAACTCTGTGATTTTCTCCATAACAATGGTTTATTAGAGGATTTCCAGTCTGGGTTTAGAACCCATCACAGCACAGAGACTGCTCTGCTAAAGGTGTCAAATGACCTACTCATGGCCTCAGACAATGGTTTTCTCTCTGTTCTAGTCCTGTTAGATCTTAGTGCAGCATTTGACACAATTGACCACTCCATCCTGCTTCAGAGACTAGAACAATCTATAGGCATAGCAGGATCAGCTCTCTCCTGGTTTAAATCGTACCTAACAGATCGATCCCAGTTTGTCAATGTAAATAATAAATCCTCTGCACACACCAAAGTCTGCTACGGTGTGCCGCAAGGGTCAGTGCTCGGTCCAATCCTCTTCACCCTGTATATGATTCCGCTGGGTAAAATTATGAGGAAGTATTCGATTAATTTCCACTGTTATGCAGATGACACCCAGCTATACCTATCCATAAAGCCAGAGGAAGCAGGCCAGGTTGCCAGGTTAGAAGCCTGCCTCAAAGATATAAAATCCTGGATGACCAATAACTTTCTAATGCTCAACTCAGACAAAACTGAAGTTCTGGTCCTCGGTCCTAAACACCTTAGAGAGGCGTTCTCTAGTAATTTAGCTACATTTGATGGTATCAGCCTGGCATCCAACTCCAATGTGCGTAATCTAGGAGTTGTATTTGATCAGGATTTATCTTTTAGCTCCCACATTCAACAAATTTCTAGGACAGCCTTTTTCCACCTGCGCAATATCTCAAAAATTAGACGCATATTATCTCAGAGCGATGCAGAAAAACTAGTCCATGCCTTTGTTACCTCTAGGCTGGATTACTGTAATTCTCTCCTATCAGGCTGCTCTAGTAAGTCATTAAGGACTCTTCAGCTGGTCCAAAATGCAGCAGCTCGGGTATTGACTAGAACTAGTAGAAGGGAGCACATCTCCCCTGTTTTAGCCTCTCTTCACTGGCTCCCTATTAAATATAGAATTGAGTTTAAAATCCTCCTTGTGACATATAAAGCGCTTAATGGCCAGGCGCTATCATATCTTGACGAGCTAGTTATACCGTACTTTCCATCTAGACCGTTACGCTCACAGTCTGCAGGTCTGCTCGTTGTACCAAATGTCTCTAAAAGTAGTGTTGGAGGAAGAGCTTTCAGCTACCAGGCACCTCTCCTCTGGAATCATTTACCGCTCGAGGTTCGGGGGGCAGACACACTCTCAACTTTCAAGAGTAGACTTAAAACGTTCCTCTTTGATAAAGCCTATAGTCAGGGCTGATTTGAACCAGCTCTTAGTTATGCTGCTATAGGCCTAGACTGCCGGGGCTATCTGGCACACTGAGCTAGAGTCTGTCTCTATCTCCTCTTTAGATCTTTATGTCCCATATAAGTCACTGACCAGTTTTCTGTCTCTCTGAGTGTCTCTGAGTCTTTTAGCTGCCACTGGACTAATGCTGCAAACGGTCTGCTGCGGAACTGCCTGACCCCAGCTGCATCCATCCTGGGCCCTGAGCTCCTCCATCTCTTCGGCTCTTTGGCTTCTCTGGACCTGTTGTTCCTGTTGTTCCTGCTGCCTCCTGTCTCTCTCTCACCCTCGTTCCCTACTCTCTCTCCCTCCCCCTCCCTCTCCGTACTAATTCTCTCTCGCCTTTCCCCTATCTTGCTGTCTCTCTCCCTTCCCCTGTCCTCTCCTCCTCTCCCCTCTTCTCTCTACATTCCTCCCCAACCCAGCAGCGGCATGGTGGCTGTCTAGCATGAGTCTGGTCCTGCCCAAGGTTTCTGCCTGTTAAAAGGAAGCTTTTCCTTGCCACTGCTACTCATGTTAGTTGAGATGGGCCAAAACCCATCTTAGGTTGGTTCTTGATCATCAAACAATGAGCGCGGTCCTGACCTGCTCTTGTTCCTTGAAAAGCGTCTTGAGATGACGACTGTTGTGAATTGGCGCTATATAAATAAAATTTGATTGATTGATTGAATAATTTTGAGAGTGAAAGTGGGACTTTTTTTTTTTGTTTGTTTGTTTGTTTGTTTTTTGTCGCAATGAGTTCCAGTTACTCAAATATGATAAAAATACGACTGAAAGTAAGGGTCATTCTTGCAGCAGTCGTGGTGTGGATGTATTCTCGGAGACTTGATAATAGTAGTGTGAAATCATGTGACAGTCCCGGTGCTCAAACCTGGAAAAGCTTAGTTACCACATATGGAGATCTTATATTTTAAGATTGGACTCACACCAGCTCCACACTGCTGAGGACATTTCTGTTCAGGCGGCATGTGTCTGTTTGTCATCCTCAAACTGTGCAGTGTGTTTGTTTTGATTATGTTCATCTGCATGTGTGTGTGTGTGTGTGTGTGTGTGTGTGTGTCCTATGGCTTCTAGCTATAGCAGCAGAGAGATGAATGGAGCCCTGTGAAGCACTGCTGATTACACAGCCCTCCTCCCCTTGCTGCAGCTCAGAAACCTTTATGAACAACACAACAGAGAGCAACAATATGAAGACAAGAACAGAGACACAGAAAGGCAGGATGGAACGGAAAAGAAGGGAAAGAGTGAAGGATAAACCAACCGTTAATCAAAATAGACAGAGGACACACATTTTACAGACAACGCTGAATATAAGAGGTTTGTTATTAGAGAAAATCCACAGAAAGGTATTTTACACAAGTTAAAAGATTTCCATCCTGTAAAGTTGTAAGTATGTGGGATGTTCAGCGTCACTCTAAAGCAGTGAGAGACGGCTGGTTTTTCAGGAAGAATACAGCCTGTTTATCGAACTGCATGTTTATGGAACCCACCAGGTGGAAAAACAGCTGTGAGCAGATCCATGCATTGGTGTTTGTAATCCACTCCATGTGCACGTGTGTGTTGTGTTTCTTTACCTGGTACCTCAGGGAGGGAGGGTGATTTCAGCAGATGTCGAACCTATAAAAGGTTGTAAATATGAGGTTGTATATAATATAATATTTTATATGATATACAGCCACTTTGACTCTGCTGACCCACCACACAGAAAGAAGCCCACGTAGCGACTCCGACTGTTACAGAGCGCATTAGCATTGCTCCGGAGGAGAGTGTCCCACCTCCACTCACAGAAGAAAAGGAAATAGTTCTTCTTAATTCTACATCACGAAATAACTTCTTTCTTTCTTTCTTTCTCTGCCCCATGCTCACAGGTCCACAAGAAGTGCATGCTCACACCTCTGTATATGGTCGTCGTTGTTTATTCATGGGTGGAGATCTATACTGATTACCAACTGAAAGCAGGAGTGCACTGTCAGTATAGATCTCTGCCCATGAATAGACAATGAAGAACATATAAGGAGGTCAGCTCCTGAATCCAGAGGAGGTTTTGATAGGAGGTATGTATAAATGTACTAACGTGTCATTGAGCGGTTTGGAGTGACTGAGAATATGTAAACTGTCCCTGATAAGGAGGAAGTTTTTCAGATTGACTCTGATTGTCTGTGGATGTAGAGGATGATGGGTGCTGGTTTTTGTGTTGAATTCAGAGATGATGAAACAAACACACAGTAAACTTGTGCCTGCCCTGTTTTGCTTTCACATCCCTAAAACCACACCCATATTCCCTCATCCTCACTCTGATTGGATGAGCTGCCAGCAACAGTCCGCTCTCCATCCCCTCTGTTTTCCCCCTCCCTCCCTCTCTACCTCTCTCTCTCTCTCTCTCCGTTCAGCTCGCCAGTGAATGAGTCCACTCAGACACAAGCTGTTAGACAGAACAGCCTCTCTCGCCTCTCTCTCTCGCTCTCTGTCGCTCTCTCTCTGTCGCTCACCCTTGTCCTCTCAGAAGCAGACAGCCAGCAGAGCATCGGCACGGCAACAGAGCGACACCGGACGGACGGAGAAGAAGAGACACAACACCCTGAACATTTACAGGAGGACATCACCTGCTAGACAGTGTTAATCAGAGCAGGAGCAACAGATTGCTCTCAGTTGCATGAAGCTGTTGCTGCAACTGATGCTCTCCCAGCTGATCTGAGCTGGATCGGCGACACCTCCTGCAGAAAATTCCTCCTCCTGGCTTTCAAAGTCAGAGTGAAAGATGCTTTTGATTTGTCACGGCACAAGGGAATGACATCGCCAAGCAACAGGAACAGACAGCTTTGAACCAGCACCTCCTCCCCTCTTCCTCCCTCCACCAGGATTTGAGGAAGAGCAGACATCCGAGCAGTGAATGCACAAGCAGGAGGAGGAGGAGGTCAGACTGACGAGCAGAGTTCAGGGAGTTTTCAGTGAGACAGAAAAGGCAGGATCAGGTCCTGTAGAGGAGCACAGAAGAGAGTTTTTATTCTCTGAGATAAGATCATCAGACCCTCAGCTGGAGCTCTGGGATGAAGACGAGAGTGTCTGAGGGTATCTGCAGGAGACCAGGAGCAAAACAAGAAAACTGAAGCAGATATGAGAAGAAGAGGAGGACTCAACTCTGCCCTGCACTGTCACAGATAAATTTAGAGAAGAAGAAACAAACTGCAGCACTGAAGAGAGGCTCCTGAAGGATGGTTTCACTAGAGTTTGGATCTGTGAGCGGAAAAACAGCACACCACAGTCTCCATCCAGCGTCTTCTTCTTAGAGTAATTCTTAGCACCGACAGGACTCGGTGCAAGTGCCTGGGGGTTCTTCTTTGACTCTTCTTGAGGTGGATCTGCCGTGGGGGGCAGCTGACAGCCGTCCAAGACGCCGCGCGCCGTACTCCGCGTGAAGAATGCCCAGCCGCGCCTGGCCAAGCCGGCCGACCCGGGCCCGACAGCGGGCCTCTACATGGAAAGATCACAGAGCCGCATTAGCCTGTCGGCTTCCTTCGAGGCCCTCGCCATCTACTTCCCCTGCATGAACTCCTTCGATGAGGACGATGGGGGTGAGTGAGAACCGACTATGATAACCGTATGATAACACACATTCACAGCAGGCAAAAATGAAACATAGATCATCTGCACATGGTGTTACTCACCTGGAGAGCTGGTGTTTCTGTTCACACATCAGGTGATGTGCTGCTTCCATGCCAAGAGGACGCTCTTGCTGTGTAAACGCCTTTGGACATGTGCTTAAACCCTTTACATCCAGCATGAGATATATATAACCAACAGTACAATCATGTAGATTTAAACATGTCTGCTGACACTAAGTTACTGTTAAAGTTAATCCATTCATCCCTCCCTGTCCTGATGTCTCTGAATAGAAAAACTGTTTGCATTGGTCAACTAGTCAAATTTAAAGACCAGTACCTTTACTTTAAGCAGGCGGGATATGATCAGCAGCAACTTTTCTGCAAACTTCAGAGAAACACAAACCATCATCTCAAACACAGTCATTGTTGATGTTTGAAACACTTCTGGTCACATATCTGCAGAGGAACTTTGTTTATTATACCCATTATTATACCTGCAATCGGTGCTGTCTCTGCATTCACTCACTCTATGCATGCATGCTTCCTGTCACCACTTTAGAGTCTATGAATGGATGCTGCTCCTCTGCAAAAACCCACCACACACACACACACGCACGCACGCACGCACGCACGCACGCACGCACGCACACACGCACACACAGTTGGGTTGCATATCTATCTTTGTTCATTTCTGCAGATAAAATCTGTACTCCTGTGTTTCCTCTAATATAGATGCCTCTGATTCTTGTCTTCTTTAAAATTACTGCCATGCACTCATTGCTGGACGTCGTTTTTGCATTTAGAGTTGGCTGTAAAATAAATAAGCACTTTGCAGTCCAGGCAGGGTTGCACTACCAGCTTTCACTGTCAATATTTCACCCAAGTGTGGACCACGTTCCTAAAACCAAGACCTCTCAAATGTTTTGACCATGAGCCTCCATCCTGATGAACTCATGAATGAGGTTTAATCTATTCTGATCTGGTGTTAACATGCCTGAGAAGCAGACTGTACTTGGGGAGAACATTGCCACAGTAATTGAGTGAAAGTCTGACTTTGTGACAGCTCTAATAACATTTAATGAATTCCTAACACTGAACTTGAGGTCAGATGAAGATGGTTGCCGTGTGAATAAGGTCTATACGGTGATATCCCTCAAACAGACCATGTGTTAGATGAAATGTCTTCATCACACATGTTGCTTTTTGTTACTGAGTGAAGCTTGTTCTCACTGTGATGATCCTACTCTCCAACTTTGTGGACATCATAGGTCACTTATGTGGAGAAGTTGCATCAGCAGAGCAGGTCCAGGCAGTAAAGTACGACTTCTGTGGGTTAAGGTTTGACGCTGATGGATTCGTGTTTGGAGCTGAAATTCTCACTCCTCAGAACTTCAAATTTTAAAATGGGTGTTTTTTTTTTTTTTTACCTTCCTCCTGTGTTAGATTTTACTACACACCCACAAGGCTAACGGGTTGGTTTCGACCCTCGTCTTAAATCAGCTACAAATTACACTAAAAACATTTGGTTCTCATCTCTCGGTTACCTTGTTAGGCTTCATTATCCATGAAAATATCGCTTATAATATTTTTTGTGCTGGGCCGCTGGACCTTTCTCTGTCAGTGAGCCCCTAACATGGACATCTATAGTGAATTGATATCACATGTCTGGACATGTCCATTGTTGGTTTTTGTGCAGAGAAAAACATGGAAAAATGAGAATATCCTAAATTTCACATAATTGGAGGATGATCCGGGTGTAAGTGCACTTATGATTTCAGTTTTGGCTCTAATTATTGCTTTTTAATTTAACCGGGTCGACAGTGACCCTAACACGACAGGTGCCGTTATTTCTGCCAGAGTATTTTATAATTTAGTAAGTTGATTTTTTTTTATTGTGTTGAAATAGAAGTTCCTGATAATGTCAAAAAGTCTTAATGCAAAAAAAACACATTTATGTGGTCCTTTTACCAATTAAAAACAGAAACAGGTCGGTGCCGACCCAAACACAGGGGGAGGGTGTTAATGAGTAGTAAAGGGAAGAGCCTCTATGACGACTTGACCTGATTGTATAATTTGCAGTCTTCCATCTTTGCTGCTTTCTGGACCCCAAACAGAACCGATCTGATTTTTCCCCCCGTCTCAGCACTATCCATCAGCGCCTTTATGCCTCTGTGTGTGAGCGGCAGAGACCTGAGTGATCCCGTCAGTATCTCTGTGATGAGATTGTCAGATGATGTAATTCGTTTTGCTCTGGACTGGTTTTATTGCTCCTCATACTAATCCTGCCTGGAACATTTCGGAGCAGGGTTGTCTTTCGGAGGAGAGGATCTGAGGAGGAGGAGGAGGAGGAGGAGGAGGAGGAGGAGGAGGAGGAGGAGCTGACAGGTTTCTGATGAAAAATGTGTGAACACATTTATAAGGATAGGTAATAGATCTAAAGTAGGTCACTGTGTTCTTCAGAGAGATGAAGACATAAAAAAAAACATTTCAGATAAAGAGTTTATTAGGGTTGGGGTTTATTCACATTAGTCTGACGTTTTAAGGGTTATTTAAGGATAAATTAATACATTTATTAATAAGTTAATTTGTTAAAAAGTTTTTTTTAACAAAATGATGCTTTCTTTCCATAAAAAAAGCACAATTATGGATTTATTCATTCTTACAGGGTGTCAATTTTAACGTTTTATTGTCTCATTCATTTTAAATAACAGCTAATTAAAGTTGATCAGGGGTCTTTTAATTAAAAGTGCTTTAAAGTGGAGTTCGTAGGCAATAATAAATGTTAGTAACAGAGGCTCATACAGTTATATTAATTCAAGTTAACACCTTATTTAATAACCATCTAACTGATAATAATTATCATTTACTGTTTTATCAAATTAGTTTATTTCACAATATTCAAACATGCACTCACATTAAAGTAAAATGAATCTGACCTGACTCACATTTTCAACTCCACCACAGAAATAATAAACCATGAGACTTTAGCAGTTTACAAGTAAACAGTTCTTCAACGACAGACCATATCCTCCAGGTTCAGAGTTTTTCTGCTCAGTTTTGCATGTTTCGCTGAATTTCTGCCCCATGACCCAAAACTCTGTTTTAAGGTGATTTTAGAGCTTAAGTACTGCTGTTATATCACCAACATTCACATCATAAAAAGCACAAGAGAACAACTGCAGCTTGGTCAACACATTTAACACGACTTTCATCCTTTATGCTCTCGTGGCTGACGAGTAAAGGTGTCAAGAATAAAACACGTTAGAGGAGGGACGTTTGTTTTTATGTCTTGGCCAATCTTACAGTCCCTGACTTTCATAGTTTGTTCAGTTTGTAAAAACTCTTCGACCCCCTTTGTTGTTTTCTCTCTCACAGCATTTCCATCTGTTGTTTTTCTGAACTCTGTCTTTAAACATACCTGAAGTCCAGCTGCTTTTTTACCCCATCTCTTTACTGTTTCACCTGCATGTCAGTGAATTTCTGCAGAGACATTAATTGTGAAAGTTGAAGCTCGATCAAATCTAACAATGTGCCGAGAGAGAGAGCAGCGATCAGGTATAAAGAAGCTGCACCATTAGGTGGTAAAGTCAAGATTGTCAAAACTCTCCTGTTGTTGCATCACCACAGGAGCCAATTACAATGGCCTCTGGAGGAAGCGGTTTAGTGGGTGGGTGGACTACATAAGCAATGCAGAGGCTTTCTGGACTCTGTGTCTTCAGGGCTGATTGGCTGGAGGACAACTGTAGTATCCATGGCGAACAGAAAAAGAGTGTTTTTCATGAAATTGGACCTTCACAAATTCTCCCCAGCAACTCCACAACTGCTTTAATGACCCAGTTAGCAAAAACTCTGTTTTATATCCTAATTTCTACAAAAGTTGGACACTTTCTGAGAAATTTGCATCCTGATAAAGTCTGGATATTTTTGAGGAAAACCTACAGTGTGTGTTATAATAATGTTATCTCGATATTTATGGAAAAGTGGAAAATCAAACACTAAGCTTTCTGATAGTCTTGGCTGATCAAGCCGATATTTGAACTCTCTGTTTTAATAAGTCGGTACAAAGTATGATCTTGGTTTCATTTTATTGCGTCTAACTGTAGAAGGATAAAAATAATCAACCTTTTTTATGATTTAAGAGCAGAACTTACAAATGAATTTTCTCAATTTAACTGGTTGGAGGTTAGGCTGAGATGAGGCGTTTGTGACGTCTCTTTAGAAATCAGTCACTCATATTACCGTGGCCGTGTTTTATACAGTCTCCAGTCTCAACCACAGCTGACTGATGAAGAGATGAATGTCTAAACTATGATCTGTATCTGAGAATCATAACCACATCTTCTGCAACAGGTTTTAAACTGCTGACTGACTTTTGTTCCTTTGAGCTTCACACACAAACATACACATAGACTCACACACACACACACACAGACTCACACACAAACCTGAATGAGCACTCGTGCATTCACGGAAATACGTGAACACAAATGTTTCTGGATACACATGTACTCACAGGACGATTTCAGTCACACACATATATGAAGGGTATGTGTGTGTGTGTGTGTGTGTGTGTGTGTGTGTGTGTGTGTGTGTGTGTGTGTGTGTGTGTGTGTGTGTGTGTGTGCGCACGGTAATCAGAGCGGAGCGGCAGGCCGTGGTTTGTAGCTCTCAGTCTAATTAAATGCTAATATGGCAGCTGACTGCAGCTAAATAGAGGCCTGATTGCAGGTTCATTCCCTCTCTCTCCTGTGCTGACTGGATGTCTCTCTCCCTCAACCTCTCAGCCCACCTTTTACTCTATGACTTATAAATCCTGTTTTGCAGGTTAACTCTGTCTTCCCACCTTTAATTGTCTTTTAATCACCCGCTCCCTCGTTTGCCTTCACTCTCTCCCTTCACTTCAGGGTTTTTCAAACAATAAAGTATTTTTCTAATAACAGCAGAGCAGTGAAATACTGATGATATAAGGGCAGCTTAACTGTTGGAAAAACAAAATAGGGTGTTATATTGAGCATGTTTCCACAGGTTTGGGCGAGGAGGCGAAACATGACCCATCACTTCCTGTTATAGTCAAATATTCAAGAGTGTGAAGTCAAAACAGACACCTCAGCTCCACTCTGGGGTCTGTCAACATGAACTCAAATTTCTTTTTTATGAGTTTATTTATAGGAGGTTTTGTGACATTATGGCATTATATCATCAGACAGTTTGATTGTGAGATATATCAGCGTATCATCAGCATAGAGGCAGAATCAGAAATTATGGTGACTAATAATGGTGATAAAAAGAGATAAAATAGATTGTGAACTGATCCTTGAGGTGTGCAAACAGGTGTCTCAGTGGTTGGAAGACTGGTTGTGCTCTTTACGACAGATAATTTAATTCATTTTACATGTGGATGTGTATATCGTCTGAGGTTGTTGTATGTACAATGTGAGAGTCCAGTATCCCACAACCCGACTCAGGACCCTCCATCCATCGGATTTGACGTCCCAGTTCTCAAAAGAATGAATTAAGGAGATTTCAAAAAATGGTTATATTTAAAATCTAACCAGGGCGGCCAACCTAAATCATTGGGCAAAAAGAAAATAATAAAACTCAGTGAAATTACAAAGCTGTGTCATTGCCTTAGCCACAGATGACCCAAATAAACTGAATGAGTACAGACTTGATATTTCACAGATTTACGAGCTCCTTAAAAGCAAAGTCACCCTAAAATCAAACACAGAAGGTGAGCTCAGGTAATCATCATTTTACCGTCACCTCAGAAAAACAAAAGCAATACATAAATCTCAAAGTGTCCTCACATCCCTCCCTGACCTGAATTAGTGTTTGCTGTTTCTCTCCTCTGTTCACATGTCTCCCACAATGATGAGACACACACACACACACACACACACACACACACACACACACACACACACACACACACCTATAATATGTGTTATCTGGCAGCTCAGGTTTCAGATTTCACGGCTGATGGTGACAGACTGACAGCTGATTCCTCTGCATTACAGAGTGAATGAATGTAAAACATGAAAAATGATTCCAAACTGGAATCCACCAAATCTCACAGAACAGGTGGAGATAATAGACCATAACCATCCCCTGTCTTCTGTGCCACCATGTTGGATTTCTCTGGCCATACAAGGCCGACATATCGGAACTGAGAACCAGCTCCAACTAGTTTGGGGCAGGCCATAAGTATCATGTCCTGAATGTTTCCCAGTTTGATGCAGTCCCCTTAGCTCTTCATGCAGCTGAAAGCCATGACACAGAGAGAGCAAACCAGAACCAAGGACTGAAGACAAGCTCAGTCCAAACTGCTGTCATATACCTCACAACGTTGTTCTGTTAGCAGTATCAGCTCTAAAAACAGGACTGTGTGATATACCAACCTGCTTTAAAATCCACTCACTTCTACATGATAAACTCTGTTTCTGTAACACTGAGGGACTCTGCAGATAAGATCAACATGTATCTGGATCCAGTCCCTCAAAACTGTGATGGTTTTTGTATGCATCTTAACATGGGACAGAAAGATCTTCAGGTTCACCCCCTTCCCTTGGCCTTAAATCTGCTGCAAGAGGATTTGGGTTAGAGAAATCTGGACTCTCTAAATGATTTTAAAGTTGTGTTGTGTCATTCATCAACGTTTCATTCAAAAGCACAGAACTGCTATGTGAACGACGTGAATGGAATCACTCCGACACCTTATTCGTTCCTTTTTCAGTTTAGTAAACGTCTGTGAACGACCTGTATCAGTCAGTGAACGAAACAATTTGTGAACGACATGCTTCAGTCAGTGAACAAAACAGTCTGTGAACGAAACGTCAGTCAGTGAACGACATGTATCAGTAAGTGAACGGAATGATTCAGTCTGTGAACAACATGGAACGACTTCCGATTGACTTGATGCAGACAGAGGAGGGAGGAGTCTAGTGTTGTTCACTTACTGCTGAGCACCGGTTTATTCACTGAGGCTAAGATAAAACAGTGCATTATAGTGCCTAAACATTAATACATGTGTATAAACTTTTCTGCAAGAAAGAACAAATTTTAGCCAATTTAAAGCCATGTGCTATTTGATATCTTTAAAATGTAGCAGAATCCCTGCGACAGCTGCAATGTTTATTTACTTTAAATCTCTCAACTTTTCCGCGATATAAAAGAACAACCACTCAGAGGACAATTGCGGAACAAGCATGTGCGTTAGTGGATTGCAATGCTCGTAAGAAAGCTAATCATGATATCAGCTTTCATTGTGTCCCTGAAGACATTTGTGTCCGAGAGATGAATAGCTCCTATGTTACCTGCCACTTCTACTACACTGACCCATCACTTGAGTAGTACTACTTCAATTAGTAAAAAAAAAAAAATGATTGAAGTGGGACTTTGGAGACCTTCTTTTATGTGATCCAGGATAAATTAACATGTTTTTAGTTCACTATTCTGGTGCTGCAGATCTTTGCTCGGGAACTCTTGTGTGACGGATTATTAATCTCAGTGAGGCTTTAATGGCTGAAAAATGTGAATAAAATTAATAAACAATGAAACTATTTATGCTATTCTTGTTGCACCAAACAGTGCAAGTGCCCTGTTTACATCATAAAGATTTAATCCAGATTCAGAGGCATCAGCATGCTTCAAAGTTCACTATTTAAAGTAGATGCATCATGTCAGGTTTCATAAATCAATCACCATTTTCAGAGTGTAAATCTCAAGAAACTCCCCCTAGCATATTGTGGACAAATTGAGAGTTCATATTGGAGGATTTTCTGGACCTTAATGGGCGTGGCCACGGCAGCTTGTCAAACTCTGATGTTTCAACATAAAAAAGGAAGTTGATGTTGCTCTTTCGTATGACACTCAACCTCTTTAAAATTTTATTTACATGTTTAACATCTACCTCTGAACATAACTATATGCTGATTTTTCTTATAAAGTCATAGCACCACCTACCTCTGCTTTAAATCCCAGCTTCTTTTGGTCACGGTTATAGTTATAGCACCAACTGTTGAAATCGTCATTACCCCTGTTCACTTGTTATTCATTGCTGCTTGTTGCTTTAATTTTAAGTCTGCAGTTGAAGAGTAAGGAGTGAAATCTTTGACTAATAATTTCAGCAGGAAACACCTGTAATTAGGATCCATAAATAACTCAGTCAGCATTATGGATGAAGCATAAATACAACCACTAAGCCCTGAAACACACTGTCCATTATCAGCAAAGTTACAACACCAGAAAGTCATTTTTCAAATAGTATACTTGTTTTGGAGGTTATTTCTCCTTCATTCGGAGCTGCACATTAATCAGATTCAGAAAAAGGCGCAGCTGCTGCTGCTGCTGCTGCTCACAAAGACTAATTGAGAGCATGCTTCTTTGTTTGCTGCTGTATTTCTCTGCTGCAGGGACCTTCTGTTCCCACAAGAAGATAAAAATGAGGAACCCTTAATTTCCTGAATGAACAAAGTCTTGAGTGGTGACAGCAGATTTTTGCTTCTGCTTCATCATGGTTTGTTTCTTTTTGTGTGCATTTCACTGTTGTTAAATTGCTTAGCTGTGCAGAAACCATCATTTCTCTGCAGGACCGATGATTCTGGTGAAGACCTTATGAATAAAAAACATAAGAAAGGCCTCTGAAGGTTTTTTTTAAGAATAGGCAATGTATGACAATTGTGCAACTTTGTGCAACAGACACGTTTTGGTTGTGCTGAGGCACTGAACTTACTAACAGATTGGGTTGCTCAAATTGAGTGAACGACGCGCATTCAGGTCATCTCAACTTGAGCAGATATTCACATTGCAATAACCAGTCAGTAGGTAGGTTCCTGGCTACGTATGAAAATGGACTGGATGTTCACTGATGTGAAAATATAAACACAAATCCTTTTACTCGCAGTAGACAGATGGACAGGCACTCTGTAGCTGGAATAGAGCGCATGTAATCGGTTCCTGGAGGGATATCCTGGCACCGACCCTTACCAACAGGTCATCAAAGTGGGTTCGGGTGACCTGAAAATACCGCTGGAAATGGCTGTCATCCAGGCCCAGCTATTGGAGGAGACCCATCTATGGTTGTGGGCCTTCCACAGTGAAAACAAAGCAGCAATCAGCTAAACGTGGTTCACTCCTACCATGCTTGATGGAGACTCTCCCCCTCTCTCATATCCATGGCTTTTTTTTAAAAAAAAAAAAACAGGACTAAAAAGGAGCTCGCCTGGAGGAAAGTAAGTGAGGAGGTCGGGTTATCTGGTTGTTTGTAAAAAAAAAAATACTGTTGTCTATCACTTGATCCTGCTGGTTGAATTGGCAAGGATCACTGTTAAAATGAGCATAAAAGGATAACCACGGCTTTTAAGCTCGCTGTTGATGCACAAATGGACTTCAATGATTGTCATGAATATAGCAAATCATTAGCGTGAACGGAGCAAGTAAATACTATTCATCCACGCGTCTAGGTTCACGCAAAAATTAAGCGAGTAGATGAATTTACTTGCGCTTGGTGTGAACGCCCCATAATGCAGCCCCTCATTTGAACACACGGAGAGGAGAACTTAGCACTGTGCAGGCAGAGTCTGTATAAGATATCCTAAAAAGTAAACATGCACAGGAGCTGTGATGCTGTTACCATCACAGGTACCCAGAAAACAGGTGAGTAAGTGACACAGATTTTCCATCTTTGAGCTCATGAATGTTGGGACACATGTACAGACTGATAAATTCACAGGCTCACAGAGTCTACTCTTAATCTTACTGGAATCATGCAAGGGTAGAGAGCTGCAAAAGTGACAGCATGACAGTGACAGTTGCTGATCGTTTTGGTACTTAATAGGTTAACTAGTTGATGGCTTCTCTCAGTAAGTTAATTCTTGCTTGGTTCAGATAAATCACCTAATGGAGCTATAGTAACTTAACTGTGTGTGTTTGAGCTGTATTGAACATAGTGTTGGGAAGAGCAGTTCTTCTAAAGATTCAGTACTGAATCTTTAGAATTGGTTCATTAAAATGATTCGTTCAAAAGATTTATTCAGTCAGGGCTTCGGAGCCCCGTCCTGCTGGGTGCAGTACATGAGTGAGTGACACAGCGGCACTAAGCGGGAGTTCGTTCATTGACTGAGCCCCTCCCCTCCCCTGCTGCTGAAGTCATAGCGTTGTTCACTGGGTGAACACATGTCGTTCATTCGCCAAGTCGTGAAAAAAAAAAAAAGAATTCCTCTGCCCTGAAAAACTAACCTCTCTGTGTGCCGCTGACGTTTGCATCGCAACGACAGTGAAACAACACAGCAGCAAGCAGCAACCCCACAAACGGGCATGAGTTGTTGTTCTTTTATATCGCAGAAAAGTAGAGAGATTAAAAATCAATAAATACTGCAGCTGTAGCAGGGATTCTGATACTTTTAAAGATATCAAATAGCGTATTGCTTTAAAATGGCTGAAATTAAATCTTTCTTACAGGAAAGTTTATAGACATGTATTAATGTAAAGGCACTATAATGCACTGTTTTATCTTAAAATACATTCATCCTCAGTGAACGAACCTGTGCTTGGGAGTCTGTGAATGACACTTCGCCTTTCCCTCCTCTGCCTGCCTCAAGTCGTTCAGAAGTCGTTTTCTTTCGTTCACAGTCTGACTGATTCATGTCTTTCATTCGCTGTGAGCCCACTCGCTGGCGGGCTGGCTGTGTCATTTGCCAGAGAGTCAGAGGCGGCAGTTCCACTCCCAACCGTCCCGCCACGCTCGTGACTGAGCGCAATTGAACTGAGAAAGGATTGAATCAGGTCTTTGAGTGATTCCATTCATGTTGCTCATGTAGAAGTTCTGTTCTTTTGAACGAATTGTTCATGGACAACACAACACAAATAAAACAGAGACTCAAGTTCAAGCAGAGTCCACTGAACCGTTAGACTATGCAAGGAAATGGACCAGGTTCTGTGTAAAGTGGACCAAACAGCTTTGATGTGATTAGGACTTAAATGACAGAGTAAGGCCCTGAAACCTGCAGGATGTGTTTATCGTGTTCAGGACAGGACAAGATGACAGGTGTGTGCAAGAGTCATATTTCATAGTTGTGCAAAAAGAAAAGGGTGTTCTTCAGAGAGGAGAAAAGGCAAAAAAGTTAGATCTGGTGGGTCAAACATACTCCTTACTCCAAAAAGGGGTCTTAGGTAAAACCAAGTCTTAGATAAATCCCCATACAACCCTGCTTTAAAACTACAAACTACCCCTTTAAATGAGAGGGCCATTGATCAAACCAACTTAGGCCCGAACTACACGAATGCGGATATATTTCAAACCGCACATATTTATGTCTGATTAGGCCTCCTTACCACACCAAAACGGGAGTTTGGAACACTCAAACCGGATAAATCTGAATCCGGAAAAACAAGTGGAGAAATAAAAAAATATCCGTATCCCGTATCCGTAGTGGATTCGTGTGGTTGGACTTTTACGGATCGATGACGTCAAACTGCAGCTCGCGCATACGACTTAAAAAGAAAAACAACAACAACAACGACGGCAGACAGACAGGGTATTCTTTACGTTTGTTTTGCCCTTTTGGGGCTAATTTCAGCCTTGCAAGTGAACCTTGTTTTACACAATTACATCCACCAGTCAGCCAGCTCACAGACGCGTCTGCTGCAGCCAATACTTTTATTGGTCACATGGTCCGTCACATGGACCCGACGCACTAGCATAGCTTCCGCAAACAATGCATGACGCATCACGCTGTTACGATTCATCGGCCAATCAGTTAGCTTTGTTCCTGAATTTTTTTAAGCGTCACCAGATAAGATTGAGTTTGAAGGCTACGTGTGGATGCAGATATTTTTGAGAACTAACACGTGTGGACAGATACATTTATTTAGACGGGAGTACAAAAATATCCTGATAAATAAATATCCATATACGTGTAGTTCGGGCCTTAGAGTGAGGTCAGGCTGAAAGTAGGAGCATGCTCCAAACAGCACAGTGTCATAATAGCAGCAAAGATAATGAGATGTCACTTACTGAGAGAGGATCTGGGCCATTAGCCTTCAACCAATCAGAGAGCGGACAGGGAAAGACAGAAGGACGGATCAGAGGAGGGAAAATAGAAAGAAAGAGACTGATGGAGCCGGGAAAGCAGCATCAATCATACACCAACGAGGAGATGTATGGACGGAGGAAGGAGAGAAGCATGATGGATTTGATGGAGGAGCAGTGGGAAGGAAGGAAGGAGGGAGGAGGTGAGAATTGACAAATTAAAATGGCTCGGTAGGTCCCGTTTTCCCCTCCCTGCTCGTTAACCTTGTTTTTATCCTCTTCCCTTGTCCTCTTTTACCTCCTCTGTTTCCTCATCCATCCTTTGCCTCCTCCACTTCATTGAACCATCATTCCATCTTTGTGCTTCTCTCAAACTAAAGAGAAAAATGACTTTACCATGTTTCTAGGTGGAGGATAAAGTTGTGTTTTAACAGAGAAAGGCAGAAAAAGAAGAGTTGAGGAAGGAAGCACAGAGCTGACAGTGAAGACAAGAGTTAGAAAGGAGAAAGGGAGGAAAAGGAGAGGAGGCGAGAGGTCTCTGGTGAGCTTCTGAGCTAAAGAGATGACCCAGAAAAGTCAGGAGTACTAAATGGACTGCCAGGAAAGGAGGTCTGCTCTATGGGGAGGAGGAGGAGGAGGAGGAGGAGTCTGCAGGTGTTCATTTGTTATCCAGGGCATTATGGGAGCAGAGAAGGTGTTCATCAGTGTGAAGCAGGAGCAATGACTGCTGTGGAGGTTGTTTCAGAAGTGGCAGTGTTGTGAAATATAATGATGTCCCACAATCCAGCTGTTACAGGATGATTTAATGCTACAGAACCGCTCTAGGTGTTTTTGTTCTCCATTTTTATCATGAAGTTCATGAAGAGAAATCCATCAGTCCAACCTCACTCACCACGGCATAGATTTCTTTTACCTTGATAGGACACTCTGCGATGTTGTACCTGCCTGCTGTGTATCCACTCCCACATTTCGCCCTCCAGCTCATTGTTAACTTTGTCCTGTAAATGTGGGGTATGGGTGAAGGAAGGATGTGAGGTAGGAGTGAAAAAAAAGATGTGAGGCAGGAGTGGAGGAAGGATATGAGACAGGAGTGGAGGAAGGATGTGAGGAGGGAGTGAAAGAGGGATGTAAGACAGAAAGAAGTTAGCTGAGGTGTGGAGGAAGTCTTCCTGACTCTCCTCAAGCGTTCCTGACCTTCCTGAAGTCTTCCTGACCTTCCTGAAGTCTTCCTGACTCTCCTAAAGAGTTCCTGACCTTCCTGACTCTCTTGAAGTCTTCCTGACTTTCCTGAAGTCTTCCTGACTCTCCTGACAGGCTGTTTTGTGCAGACATAGAGCACACAGAGTCGGACAGGTTGTGGAGTGCAGACAAAGCTCAGGATGGCTCTCTCATTGCTCTGTTACATAATGACAGCGAGTCAGATTTCCTTCTTAATGACGACGCTGTGTTTGGTTTGGAATTGACAGGAAATCTCTTTTTTTCTCTTGTTGATCCTCTCAGCTTCGACAGCCTCCTCCTTTTGTCTCTGTTGACAGGTTCAATCCTCTTGTAAATTTGTCTGGTACAGATGTCTTTTAGTTATGAAAGAAGTCTTATTAAAGAGGAGGGGAAAAAAAGACAGCACTTCACCCTACTGTTTTCACTCCACCTTTTCTTCTCTCCTTCTCTGTCAAATTTATCTTCTCCTCACCTTCTCCTCATCTTCAGTCTGACCTCCTCAATGTCTGCCCTCTCCTTCACCTTCTGTCCTTAACTCATCTGCTTATTTCCTTTTTTCTCTCAACATTATTTTCTCCTTCCTCCTCTCGCTCTCCCTTTCCCTCCTCTCTCCATGTTTTCTGCATCACAATAATAACTGCACCATTCCTGCACTTCTTGCTCAGCTGCTTCTTTTTATTTAAGCATACACATAAGCATACACACACACAACGAACCAACAAGAACAGAGGGGAAGACAGGGACAATATATACACACTGGGAAACGAGCAACAGGTGAGGCAGACGAGACACAGGTAAAACTCATGGGTGATTAACGAAGTAGGGAAAACTAGGGAAGTAAAACCAAACTACTAGAAACACAAGAAATCAACTACTGCTAAATAAAATAGGAAATAAACACTTAAAACTGATTTAAAGAATAAAACACAGAAAACATGAGGGAAACAGGGTCAAAGACAAACTGAAAACTCACAAGTTCAGACCACAGGGGAACATGAAGACTCTGGAAAATACACAAAAAATACTCTCAGGTAACAGAACAAGAGAAAAATTAAATCAACACAACATATCCTGACATTACCCCCTCCTTAGTGGATGGATCCCAGACATCTCAAAAAGTCAGGAAACTAAGGCAGAGTGGGTGATGGGGGTCCAGAAGGAGGGTATATGGCCACTGGGGGCAAAGAGCTCAAGGGGGCGGCCATGAGGCCGACTACTGGAGGCAAACGGTTCTCTCCTTTCTCTTGTCCCCGCTTTCCTCCCTCCTTCCTCCTCTCCTTTCTCTTATCTTCTCCCTCTTCTCTCCTCCCTCCTCTCTTTTATTTTGTTATCTCCTCTTTCCTCCCTCCTCTCTTCTCTCAATTTCAATTTTTCATTTCATTGAGCTTTATTGGTATGACTGTTACTACAATATTGCCACAGCATTTTAAGACAACAACAATAACAACAACGGTAATAATAATAATAATAATAATAATAATAATGATAATAATAATGATAATAACGATGATGATAATGAACAAGTTTTCAATGGCATATTGACATATTTTGCTGCTTCTAAAGCAGTGACCCTTTGTTCTCCTAAGAGAGCCTTGGAGCTACCTCGCTCAACTTAGCGCGGTAGCCAGCGGTCTCGCTAAACGGTCTTACGACGCTGGTTATCAGCCTCATAAGTGGATCAAGCTTTGCAATGAATGCGTTCACGCATGTAAGGTGCAGCCCGCCGCATCTGACCAATCACTAACATAGACCTGTCTGGAGTGACACAGCAGGCCAGAGAGCGAGGGACCGCGTAATGTACAAACGAGGAGCAGGAGACCATCATGAGAAAGTGTGAAGAATTCAAATCTATCATAAACCTCAAAAGCAACACCATCGCCACTGCAAAAGCACGGAAGGAATGCTGGCAGAAAATTGCCAACAGTCTCAATGCGTAACTATAGTGCGCAAAAAATCTTAGATGCCATTATCACCCTGAAATAATACTGGTCAACATGTGCTTTTAACATGCACCAGACATGTCTAATTTGTTTCCAAAATGAGTTCATTCATTTGATCATTTCTATCGTGTTTACATTTTTGTGTGATATGGTATGTAGGCCATATGAGCCTTTCATAACGGTGGGTCCATGCGGTCCCAGAAAACTCTCGCGCGCTGGAGTGCTCCTCAGACAATGCGAGCACCGAGGTCTATAGGATCCTCTAAGAACGGACAAGCTATTTTTCGAGAGAGCTCTTTGGTCAGTGGGCGGGGTTTTTATACTCGGTGAGTTCAATCTGGAACCTAACCTGCCCCAGAGCAGGTTAGCCATTCAGCGTACGTTGCCATGCAAACTCATCTCGCTAAGAAGTGAACCCGCGTCATAGAACAGGAAACCCCGAACTTACCCTCGAAGTTACCTCGCTAAGCAGTAATCCTGCTTCGTAGAATAGGCCCCTGGTCTGTGAGTTGGGTGAAGTTGGGTGTTATGTGTGTGAGTTTGGTGCATGTGTGTGTCCTGATGTGTGTGTATGGGTCACAGTGCAGCAGGAAGTGCTGCTCTGTCTTCAGCTGTGTGTGAGGACAGCCGCTCCTCTCTGGGCAGCCAGGTCTGCCTGTGGCGGCCGCTCTCTATGGCCAGGCTGTGGTTGCTGAGTCTGTCAAGGTTCTCCTCAGTCTGGGGTCAGTTACTGAACTCAGGTAATCTGCTATGGAGTATTGTCTGTTTAGGGCCAGATAGCATTGAAGTTTGCTTTGGGTTTGGGTTGTAGATGTTCAATAATTGATGTAATTGCCTTTATGCTCGGTGCTGGTGGAGCTGAGCTTGTGGACAAATTGGCTGAGGAGACTCCTGTCTCTGCTCTCCTCTTGGCTCTGCAGGGCTTTGTAGTGGTAGGAGCTGGGGTCACTGGCTTTGAGGTGTTGGTAGAATTTGATTGCCCTTTTTTTTAATTCAACGTGAAGATTCTTTAATAGACCAGAGGGCTCTTCTGCCCTTGTCCCGCAGATCGTTAATGGCCAGACTGAAATTTCCTGTAGGTGTGATGTTTAGTCCGAGGTGTGTAGCTGCGTGTGTGTGTTGTATGTCTGTAGAATCCAGGAGGAACCAGTGTTGGTCTTTCTGACACTTGGGTTGTTTCTGGAAGACCATGACTCTTGTCTTATCTGGGTAAACGGTAAGGGCCCAGGTCTGACAGAACCTTTGCAGATAATCTTATTCTTTTAGTAAAGCCTCCTTAGATGGAGACTAGGGAAGCAGATTCCCTAGCAGAATCAGATCATCCACAAAAAGTAAGCACTTGACATGTCTGTCAGAGAGGGTGAGACCAGGGATGTCTGACTCTTCCAAGGATTTGGCCAAATCATCAATGTAGACACTGAAGTGGGTGGGGCTGAGACTGCAGCCCTGCTTTACCCCTCTACTTTGGGGGAAAAAGTCTGTTTCCATGGTTCCAATTTTCATCGCAATTGATTATTTATGTACATTGTTTTAATGATATCATAGATTTTTTCCCCCAATACCTTTTTGTAGTAATTTAAGAAATAGACCCTGATGCCAAATTGAATCAAATGCTTTTTTGTAATCCACAGTAGTGGTGGGCAAAACCGTTCATTTCAGTGAACCGGATCGTTCCGGTTCGTTCAGTAAAAAGATCTGTTCATTTCGGTCATTCGGCCTCTGAACGAACGAGAGCCTCTTAGCTCCCTTTGTGACAATAACATCAAGTATTTCCAACAGATACGCCTTTGCTGACATTCAAAACACAGAGAGATCTAAGGATATGTATTCAACAGCTGTGCGACTTGGGACATTCTCATGCACATTTTTTTGAAAGTCTCCAGGTAACAGGGTCACTTTTTACACCGAAACACCGGCACATTGACCCAGCTAAACCAAGGTATATAGCTAGGCTAGCTGTTTGTTAGCTTAGCATGCTAAACCTTCTGCTAGTGAGTCTCTGCCTCTGGCTGCAGCAGCAGCTGTGTGCCTGTGTGCGTGTGTGTGTGTGTGTGTGTGTGTGTGTGTGTGTGTGTGTGTGTGTGTGTGTGTGTGTGTGTGTGACTCTCCCGCTCGCTCGGGCTCGGCTGTGGGCTCGTGCGGCACTGTTTGTTGGACTTGTGAGTACAGATACCCCCGCAAGAGACTGCCTTATAGTTTATTTTATTCAGTACATCCCGTTGTGTTCACAAGTCGGTCGGCTAGTGACAGGCTGACAGCACCTTGCAGAGAGTGAACGCTTGTACTCAGTCAGTCTGAGAGTCGGTCAATCTCTCGGTTAGACCGAGCTGACTGAAAAGACGGGGACTGGGTCAGTCATCAGTCCCGGTCTTCCAGTCAACTCGGTCATCGGTCCCGGTCTTTCAGTCAACTCGGTCTTTCAGTCAACTCGGTCATCGGTCCCGGTCTTTCAGTCAACTCGGTCTTTCAGTCAACTCGGTCATCGGTCCCGGTCTTTCAGTCAGCTGAGCTCAGTACTGCTGCTGCTTCTCTACATGTCCTTCATTTGCCAAGTCCTGAAGGAAGAATCACTCCCCTGCCCTGAAAAACTCACCTCTCTGTGTATCGCTGTCAGCGGAAACAACACAGCAGCAAGCAGCACGTCCGCTAAACAAGCGCAAGTGGTTGTTCTTTTATATCGCGGAAAAGTTGAGAGATAAAAACTAAATAAACGTTGCAGCTGTAGCGAGTGATTCAGTTCATGTCGTTTACTCAGCAGTTCCGTTCTTTTGAACAAACATTCATGAATGACACAACACTAGTGTGAATCCAATGTGACTCTTGCTCAGGACATGGTGCTCACTGTGGAAGTTTTGCAAGTTTGGCTGTTAACGATGCTGCAGAATAAGTTTCCTAGGTTGCTGCTGACACATATGCCTCTGTAGTTGTTGGGCTCATACTTGTCTCCACTTATCTCCTCTCTCCTCTCTCCTCTCTCCTCCCTCCTCTCTCATCTCTCATCTCTCAAATTGCCGTTTAGAGGCGGGTCCTTCAGTACTTCCAGTTCACCTGATCCAGAGATGGTTTGTCTCAGGTCAAACACACCTGTTGATAGTTAAAGGAGTCTAACCCAGTTTCCCTCAGAATGAACCCCTTACGGTTTTTTCTCTGCACAAAAAAACAACGTCGGGCATGTCCAGACATGTGAGATCACTTCAGTATAGATGTGTGTATGAGGGGTATACTGACAGAGAAAGGCCCAGAGGACCACAACACAAAATATTATATGCAATGTTTTCATGGATAATGAAGCCTAACAAGGAAACCTAGAGATGAGAACCAAATTGGATGATAGAGAATTGTTTTTAGTGTAATTTACAGCTGATTTAAGACACTGGTCGAAACCGACCCTTAACATAGTGGTTGCATAGTAAAAGCTAAAATAGGAGGAAGGTTAAATCTCCCGTGTCCATGATCGCTCTCTCTCCAGACCGTTCCTAGCTGTTTTCTGCAAACACCCTGACAATAAAAAGTGAATTTTTGAGGTGAAAAATAAAAGGGCTGGTCCGGACAGAGTTTATCTTTCTACCAACACTGACCTACTGCCAGCAGTAACAGGCGTTAAAATCCAGCAGATCAATAATCCTGATGGTTTGTTTTCTTTGGTAGGTCACAGTGAGTCACCAGTGCATCACAGTTCAGTTCAGTCTGTTTCATGACTCAATAAAAAGTCCTCACAGCAGGGACGTCAGAGAAACAGCAAATGCATCTGTTTTGTATTTGCACAAACACACTTAGTCTAAGCTCCAAAAAACATGCAGCGTGTGCATGTTTAACAGTCAGCACATCAGGGTTTTATTCTGATCACAGTTTCTGGCATGCATTAAAACCTTTTCAGTCAAGTGTTCCTAAAATCAAGTTGTTGGATAAACTGAACAAATTATGTTGAATTTAGTGAACCGATAAAACAAATTCAGGATTTACAAAAGGATTGCACTCCGACTCTGCATTTAAATAAATAATTGATGAATTTATCTCCAGACAAGCCTCACTGTGAAAAAGTCATCTTCACAAATCACTTCACACAATCTTCACAATCTTTCAGTTCTACGTCTGTATGACCTAAAATGTCTGTGCAGTCTGATAAGACTCTGAAACTAGTCTGCTATTACAAGAAGGTGAATCAGGCTCAGTTCTGACTAAGACAGAGTTTTTATACATGTGGGCATGCTTCCTTTTTTAAATCTTGGATCAGGCGCCATCGCCCATCTTCATGAGGGAACTTTTGTAATTAATAAGTAGTAATAATAAGTGCAGATTTAATTGGTGGATGGGGTGCAATGTGACTTTAAAATCTAGCATGAGATATTTCCTGGACTTTGAGGGCATTTAGTGACTACAGAGCTGCGTAAAAAGTAACGCCCTCGAGCTGTGTCTTAAAAGAGCTGCTGTGAGTGTTTTAACAGACATCAATGTGGGATAAATATAAAGTTTAGGCACTTCAGATCATGCTTTAGATGTCCCAGACTGACAGAATCAAAAGTTTCCTCCGGGATAAATGTTTGATATTTCACTTTAACTCTACTCTCTGTGCAGAAAGCTTCAGTTTAGGATCACCATATAAAATTTCTTCTATTAAAAAAGGATTTTTGATTCCTGCTTTTATCAGATTAGACAGAAGAGCTTCAGGGGGGAGGATGAGTTAAGTTGGGAGGAAAGGAGAGCATGCAGCAGAGTCGAGGTTAGGAATTTGAACCAGCAGCTGCAAAAACGAGGTCTGTGGTCTCTGTGCATGTGTGCACTCGAACCTGGAGGCCAAACCAGCGCCTCTGTGTGTCCTCTTTAAAAGGACACAAAATCATGTAACCAAAACATCAGCATGAGGTGTTTCAGCTGTTTGAAGAAAAGCTTTAAATCTTCACAGCTCTTCGACCTGCAGCGAGAGAGAGCAAATAATGTGGCTCGAATTAAAAAGACCTTCAGTGATGGACAGTTTGCAAACAAGCTTCTTGAGGACGAGTTTGTGCAGAAATACTGAATGTAAAATAATACATTGTCCGTTAAATTACCTCCACTGCACTTTAACTTGATTTCAGGAGCTGCTTTGGAGACAGTTTCTAATTCCATCTGGTTATTTTTATAGTTCTGTCTTTTGTGCCATGTTTTCATTACCGAAAATCCTTGCTCAGACATTTTGCTCATTTTTAAACGTCCTTCTTGGAGCCTCTTCTTCTATATTGGACATAAGTCTCATATAGACTTTGGCTGGAGGAGGTTGCCCCAGTGCCAGCGAACGCAGAAAATAGATGACTCTGTAGAGTGTGTGAGCTTGGGTGTGCTTACTGAAGTGGTTTTTCCTCTCTCTCTCTGTGTTCCTGTTCAAAGCTGGAGCCAGAATCAAGTTAATCAAATTGGTTTCATTGTAAACACAAAGACTTGGAGCATGTTAAAGTGATTTGCTCTCCTGCAGCATCAGATAAAAGCGTCCCGTCGCTGCAGAGGAGGAGAGAAAGAGCGAGGACGGATGGAGAGGCTGAGGAGCCTCACTGTTTCCTTCAAAGGATTTCAGGTGAAGATTTTCAAACTTTGGCGAGCTAATCCAATAACAAGAATGAATAAATGCAGCATTGGTGTGATAGGTCACACTGAGATTATGTCCAAGAGTGTTTGTCCGACTCCACCAAAGATGATTTCCAACATTTGCATCTCACTGAAGAGGATTCTTGGTGGTTCTCTGAGGCTCATCCTCCAGACATCAAAGAACATCACTCGGCTGCTCTTGGTGTCCCATCTGCAGCACAATCTCAAGTAAAAAGAGTGGTCCAGTCCTCTTAGGTCTCTGTCAGAGGACCTAGCCAAGAAGATTGGGCATCTAGTCTCCTCTGAAACCAAAGAGTGCAAAATGGGCTCATAATGTCATCTCAGCTGAAGGTGTCTCCTTGAAAAGATCATGTTTGTGTGAATTGGGGGTTTAGTCTAAGCCCCATACATGAACAAACATAAACTGACTATTATTAACTGCTTATGACAGGAGAAGAGATTCAACAAGTCTGGCTCTGCCCAAGGTTTCTGCCTCTTAAAACAGTTTTTTTTTTTCACTACTTTTGCAGAGTGCTTGAGTAATGATGCCAAACCAAACATGTGCAAGAAAAATATCTGCAGTCCCTCCTGATGATCCGAAGCATATAATTACAAATACATTCATTTGTAACTCCAGACATACAGTAGATTCAGTACAATTGCATGAACAGATTTCATGATATAAGTGAGCCAGATTAAATAAACACCTGCTTTACTGCAGCCTGCATATGACATCTCTACAGGGACAAAAGATGACAGTGAGTCACATTTGTGTAAGCAGCCCTGAGGCGAATATGTTAAAAAACCATCCCTCAGCTAGCTGCACGAAAGACACAGAGGAAAGATGCTGCAGAGCTGGAGCAACAAACTCCGAACTTTAAGAGGAATAGATGTTCAAGAGAGGCTGAGAGGGCCAAAGCGTCACAGGAATGGTGTTTGAAATCATCACTTTACATGACTAGATCATTTTATTGGAAAACAATGAAGGTTTTTGTCGTCCTTCAGATCCAAGCTAAGTCCTATTGTCCTTCTGCTACATTTCAGGATCTCTACAGCAGTTCTTATTTCATTTTAAAAGAAGGATAGAAACATTAAAATGAGCATGTAAAACTGATTACATTGTCCCTCCTCTGCCCTCCCCTTAACACATCTGAGTTTTCAGGGACACAGCATCAGCCCATGTCCTCACAGTTTGACAGATTCACTGTCCACTCAAAGATTTTAACGTGTGAAGCTGACCTTACACCAAAGACGTGTGAGGTTAAAACATGAACTCTCTCATGTTTAGCGACCTTTGGGAGTTTAGAGGAGAAGCTGTAGCAATTCTCTTCACAACCCAAGTGTGCTCTTATATCACTGAGTTTATGAAGGCATACCTGTGCTAACACACCGACATATAAGCATGAATAACGGTGCAGTGAGGATCAATCTTAATGAGAGTGACAACCCTCTAACTCTGCATAAAGATCCACCATCAGGAGGTCAAACTCTCCATGTCTGCACTGCAGTAGCATTCAAACATTTTCACTAATTTTGCAGTTTATTGGAGTAAACGTGTGTCTGTGCAGCCATAACCTCTGTGTTACAGACCAGACACTCCTCACTGTGTCTTCATTGAATGTTTTGTGTGTCTCTGTGGAGGTTCAGACTCAGTGCAGCAGGTTAAGAGGTCATTAATGAACCCAGGATGGATGGAGACTTTATTTTTTGACAGAAATGACTAATCAATACCAAGGTTTGACCAGAGTATTGGCAGCTGCAGATCCATTCCATAACTCTCCCACAGTTCAACGTGAAAGTCCATTTAGCCTAAGTGGAGACGACAGAAAACATCCACTCCAATCTGCAGGGAGACACTAAGTGACAGCGAGGAGGAGGAAAAATGAATGCCACGAACATGAGAACCCAAATATTTAACCACCATAGAGGAGGTTTGTTAACATGGCAATCAATTAATCAATAGGTTTCCATTAATGCAACAACAGAGAGGCATCAGCTGAGACTTTAACAAGAGTAGGTCTGGATTATTGTATTACTGTTTGTTATATTTCTGGAGGGGCCCATTAATCCACCACATGTCCTTTTACTGGGCAGAACCAGACTCACTGGTGGACAGCCATTTGCCTCAATTTAAAGATGCAGTGTGGGATTTTTGGCAGGATTTAGCAGGACTGCATGAATTTAAGGGTTCATCCTGTTAAAAACAAGCCCACTGAAACAAACTGGCTCAAATGCATAAAAAGAAACTCTTTTTCTGCTCCCTGTTTCCTGACTTTTTGATTATTAAGACTTTCCTCAAAAACCATCTTTCTCCTGTGTCCACCGGAGCTGCTGTTTCCCCTCAGTGACTCCTCTCCTCTGACTGTGAGAGTCTGTAACTGTACTCAGTCACTCAGCCCAGGTGTTTAAAAATAGCACTTAACCGAACCCTTCATTTTCAGAAAGCTTTAAAAATGCTTATCTTCCAATAAAGTAATTAGCTTTGACTCTGTCTTCCGGCCTGGGACGCTATTTTTGGTGCCAAAAGGTTTCTGAAGCAGCTTCGTTTTCCTCTCCAGTCTTAGTCATCACCCGTCATCAGCTGCCACACCTCCACCGACAGTCATTTTCAGACAAATGCAGCTCTTTCAGGGCCTCCCAGGATCCTGTCTCTTTTTTATTATGCTTGGACGAGCTGCTGTCAGATTTTCTCTTTTTGCAACAAATGAGCTTATCATGACAGAGCAGTTGCTCCTTATCTCTTTTAGTCCCTTTTTGACCATGAATTCCTCTGTTTTCCAGACTCTGAATCGGGTAGATGAAAAGTTTAGGGATTCAAGGAGGTGGTGACTCGTCGAAGGTAAAAATGTTTCAAACTTTAGGAGGTTTCAGACAAGAAGGTGTTCAAAAGTCTCATCCTGCAAATTCAGACACTGAAGTTTCAGCAGATACAGATAATACATGGAAATGTCCACCCTGGTCTTACCCTGGAAACATAATTTGCCATAAAGACAGCAATGCTGCATAAGTTCAATAAATATAGTTTAACATGCTGGTGTAGATTTACTGAATTAACATAATTCTGGTGATTAAGTGATACTGAAGATGTTTGAGTGGATCTGATATTCAGATTTTCTGAGTACTGAGGGATGGATGAGAAGCACTGTTGTCTTATACTGAACATAACAATCTCTCAGAGCAGGAAAAGAGGGACGTGAAGAAGCCTTAGATGCTCATGGAGCTGAGTGTTTTTAGCAATAATAATTGTGCAGAGCGTATATGATGCTAATTTCAGCGTATAGAGTTTGACCTTAGATGGATGATTTTGCAGCTCTGTTTGAAGTTTGGGCAAATTCTGCCATGAGTTTATTTAAATTTATAAAGATAAAAACGGTGTCTGTAAACTCTCCCTGTATTTATATGAAGATTTAAAGGCAGACAGATCTCAGTGTCTCAATCCTCCTCAAAGAGATGAAACCTAGTTTCACACCTCATTGTGTTTGTGCTCCTCCTTTCTCCATCTCTCAGCGGATAATATTTGACCACATGTGCCTGAGGTCAGTGACTGAGGCATGAGTCATGGCGTGACTGATGAAAACGTCATTGCTGGTTGAAGTGGTGGGATACCTCATAAATCACAGAGCGTTAATGGTCAGTCGAGGTAAAGCTTTATCGGATTTTTGTCTCCTCTGTCTCTGATTGTGGACTCACCAAAGGTTCTGCATGCATGGACGACAGAGGGTCGAACTAGTCCTGAGTAGCATATGGTAGGGCCACACGATAAATCAATTTTTAATCATAGTTGGATTATTTGATTATGACGAAAAAATTAAAATCAGACAGTGATAATTTTGTGGCTAAATAGGACAAGAGCAAATCAGTCGTGTAGAACTGGTACAGCTTCACAGTTTCAGATGAAGAGCAGACCACTCCCCGCTGCAAAGTCTGTCTGAAGGCGGTATCAACCTGCCACACAGAAACGAATTCGGGAGTAAACACTAAAGTTTTTTGTCATATCAGTGTTTAGGGTGACTGTAAACGGTAAATGACTGCCATTTCATCTCCGTGTGGATGCCTATCTGCATCTCTGGAAACGATCAAGTGACACACAATGTAACTCTTTTGTAGTGCCTGCACCTCACCAAAACAACCTTTATACGCGTGCTCTGTACTCTTCTTCTGTCTTTTGTGCATTTCCTGTGCAGCATTACAGCGCCACTTACTGGCTTGGCATATGCACTACATTGTTTTCAGTGGTTTTATTTTGAGAGATTATAGAAAAACTTTTTATTTTTAAAGTGAAGTTTATTGAAGTTGTCACTGAAAAAAAAATCTTTAGTTTTTTAGAGAAAAAAAAGGGATTTTATTATTGGCCAAAATATTTTTGCATGAAAAGATGTCAAATCTGTGCAGACTGAGTTAGTTTGTTTTTTTTAGCTGGAGCTGAATCTTTTAATTTGAGCTAAAAATAACAGAAAGAGACTGTTTGACAATAACCCATCTGAATCACACTGTCTTGCATTAGGCTACAGAAGCTTTAAGACAGCGTCACTGTGTGGTTCCAGGTGAGTTATGGCTCAGTGGTGGAAATTGCAAAGGTGACATTAAAGCTTGAAAACAGCCTTCTCACGTCTGCTGCATGTTTGTGTAGATGATCTGTTTGTCTGTGCTTTTACTCATGCAGATGATTAGAGAGGACGCACTTCCTCAGTCTATCCGTTAGTCAGTCAGTCAATCAGTCAGAGAGTGTGCCATTTGGATCATCTGTCAGATGGAGCAGCTGCTATTTCTGTGTGTTCTGCTTTCATTTCTATCTCTCAGCTGGGAGACAAACTAATGAGTCCTTCTCCTGATTGTGACGTCACAACTTTTGTTCGTCATTTCTGACTCTTTGTTCTCCATCGCAGTGGGTGCTCCACATCGCACTCTGTGAACTACATTTCCCACAGACTCAGATGGAAAGTTGAGGCTGAATTTTATGTTTTTTTGGTTTAGACTCACATAGTCTGAGGTGAAGTGATAGAGTTTTCTTTGCAGGTGTTTTGTGGAGAAGGTGACACTAACAGGAGAAACTTGGTGGAGAAACAGAGTGAAACTTTTTATCCCTCTGACACTGAGTGACCATATTTCATGAGTGTGGATCTGACTCTGGACCTCCAACATCTGTGAACAAAGAAACAGCAGCTGGTCTCACAAATGTTGGCCACCCAAACACCTGTCTCCTGGGCTTGTGGAAGGACTATGTATCAGGGTCATTACCTGTCGGAGGTGTGAAAGCTCTCTCTGGACTCAAACACATAAACCTTATGGTAAATAGAAGATTTTACGTCCCCTGCTGCAAATTGAACAAATGGCTGTAAAAATGCCTCAGGTTAAGGCTGCACGATATTGGAAAAAAATAACATTGCGATTTTTTTCAACCCTGCGATATATATTGCAATAATAAAAAATACAGGAATTTTCACCAGATGACCTGAATAGCACTTTATGTTGTGCTGCACTGCTGAAATCTTGAGGACAGTTAACCTGCTCTGATCTTACCTCTTTTTGTGAATGTTAGAATGGCTTCTGTCTGTCTCAGAGATATTTTTAGCTTTTATTGTGCTGGGACGTTATTGTGGAAACAGATGAACACAGAACACGTGTTTTGGTCGACATTATCCATCTTGTTACCGAAATAATTGCGGATAACTGACTTTCCTTTTCTTTTTGGCAACAAATCATCTTTGGTGGTTTTCTCTGTGTGTTGCTCAGTTTGCGATCGTTGTTGTTGTTGTTAAAGGGGTTGTGCTGAGAAACGCATGTCCTCCGAGAATTGCATGCACCTCACAAAACGCACACTGCTTATAGTGGAGTGGTCCACAGAAATGTACAATTTAAAACCCATACAGTTCTTATTTGTGGGGCTAAACAGTGATGAGTAATGTTCCAAAAGTAATTCTCAGTGGACAAGCGTTTCTCGGAACAACTCCGGTAGTGCCAGCGACTCCCTCCATGTGCAGAACATGTGCAGGGGTGGGTTTCCTCCTCTCTGATTTTGATTGACAGCTGGCAGAGTAGTCTGACTGGAAACTGAGAACTGAGTCTGATTGGCAACTGAGTAAAGAACGAGGGGGTGATTGGTGGATTGCTGCACAGCACATGCAGAGTCACATGCAGTGTATCTCAGTCAGTTACCCTTGAAATTAACTGAGTTCATTCACCTCCGACATCGCAGGCTCTGCAATGTGACTATCGCGCACACGTACATTGCGATGACGATGCTCAAACGATATATCGTGCAGGCCTACCTCAGGTGATAAAGTTGTATTTTTCACTTTGTGCGGTATGAATGTAGATGACAGTTAAAATATGATCACTAAAAGTGGTTCAATCAAAAGACAGAAACTTGATTGGTTTATTGAAAAATAAAGAATCTTGTTTTCGACAAAGACAGACTTTCATTAGATGTGGGGGGATGGATAAAAAGAGAATACTTTAAAGGTGCTGCAGACTTCATGAATCAGTGTAGAAATTTGGTGAATAAGAAAAACTGTTGATCTTCCAAACTCGTATCTCTTGACGTGATTAGCTGGGGAAGATTGGCCTGAGCTCTGCTGCGGGTGGAGAGTGTAGAGTTGGATTGAATTGAACTGAGATAATAACCCATCAGCTCTGTGAAAGGGTCACCGCCAAGCTGAGAGCTCGGTGTGTCTGCAGCCATTATCCACCTGATGAATCGGTTATGTAACTCCACTCTTCCTCAATACTCCGCCGCCGAAAAGAGGTGAGTGTTTTACACACTCACACTCACACACACACTTAGAATGAATAAAGTGACATTTCTTTGTGGTAAAATGCCAGCAGAGCATTTTCACTGTGACATAGTGAAGGCATCCATATTGAACAGGTAGACAGTCTGGTCTGGAGGTTGGAGCTGCAGGACTGGGTGTTTTGTACCTGGTTATGGGCTCCTTTTCTGTTTGTTTGCTCTGGTCTGGGTGAGCATTTTGGCCATGGACATTTGGATGAATATGATAGTTTGTTGAGCCATATGTGAGAATTCCTGATATCTCAAACGGTAAATACGTCCGATCTGATCTGTGTGCTATCAGTAAGAGGATTCCTCAGGACAAAAACTCAGAGGACAGACAAACAGAGACATGACTGCATTACCTGTGGTCATGTGACCACAATGAGACCTCAACAAGCTTGAAAACTGCATCCAAACAGCAGTCTGCAAGTGCGCCAGTAAAAAGTTCAAAGTGAAGTATCTCTGTAGTCTGACCCATAATTTTTTAAGCCATCACAGAGACTCTGCATCCCTGATCCTCTGTGTGGTAATCGCTCAGACTTTTAAAGTCCTCCTCTGTCTGCAGACTGTAAAGCATGTCATTTGGTTGGATCCACTTCAGTCATTTGTCTTTCTCTGTGGACTTCTTCATGCTGGTGATTCAGTCAGTCTCTTTTCAGATGAACTCTGTGTGATTGTTTTAGTGGGTTTGAAAGTTCCTTATTCCAGCTCACAGGTTTTTCACACCAACCTTCGGGTGTTTTCCTCAGGCTCAGGTGTGCATGTTCAGTCACTCCCTACACCACAATAGAGCATATTGTGCTGACAGGGAGGAGTAAAGCAGATTGGGTTGCGTGTAAATCCAGACACAGGGTGAGATTAGGATTAGGCCTTTTGTTGTATGACTACTCATATTTTTGGCGTATCTGCTCAGGTTGCACGCTGTGTTTCATAAGGAATAAGAATTACACTTTGACCCAGTGGATGTTGGATGATGACACAAGGAAATTACAAAACCGGTACTGTCTCCTATCATTTGGACGGATCTGTCCCTTATGCAACATCGTCCTCTCATGCTTTTGTTTCTGACTCACCGAAGTTTGATCTTAAATTCAGCCTCAGTACAGGATCTGCTGTCTCTCAGTTTCAACCTCATTAAATATGCAATGATCCGAGTGGGCGGGACTGCTATGACTATGAGGCATTGTGCTGATTGGCTGCCTCAGTGTTGTAGGAGAGAAGGTACAGGGTTGTGTTGACTGATGCAAAGGCGAAAAACGCCGAAACCAAGTTAGTGAGTGCCCCAAGAGGACCATCGTTAGTGCACAACTTGGAAGTGTTGAAGCCAAGGTTACTGGTACTGGTTCTCCTGGAGGGCTCGCCAGGTCTCTTTTAGTGTTTTCCCACCTCTGCATTCATCTGCACTCGTACGCACCCTCCACCCTTAGATTACATCCAAGTAGCCGATCAGCACCTCATTATTAAAGCTTTACCTCACACTCAAATCACTGCACAGATGATGAGGTCAGAAGCTGAGAGGCTGCATATCCTCAACAGAGGCCAACCACAGGATGTGTCATAAAAAGGTGTAAACAAACAGAAATACTGTTTATATGGGTGCTTTAAAGTGGGATGTTATTTGGCGGAAGATCAATCAAAGAATGGGCATATACAAAAAAAAAATGTCACAGAGCCAAGAATTGCAATTCCCACGGAATTCTGCTAAAGGGTGACTTGTACCTGGTGACAAACCACATTTAAGGTATGAGTAAACTTAGTCTGTGCAGGTTTGACCCTCAAACAGGTTTATGGGAGTTTCGTGTTGGGAGCTGTGTGTTTTAAATCTCTCAAATGTAGTGGTCTACTTATTGTATCAGCGAGAAACTGAGAGGGTTCACAGCCTAATAAGAAAGTTCGTCTGTTACTGTTTAACTTACTGGACCGAACTCGTCAGTGACGATGGTTTGACCTTCTTTCTGGCTGTAGTGTTGATGTCTGTGCCGTCCCTGGACCATCATACAAATCCAGTCAGGAGGCAGCAGTTCTAACCCAAATCTGCCAGAGACCCATCCCACATGAACGATAGAAATAGCATGGTTCTAGGTCGCTCCTTAATAACGGCACAGCTAACTTCATGGTGCTTTGAGCATGTGTGTGAGGGAGTGTGTGTCTGACTTACTTAAACAACTTTGACTGAAATGACCAAAACTGGGTGGAGGGACAGTGACATAATACAGAGACTGATTTAATGGAGTTTGACTCCTCAATATTGTGATTTTAACAGTGATTTGGTTTTTCTTGAGAGGACGCTGTGTAAACCTGGTGTCACATGGTCTCACTTTGTGTGTGTGTGTGTGTTATTGTCTGGTTTGCCCTGTGTGTCCTCACTATAAAAGGAAAACAACTTTTCTGTCTCGTCCTAAAAACAAGGTCAAAGACCTCATTCCAGAGCACTTCATTATAAACTCACCTCTATAAACACACACACACACAGGGGACACCTTGCAGCCACAGATCGGCCCATAAAGAGTGCTGTGCATCGATTTTGTCATCCATTCCACCTTAAGATGTATGTGTGTGCTGTGAGGGATCGAGTGTGTTTGTCCTTGGCCCTGTTAAAGTGATTTCTCATTGCAGCAGCGTCCTTTTTCTGACACTGATGAGGTTAAAACGGGACAAACAGCTTCAGCTGAGAGACCACATATACAGGAAAACTGAGACCTTTACAGCAAGATAATGAAAGTTTAAAAATGGAGTAAACATTTTGGATTAGAGCGCAGAGTAATTAATTTCATCAAAGAACCACAAATCCTGTTTGGACGCCGTGTGAGACATTGATAAACAAATCAGTTAATTGGAAAGACAACACACTGACCGTTCAATAGGGGAAAAGTCAGGACTGCATCAGTCCAGGACTCTTCTCCTACAGAGCCATGCTGTTGTAATCCCTGTTGTCAGAATGTGGTTTGGGATCATATAAAGGTCTTTCCTGAAAAACTCATTGTCTGGATGGAAGCAGATGTTGTTCATAAACCTGGAGTTTTTGTTTAAAAGTGAGGATGCAGCATCTATGATTTCCACTTCTTCGTTGAAAGGGTAACTGGACTTACCGGGGACATTTCGCCTAAGGTGAAATGTTCCAAATAAGTCCCAGGTAGTTCCAGTTAACCTTTCCAAAAGAGTGTTAGATTTTGATTTATCATACCTCAGGACAGTCCACGGACAAGTGATATTAAGCCCATGCGGTGACTCTAACTACAGAGTCCTGATGTGGAAGATACCCAAGACATGGACTCTGATGATCCCCAGAACATCAGGGATGCTGATGGATTTGGATATCAATCTGTAACTGGAAAAGGTCTTCTTAGTATGAGGGTTCAGATGAATATATTAGAGTATCATCAGTATAACTTATAACTTTTGATAAGATAAAGTGGTCCAAAGATTGATGCCTGGGTTACTCCATAGTCAAATCCGCCAAGCTCAGGGTCCTACTGTGGGCAGCAGCTGATCATTGTGTTGTGTTTGTTTCTCATCAGTGGACACAGAGGGCAGGAAGCTGAAGGGGGGCATCCAGAGGAGCACAGAGACCGGCCTGGCCGTCGAGATGCCGAGTCGGACCATCAGACAGGCTAGCCACGAGTCGATAGAAGACAGCATGAACAGCTACGGCTCCGAGGGAAAGTAAGTAATGGTTTTAACCCACTCTGCAGCACACAGTATAAAAACCTTTATGGACTTATATCTATGCCTAAATGCAGATCTTCTATAAACATGACGCACTCAGCAGCGTTTTTTTGTAGGACACTTTGAGCGCCTCTATTGTGGATTTTCCCACTTATGTGATCTCATCTCTTTGAGTGTTTAAAACCCTATGTGTTTGTAAAATCTGTACTACCTTCAAGGTTATGTAAGTTATATTCTGCTGTTATGGTTTTTATTTTAGACCAATTCAAACTGGATTATGCAAACCACTGTCTCGCACTACTGTGTTGCGTCACCTTATTTTACAGGGCGGTATGCAATGCTGTGACGTACAAAAAGGATGACACGAAGACAGAAGCATTATCTCTCAATTTCCAGATGAACCAAGTCTCTGTGTCATGGTTTTTATTTGAGATCGATTCAAACAGGATTACGCAAAAGAAAATCTCCAGTGGTGGTTTGGGTTAAAAACCAATTCCCATTAAATTTGGAGGGATTTTTTTTACATTTGTGGAGCTTTTTACTTGGAAAGTTCCTTCGAGCTTTTGTGCGTCCATTTAATTTTCCTCCTCTAGCATCGGTGTTTCTGTAATCCTTCAAACAGAGAGAGTCAGCGGGGATGGACTCACAAAGACAGAGAGTAAACAGTAAAGCCCAGTGGAAAAGCACCTATGACATCAGCAATATGAGTGTAGTACTACTGCACACTTGCACTAACAAACACACAAACACACTCAAACACACACAGCCACATGCAGATCAGTGCCAACCTGGCTACCAGCTTGAATTCCTGCAGTTACATAACCAGAGACAGACCGACCGAGCAAGGGGGGTAGGGGGTGGGGTTAAAACAAACAGACGAGAGGAAACATGGAGAGACTCAGAGAGGATGATTGCATCATTGAGCAGGATATTAATACTCATAGATACTTTGAGCTGCTCGGCCCGTTTCTCTAATGAAAAAAAATATGTGTTGAAAATGTTAGCTGAAAATCAACTATACACACCATGACACCAGTTTATTGTTGGGGTACTCAGACGAGTCAATAAGGCCTCTGAATAAAAGGTAGTTATTGATCACCTTATGTAAATGCCACACTGAGGACTTAATCAGATTAAGGTTCATTGTCGGAGTCCTAATGGACGTTTAAGTAAAGTGAATTAAATTATGAGGAAATGATTGACCAGAAGAGACAGAGCACTTTGAATCCAAGCCTGTGCGGAGACATTAATGTCAACTCAGCTTTCTCCTCAAACTAAATACAAACCTTCTCCAGTTACATCCTCCATATTTGCAAAATTACATTAGTGCAATTCTTGTTTGCAACTGCAGGAAACTCTTCAAACACATCATGTTGTTTCTGATCAGGATTGACCTAACACAGATGAGTTTATCTGACAAGCTGCTGCAGAAGGTTTACCAAAAAACTGAAAGATTTCTAAAACCTGGGCTAGCTTTGAAAACATCACAAACATGACCAGACAGGTGTATCCTGTAGTCTGCACCACAAACAGACTCAAGGTAGCGACTCCCAAAAACTGAATTCTCGTAAAACCCTTTGAGGTCAAACTTTAGACTTTAAACAACATTACGGGCTACAAGCGCTAACCGTTGCTAGCTGCTCCACTTCTTTCTTGTGACATCCATTACAACAGCATTTCATTTCATTTTATGTTTTACTGAATATGTTGTGTAAATGCTCATGTTGTTGCCATGTTTCAACAGTGGATTCTGGAAAATCTGGAGACAAGATGAGATCATGTTCCCACATTGTTTATATCCTCGATGGCTTTTATAATTGCGATTAGCGTAGATACTGTGGAAAATGCCGGCTCCGCCACAGATATGACCTGTGCTAATCATACAGAACACTTTTTTATTAATCTAATGTTATGTATTAATTGCACGTTTTGGCGTTATCAATAAAGTAAACCACATGAAAATCAGTTAAGGAATGAGCAACATATTTATTTTCCATGTACATCTAATGCCTTTAATGGGAACATTGCCCGCACCAAGATGGCTGCCACGCAGGCACGTTGCTAAAAGGGCTGCTACAGTTCACTGGTGTATCTAGTCTTTTATATATATCTGTGCTGACGAGAGCCTCTTGCTCCAATTCACAACTTTCGGGTCACAACAAACAAGTGAATGAAACTTGAAGAATGAAACACAAGATTTCCAGACATGTATTTTTATCTTCGATATCCATTTAAAGCAACATCACAGAGAATCAAATACTGAGTTGTTTTTTATTCTCTTATTCTCTTGATTATTCAGTTCCCTATTGGTTGTCTCCCGATTTTTGTTTTTTCATTTGAAAACAAAAATCCATTGGCCGCCAAGTATACAGACCCTGTTGTTATCCTCTGTTTTTATCACTTGCTGTGACCAAGAGCTCAGGGCGCTACAAGGCAGTTTTAATTAAACATAGATTATCACACTCAGGTGGGTGGGTGGGGTTTAGTCTGCTTTCTAATGACTTTTTTAGTTTAAACAAACTGACCAAAGGACTCCCTGTTGAAGCAGATCTACTAAAGTTCATCCATTCATGAGTGGGACTCTTAATTACAAATCTGCATATCAAAGATCTTCAGATGATGAACCTCGGTGGAGGTCTCAGCCATTCGAGTGCCCCTCTGTTGGTTAGTGTTTTTCTCTGAAGAGCAGGAAGTCCAGGGGCCTCATGTATCAATACTTGCGTGGGACTCATACCAGAAACGAGCGCACGCAAGGTCCATCACGCTGAAAAAAATCTGTATGTATCAAGGTGTGCGGGCGCCGAAAGCCACGTGTGTTTCCTTGATAAATCCCAATCAGCTTGGAATTGAGCGCAGATGTCGGAGTGACCGGGCCCGCCCCCGTTACGCCCTCCTATAAATATGCAGATTTATTTAAATAGGGTCTCCCTGTCCTCGCACGCAGACAAAATGACAAGAAAAACTACATTTACGGCGTGCGAGGTGGAGGTGCTGGTGGCGGAGGTGGAGGAGCGACAGTGTGTTTTGTTTGGCAGCCTGTCCAGTGGCGTCAGTGCAAAACGAAAACGCTTGGAGTGGGAGAAAGTTTGCAAGAGGGTGAATGCAGTGGGTTCCGAGACACGCACCCCTGCGGAGATTAAAAAAAAGTGGTCGGACCTCAAGGTGGAGGTCAAGCGGCGTACAGCTGCCCTCCGGAGGAGTACCAGCCAGACAGGTGGGGGTCCAGGGGAGGAGACCCTCACGCCGTTTGAGCAGCGGGTGATGGCGATTATTATTATAGGGTAAGTGGCGTGTCACACAAATGTCCACATGCTTTGCCATCCCACTGAGCAAAAGACGTATATTAGACGTCTAGTCTAAGTTTATACTTCATTTCAACGTCGGGATTCAGTCTATTTTTAGACGTGATTTATACTTCGCCCTTAACTTCATTTTTCGATAACTTTTTATGCAATAAACAACTGTAATGTGCATAACTGACCTCTAAATACTGGATTACATTACCTATGATACCGTGGAGAGAGATGTAAACGCAACAGATACACAGAAGCAGGAATTGAAATGAACCAATATTTTTATTGTGTCACAGAAATCAATGTGTCGGCCGCAGCCCGTCCGCCGGCTCGGAGTCGTCGGCCAGGACCAGCGGCATTCGGGCCACCCCGGCCCCCGGCCCCAGCACCAGCACCAGCATCAGCACCAGTGCGCCGACAAGCGGTGGAGCGTCCACCAGCCGCGGCGCTTCCGCTGGACCACCCGGACGCAGTGGAAGGGTCCTCACGGAGGCGGTCCTGCAATCGCAGGAAGAAATCATAAGGGGGATCGCGGGGATCAACGAGCGGCTGGACCGGCTCGTAAATGTCCTCGAGCGTCTGGTGGCGAAAATAAATTAATTTGGCTCATTGAACTGTGTATTCACTTCTTACCCATTCACACTGTGGCGATGAGATTCTCCCGCGCGAGGTCGGCGGCCCGGCAGGGATCAGCTCGCATCCCTCCGTCTGCTGCTGGTTCGTCATGTGGGGCGACGTGCTGCTCGGCCACGGGGATGTGGTGCACGCTTGTCACATAGTGAGTCACCAAACACCGCCACACAGCGTCGCCAAAGTGCCGTCAACGCAAGTATCGGCTCAACGCCAACTTCTACACCACCTCCTCACTTTGCGTTGATTAGCGCTGGAACCGACTCTCGTTTCGCGATGATAAATCTGGACGTGTGCGCCGATCTTGGCGGACGCAAGGTTTTCTGGCGCCGCCAGCGTTGATACATGAGGCCCCAGGACTCTCCAAACTGACCTTGGTGCTTCATGTTATGGTTAATAAGGTCAGAGAACAAGGAGAGGGAGGCGGCAGCATCAGAATGATTTGATGGGAACACTTGAGACTTAAAATACCATTGCTGAAACTCTCGGTATGTTTGTCATTGAGGAGATAAGTCTGAGGTTTCCCTGCTCGATAAATAACACGTCACCAACACTCACATCTTTATTTTCCCTCAAACCTGAGTCTATTTGTTCAGTGAAAGGAGGAGCAGGTTATAAATGAGAGGAGAAACAGTCTATGTGAAGTCATCAGGGAGGATTTAATTAAAAAAATATAGTCAAACATGGAGACTAAAACTACTGCTACATCAGCTCTTTAAACATTTCTTCACTCTGCTCAGCTAAAGAGAAGGAGGCACTATTCTGCACATATTAAAGCATCAATCATATTTCCTCCTCTTAGAGTGTGACCAGGGGCCTCATTTATAAAGCTTGCTTACGCACAAAACCTGGCTTGTAAGTGCTTACGCCACTTCTTACGCAAGAGTTGGGATTTATAAAAAAAAACTAGTGTAGGAATGTGCACGACTTTAAGCAAACTCCACACCTTGCTTACGCACTTTTTGGAGACATTTGGAGCAAGGTGAGAACAATTGGTTAATGGAAAGTGCATGTATAAAAAGCCATACAGTGACAGTCGTGCGCAATGCAGCACAAGTTTCAAGTTTCAAGTTTTATTTGTCACATGCCTAAATGTACAGGTACAGTGGCAGTGAAATGAAAGTGACGTCTGCGATTGTGCCAAAGAAACAGAATAATAATAAGAAGAAAATCAAATAATCTATTGAAAGATATAAAATAAAAATAGAATAAGATAAATATCCACTCCCATATACATCCTATGAGCAATAACCGTAAAATAAAAATACATTTAAAATAATTAAAAATATTGACTCCTATGTACCAAGTAAACAGGGTAACAGAGGTAAACAGGTAAAGTGACCAGTAAGTTATCTTCTGCAGTACAGTCTGTTCGGGGAAGAAGCTCCTTTTCAGCCTCTCAGTCCTGGCTCTGATGAAGCGAAGCCTCTTACCCGAGGGCAGCCACTCAAACAGTCTGTGGTTGGGATGGTGAGTGTTTGATAATCCGTCTTGCCCTGGACCTGCACCACTGGGTGTAGATGGCCGGGCAGTGCAGTACGGGTGATGCGTTCAGCACAACAGATGACTCGATGCAGGGCCTTTCTGTCCTGAGAGCTGCAGCTGCTGTACCAGGCAGTGATGCTCGCAGAAAGCGCAGACCCCACTGTGGCGGTGTAGAAAGTTTGCCAATTTGAATTTACAAATGTGCAAAAAAACAAATTCCATTTACATGCATTTGTTTTAAGATTAATATGACTAAATCTTTTTGGTTTACAAACTTTCACCACATAAGCAGCGGTGGATAACAGAGCAGTTTTTTTTGGAACACATGCATGAGTGTCACACGTGCTTGTTTTTTTCTGATCCTCACCTGTCACCGCCACGCTCCGACGGTGCAAAGCCACTTTTTTCTCTGCCTCCACCTTTAGATCAGACCACTTCTTGATTTCGGCACAGTGTTGTTTTCGTCAACGTCATTGTCAACGAAAACAAAACTCGCGCGTGTGTGTCTGTGTGTTGGAGGAGCACAGCAGGCTGATGAGAGCTGTCAGAGTGGACAGAAGCTGCTCCGATATGTTTAGCGTTTAACTGACTGAGTTTTTCAACTCTGTTCGTCATTTTTGTCTCGTCCCATCAACGTAAACGCACTTTTTTCTTGTCACATTTTAGTCATCTCCGACTTATGTTTAGCTCGTCAACGTTACGTCTTCGTCGTGGAAGAAAAGGGAAATATTTTCGTCAACGAAACAACACATTTCCCTTTTTTCATGCTGGCGTTGACGAAAATATTTGACGAAATATGACGAAAACAACACTGTTTCCGCAACGCTGCGCTCAGTGCCAGCCGCAATTACCGCCACGGCAACGGCGTTTTTATTGGTGATGCCACTCGAATGGCCGCCGAATAAGGTCTCCCGTCTCGCCCCCACCTCATTTACAAGGACCTACACCTCGGTCTCTGAAAAGTTTCTTTTTCTACGACTTGCTGATGCCATGGTTAAGCGTGAAATGCCGTGGATCCATCAGGCTTATTTATATGCAAATCACATTCATGAGGTAATTTGCATGACCATACATGGTGAATTTTGGGTGTGGAGAGGGCGGGGAAGAATCAAATCCCTGCTGCTGGTCTGTGATTTATAAAGTGAAAGTGCGTGCAGGTGTGCGTAGGCAGGGTTTTATTAATCAGATTTTTTTTTTGCCTACGCACTTTTCAGCTTTTCAACTTACGTACACTTTTAGTATGGATCCTACGCCAGGTTTTATAAATGAGGCCCCAGGTCATTAAACATGCAGCACATGATTGAAATCAGTAAATGTCTGCTGGCCTTCCTGACTGACTGTCTGTCTGTCTGGCTGTGTTTCTGTCAGCTGTTTGGCTCACTGTTCTGATTGGAAAGCTCTGTGCTCTTTTACCCGCCGCCATGAATAAGCACTTTGTTAGCTAACCCCGTCCAATCACATTTATGAGCTTATTGATTTATGTTTGGGGCAGTTCAGGAGCTGGCAAATCTGTGTGTGTGCTGGTTATAGTGGTGTGGAGCTAACTGGGAATGGTTTGCAATGTTTGTGTAAGAGATATCAGAGTTTTGACTCACACTTTGTCCTCTCTGACCAGTTTACGTAACCCGGTGATGATCCAGTAAGAGCCTGTTGACCTTTGATCGGTTATAGTCCATGTTAAACCTGCCGCACACTCAAATATATTCAGAATAAAACCTGATTTTCATGAATAGTCAGCTCAGATTTTCTTTACTAGCTTGTGACTCTAAAAAGAGCAGAGTCTTAATTCTCATGGGTCACTAAAAAGATTCTAAATTAAAGATTAATAAAGAAAAGCGCTATTTGACTCCAAAGTGTTCCCTTTCTGGACCTGGACTGACTGTGAGGGCCCTGTGGATGAGCAGAAACCACATGGCTGATCCTCAAAGATCCAGAAGTGCTGTTGTTACCTCATCTGCAGACAGTGCAAACTTTGACAGGCTTTCAAACAGCAAAGCAGAAGTGAGAGTTAAGGTCCAAGTCCATCAAAATGAGTTAAATCATACGATGAAGTTGGCCCTGTCCGCTGAAGACCGTGGCCTAGCTTGTGTGCCAGCTCTCTCTGCAGTCAAAGGGGCCGAGGTGACCGAGATCCACTCTGGCTAAAACACTTACTCACTTTGGAAATGAAATGTGAAATGTTCCTTGAAACTGATTGTGAAGGGACTTCACGAGGGACATCTTAGACCCTGTTGTTGGGTCTGCAGGTCAGTGCAGAGGTTTAGACTGGATCCTGCAGCTCTGCATGTCAGGTGTTTAATCACTGCAACTTGCATCAGTAGCACAATTCAGTTTATGATGCTCATGAAAATAAGAGGATGAGTTTAGGATGTTGAGGAAGAATCATTAAACATGGAAGAAAAAACAGGATCTGCGCTGAGTGAAAGACGAGTCCTGTAATCGTGGATGTTTTTACTCTTTACACGATTGTGTTTTCCTCACCTCTGTGTTTCCTCAGTTTCCTTCAATTTCTTAACAGAAAAACGATCGTGCCGAACAGAGGTAATGACAATAATTCAGTATTCATGATTATTTTGTGCAGCAGCTCATCGTACCCCCCCCACACACACACACCCAGACACACACACACACACACACCTTCAGCAGTAGGTTTACATTGAGCGTCATATTTCTGCAAAGCTGCGGTGTAATCCCCAGATGGGCCTCATTCACAGCGCTATTTTAATCTAAAGCCCAGGATTTTATCACCCAGTAATACGCACACTCAGCTAATGTCGCTGACTTTGCATGTCAGCGCTCTTCACACACACACACACACACACACAGGATTTTACCTTGCTGCATTGTTCTAATAAGTTGTTTTATTCAGTTTATCTGGTTTAATGAATTACTTACTGCAGCAGGTGCACACACACACACACACAAACACACACACACACACACACACAAGCATTGAAGCCTGTGAAGAGGGTAAAATTAGATGCATTCAGATTAAAAGGTGCTTAAATAAAGTGAAAAGTACCATTTTAAGTAAAAAAAAAACAAAAAAAAAACAAATAACTCCAAACTGTCTCGCAAGAAAAAAGTTTTGGTTCATTGTCAGAGGGAAAAAAGTCAAAATAAAACAAGGATTTACGAGTCAAAAATGAGAAATCTGAGTGTGGAAATGTTTGTGGACTTAATTCTGGATCCTGGGCTCTTTTTTTAGCCAGACTTTTTATTGAAGTTGATCATTTACTCCTGCAGGGGGCGCTGTGACACTCGCCTTCAGAGCATCGTACACACCGAAACAAGTAAAAACACATCTCCTCTGCTGCTAAGACAGTTTAACATTTCTGGGGGTGTACTATGAGAGATGGTGTAAGTACCAGATGTGTTCATGCTGCCAGATTGGCTTGGGGCCCGGTGCCTGTGGATGATGTCACACTGTATGATTGGCTGGAAGTTGGTTGGGATGACGTAGAAGATTGTCGTTTGCTTGGACATTACGGAAGCAGTTTTCGCCAGATTAGGTTTCATGGGATTGTAATTCTTCAGAGAAAACATGGACGAACTTTACGAAGAAATCTATCATGACTTCTCAAAGAGTACTTAGGACAGTCAGACTAACGCCTATTTTCGGAAATATGGAATAAAAGCAAAACTATCTGTTGATAAAGGAAGATCCTGTGTACATTTTTTTTTCTTTTTCCTTTATAAAAGTTTACGTAACCCGGTGATGATCCAGTAAGAGCCTGTTGACCTTTGATTGGTTATAGTCCATGTTAAAAATTTTACGAAGAAATCTATCACGACTTATCAAAGAGGACTTAGGACAGTCAGACTACCGCCTCTTTAAGGAAATGTGGAATAAAAGCAAAACCATCTATTGATAAAGGGACATCCTGCGTACATTTTTTTCTATTTCCTTTATAAAAGTGAACATATACAATTGGAGCCATCTAAAAATTACTGTACAGTAAGTTGTGATTCTCTGTATTATAAGGAAAGGAAATTTTTAAGGTCAATTAAATAAACAAACAGAAATAAAGAAAACCACAAGGGGCTTTTAACTGAGCACATTTGAATAGAGCGCAATGTAATTCGAATAGAGTGCAATAATTTGCCCAAGTGGACTTGTGGTAATTTGACGTCCTCAATAGGGCAATCTGGTACCTACACTGGCCCTGAAAATGTTCACTGTGTATTCTCTGTGATCTGTGATCAACATAAAAACAACATCAAATGTAGAGACCAGGGGAATAAATCCAGACTGAGTGTACAATATGATCTGCATTAACTAACATGAAAATGTCCAATCTGTGCTGAGTGATTTTCTCTTCAACTTAAAAGTGTTTTCCTCCTCTCTATGTAATGAATATTAAACACCATCCTGTGTGCCTGTGTGGCAGCCTTTAGCTGGAACAATCTCATAAATATTTCCTCACTTTTCCCTCCATTTAACAGCAAAGACAAAGCAGTAATTTAGGTCACTCACTGCCTGTTTGCTTAAAAAATGAGACACCTGTTTCCTCGAATGTTCGGCTGAAGTGGGACACTCTCTGCAGAGCAAAATAACTCAGTCCTGATCGAGGCTGAAATATGAAAGCAGAGACAGAGGAAGGTGAAAGAGATGTACGAAAGGAAGAGAGAAGAAGAAGACGGAGAAAAACATGGGGGCTCAGTTATTTTGCACATCTGTGACTTAGTGTACGGCCCCTTCAGGAGGTAGGCTAGTGAAATTAGGAGCTCCCAGGTGTTTGGTGATCAACTTTTTGGTCTTATCCTGTTGGCTGTCTATTGAGTTAACTATACTCATGAGCCTCTTAGTTTACCACAGTACGACAAAGTTCAATAAATGTCATTTTAGCGTCCAAACGGACAGACCTGGGGTGCCGACAGGGCTGATAATAGCAGAGATGGACACAATTCATGTTTTAAGTCCAAATCAAGTCTCTAATAGTGTCAATAAAAACTTGATCAGAAAGATCTCTGAGTCTCAAGTCTAAGCCACATCATGTTGATGTAGTCCAAGTCTTAGACCTCTTCATGTTGCTCACCTTAACTCTTCAGTGCCATCAGGATAGAGTACACAGTGCAGCTCTGCGCAGAAGAGAGAGGACAATAAGATGAAGGCCTGGAGAAAACTGCGTGGACATGGTCTGTGGTCACTACACACGATAACCATGAGTCCATGTCAGCATTGATGTAAACTCACCTGGAAGTTTTCAGCTATGATAGAGATACAAGGACATGATCCTGCTACTGAGGTCTGTATCTAAGGATGTGAAGGATGTGTCTCCCAAAGATCACATTTGTGTTTATCAATAACAGAATGAAAGATGTCATGTTTAATCTCTTCAAAAAAAAAAAAAAAAACAGTTCAGGTTTTAATGCTGTAAATTTCTCCAAAAGTTCAGGTCAGGTGAAATTCTTATGCGAGGCCATGAACATCAGCAAGACAACATGATAGGCTGGATTTGTCTTTTAATGGACCCCGCGCACAAACACACGCGCGCCTGCACATGCACACACACATGTACGCACACACTCAGAGTCAGAGTTGTAATATATCTGGCTCGCTGCCATCAAAGCACTCTGAGCTGATTTCTTTACTTACACTCTCTCACACACACACTCACGGGGGGGGGGGGGGGGGGTCTCGGGGTCAGGCTGTAAATCCAACAGTCTGATTGTACCTTCAGGGAAACTTCTTGAATGTTGCTTGTCCATCTGTCTCCTCTGTCCTCAGCCGTCTGGCCTTGTTTCAGTCTTCAATGAATTTAAGGGCGTTGAGAGCTGTCTGCTCCTGTTTGATCGACCCTCTTCATGTCACTCTCTTTCTCTCTCTCTCTCTTTCTCTCTCTCTCTCTCTCTCTCTCCTCAGTCTGAACTACAGCGGCATGTGTTTGGCATCGGACACTCAGTTCAGCGACTTCTTGGACGGGATGGGACCTGCCCAGTTCGTCGGGCGACAGACGTTGGCGACAACATCCATGGGTGAGAGGAAACATATGTCCATAATCTCACAGCCAAAACACAAATCCTCTGAGAGCTGCAGGAGTTGATCCCTGTCTACAGACCGTCTAAAGTCAATTAAACTGTATGTGTTCAGAAAAAGGGAGGTTTCTGTGTGTGTTTGTATAAAGCTGTTGGTTGTCTAACATGCACCAGTTAGTAACCAAAGAAGGAGGAGGAGGAGGACTGGTTGGTATTAGACATAAAAAACTGTACTTTTAGATGTTTTTGATTTTGAGGGTCAGAGCTTTTTGTCCTCAAAGGCCACCGTCTCTTTACCAGTGAGAATGATAAGTAAGGGGTGATCATAAAGTACCAGTAAAAGCAGTCAGACTCTGGTTTTCTGGACTTTAAGAGTTTTGTAGGGCAGTCTGGATCACCTAACTCCTTGTTCTCATAAAACTGGGCTGCCACTGTTGGCTGTAAAGTTTTGTAGCTTGTAAAGAAAAGTCTGGGGATCCCGTCTTGTTCAGCCTTTTGTTCCTTGTGGACTCAAATAACATTTAAAATGAAGGTGCCAGAAAAACAACAGCAGAAAAACAACAGCACTGCTGAGCTGAGATCCACAGATTCCAAAAACATTGGACCTGCAGGCGTCTCTCACTCTCTGTAAAGTCTGATTTGGATGAATTTTTGCTCTTTGACTTACTGGGCTCTATAGATCTTTTTCACAGTACACGGAAGTGAGCATTCTGCGTTAGCGTAGCATTCTGCGTGTGCGCAGAGATCACATCATAAACTCCAAAAATGGCATTAAAATTGGAACCATCTGTGCGTAAATGACATCAAGCATCAAGCTCCGTGGCCTGGCTCTTTCTCTCATAGATGTTGGCAACATAAGCTTGGCTCACAAAACTGAATATTATAATATTTGTATGTAGGCGTAAAGTAAAAAACTCATCTGATCACTGAAACAAATCATCTGTTCAGCCGCCACAGCAGCAGGTGCAGCAGGACGGGGAGAGGACACGGAGACATGTCCAGGTCGAGCTGCGTGAGAAATAAGAGGAAGAGGAAGAAAGAAAAGGAGGGAGACGAATTACATATCTTGTTTACTTCATCATTTATTTACTAGATATTTAATTTAATTTGATGGGGTTTCAGCTGTGTTGATTCGGTCAGTTTGAGTGTCCAAACGCGTGCCAAACGCGCTCATCAGATCAGATATAGATCAGAATATATCTATATAGATCTAAATGTATGTGCTGACTCAGATTAATAGTTGTTGATGATTATTTATTGCACTGAAATGTGCCTGACACTGTGGAAACCTGCCGGTGAGGCATCGGTGACGTATGCCGATACGCCGCCGGTCTACCAAAATACCTCTAGACCAGCTGTGCTCTGCCTGCGCTGAAAGCTGACCAGGTTTGAATCGGCGAGCTTTCAGCGCACTGTATACGCCGGTGGCGAGCACGAAAAATGTCACTGCACCCGCTGATTCTGTCAACACCGCCCCCTGCCACGCCACCACACCCAGCTTGGCGGATCTCGGTGCGCCTCAGTCCACGAAAATACCAAACTAGCTGTACGCCGGGCTCAGACGGCTGAAAATACAACTGCGCGGGGTCCGCCACCCTTGGTCGCCTCACCGGCGTACACGAAAATAGAGCCCATGGTCTCTCACTCTGAGCGAAAGTGATTGCAGTTCTTTAATGTCTTTTTTTCTAAAACTGAGCTGAAAGAGAAAAAAGGACATTTCTTCATGAATAATTGGTTTAATAGTTTATGAGGAAAAACAGCCCGTTTCTTCATAAAACTGCACCAAACAGTGGCTGAAAGCACCTGCAGAGGAAAGTGCCTCATAAATCTGATCCTGATGCAGAGTTCGCCACATCATCCACGCTCAGATCCATTTGCAGGTGCTATATATTCAGGATATATCACACCAGCAGTGATCTACTGTAAGTGGGTCAGTTTCCTTGCTGGATCTCAGGCAGCGTCCTTGGCGAAATAACATTGACTGGGACTGGACCGGCTCCACTTCAAACCTGCAGCCCGGTTCAGAGTTATATAACATCAGAGGACTCCGAATAACTTTGGCCGGTGTCTGCTCTTTGTCACTTTCAGAGGAATGCCTTTGTCATGTTGGGGAGGTTCAGCTGGAGCAGTGATTCACTCTGACTATCAGAGAGAGGAGAAAATAAAGTTTCATACCTCAGATCACATAAAAGTCTGATTTAAACCAGATTTAGATCTCCAGGACTACCAAACCACAAAACTAGGTCTGATTTGCTGTTTGTAAAAACTCCAACAGCTGTGAGGATGCTGCTTGAAAATCTGACCAACACTTCATACATCTGTAAATATGTCATATCTTTCCGAAAGAGCTCACTCTCACCTGTGTTTTCAACCCACCAGGTGACATAGAGATTGGTCTGTCAGAGCGGAACGGGAGTCTGGAGGTGGAGGTGGTCCAGGCCAGAGGACTCATCATGAAACCCGGTTCAAAGGGACCCCCAGGTGAGTCAGAACCACTCTACTCTGCAAACTGATCAATCAGACAAGTCACAGCTGAATTTTTTACGGGCTGTATGTGGCTCATGTTTTGTTAGCCACCATCTTAAACCTGCAGCTAACATTTGAAATCATGGGAAATATGTCCTCCACAAACTGGGACCTACAAGACAGGAAAGTCAAAAATTCTTTTTATTGAGGAACAGCCAAACAGATCAAAAGGTCTTCTTATAGAGGAACAACCAAACAGGTCAAAAGTTCTTAGAGGAACAACCAAACTGAGTAATGAGCCCATATAAGGTGGACTGAGGGGACAAGGAAAACTGTGCTGGGGTCTGAGGAATTGAAATCTGACATCCTTTTGGAAATCTTGGATGCCTCATTCTTCTCTTCTCAAAGAACAGAGACATGGGCTTGTTTCCAAAACTCCAGAAAACAGTCCCCTGATTCATTAACATTAAAACCACGAGAAGCATGAACCTGGATCTCCTTTTTAAAAAATGAGTCATAGTTTTCACTAGTCAGAGAAAGGAAACAGTTCTGGCGTTAGGTGAACATGGCTCTGTTCTTCTTCTGTTGTTTTAGTATTTTGCTGTAAGTTGGGTTGTGTAACAGCAAACTATTAACTCTGATTGTACTTCTCCTGTGCAGTTGCGTAATATTAAAGCAGCCATTGATCCTAATTGCATAAGAACAAAGCAGCGCCAGAATACAGGGAAAACCAAAAACCACGAGAATGAGAGGATGACGAACTGAGAAAAGCAGAGGAGAGAGGAGAGTGGGTTTGTGTGAGCGATGGAAAAAGACTTGAATGAGAGCAGATGATGATGTCTTTATAAAGTTAACTGATATTGGTCCATATGTCAGAATGACAACATGCTTCAGGGCCTGTATGTTTGTGTGTTTCACTCAGTCACAGTCAAACTTATATCCTCCAGCGTCGTTTCAGCTCATGAGACCAAGTAACACATTTTCATCTTAAGTGATAAAGCTGCGAGACAGATGTTTGCTGCATTATTAATGACTTTATCTTCCTTTAAAGCTGTAAGAGTGCTGCAGGACTGATGAAGGACTCGGTGTGAATTGGTTGGAAACATTTATCTCTCCTTTATTGTGATTTTTCTCTTTCTAAAACTTCAGCAGACTGAAACTTGAATGTTTTAGACAGGGCTCTCTGCGGGGGTTTTCACTGCTCAGATTTAACTCCTCTGTCTGCTCTGCTTTCAGCTGCCTACATCAAAGTTTACCTTCTGGAAAATGGGATCTGTGTGGCCAAGAAGAAAACCAAGTCCGTGAGGAAGTCTCTGGACCCTCTCTACAACCAGGTCCTGGTCTTCTCTGAGAGTCCGCAGGGGAAAGTCGTACAGGTGAGATGCACCATCTTTTTTGAAAGTGTGCAAACCAGCGAGAGGACCGAAGGCAAATACAAACTCTGTTCCAAAAATGTTCAGACAAATGAGGTCAAAACTGATAAACCGTGCAAAGAAGAAACAGGATCCAGAGGAGACAAAGTGATAGCTGGGTAATAAATGTTGAGATGCTTGGCTCGTGTGTTTTGATAGACATCGGTGGAGGGAGCTTCTGATTTCTTAGCATGGACTTCAGCAGAACTTGGCTTTTCTGAATCGGGAAATGACAGATGGAAAAAGCACTGCTGATTTCAGCGTTTTTCATTATCCAGTGTGAATGAGTTTGATGAAACTCGGAGGACAGCGACACAGACAGCAGATAATTAAGAGGGAGGCGTTCAGCAGCTAATTACACAGCGAGGAGAGGAGCCAAGCAGCCTGAGGCAGATCTGCAGGACTCTCCTCTGAACACAAGGCTGTTTCCACCTGCTGATTACTGAGCAAACAGGCAGCACAACAGCTTTAGACAGACGTGTGAGGGATGATGCCAGGGGTTAGTAAAACAAGGTGAGGGACGGCAAAGGAGAGAGAAAAAAAACAAAAAGGCTCAGAGAGAAGAAGAAGAAGAAGCAGAAGAAGAAGAAGAAGAAGAAAAGGAGGAGGAGGAGAGAGGAAAACACTTCAAAATTTAGCAGAAATTAAGAATTACACTAAAGAGGAGGAAAGTGAAGGGACAGGAATTAAGAAAGTGAAGAAGCTGAGAAGCTGAAGACAAACATAAGATGGTAAGAAAAAGAGACAAAGCTGAAGAGACAGGACAGAAGAAAAAGAAAATGGAAGAACAAATGACTGCAGAGGAGAGGTTAAAACTTTATAATCAGTCTTTTTCATCCATCTTTTCTAACCCTAAAACTCAAACTAAAGACTTCATTTAATCTGCTCTGTTGGCCTGCAGGTCCCTCCAGTCAGGTCCTCCATGTAAATGTCAAACTTTCACCTCAAGACCTCCTGAACCCTTTTTTCTCCTTCAACCTCAAAGAGACAGCAAACTCACAATCCTCAACCCATGTGGTCCACCAGAAAGTCTCCACTTTGTGTTTTGAGGTGAAAATCAATATATCATAAAATCTTCTGGAGATGTCCATGTTAGATTCATTTCTCCGTTAAGAGACTTTTGAAAAACCTCTGCTCAGAAGAGATTTGGATGCTGTATAAAGCTCCTCTTTTACCAACTCTCTGTAGACCTTAGTGGACCCAGCAGACCAGGTTCTGGAGTCTGAAAGTCAAAGGTTGTCCCATTCTTGCCTGATAGAGGACTATGCTCTGATAACAAGTTGGGTCTTATAAGAGCAGAGACATTTTGACTCCTCAGACCACAAGCCATAAACTCTGATGATCCCCATACCATCAGGGAAGCTGATTTTGGACTTTGAGCTGAGACAGGTGGTCCCTGTCCTCTTGAGAGTAGCAGACATGATATCCACGCTTTCCAAAAGGAATATCAGATCTTGATTGAGATTCTGAGTCCATGCGGTGATTCCTACTACAGAGTCCTGTCTGTTTTTAATGCTCTGAGGATCAGGACCATCTGGACTGGATTTGGACTGGGGGCTGAGAACCAGCCAAGAGGTCCTTCTACTCTTTAAAACTAAGAATGCAGCATCTATGATTTACAATTCTTCATTGGAGAACTTCTTTGAAGACTTACTTGAGAGTCTCAAGTAAAACCAGTTGTCCTTTCCATGCTGTGATTTTCACTCCAGAGTCCTGTCTGTTTTTAATGCCCTGAAGATCAGGACCATCCAGTCCTGGTTTGGGTCCTTGTCCCTTTAGTACAGAGATTTCTCCAGATCCTCTGAATCTTTGAATGATATTGTGGACAAAAAAAAACAGTTTCCATTTTCGATGTTTGATATGTTGTCTTTGCTCCATTTTCAGTTGAATATAGACTTAATTCTTAATTCTGTCCTCATCAACATTTCGTACAGCCTATCTTATTGAATTGGGGTTAATAAGTCGAGGACAGTAACACAGCAAACATGAATGCAGGTTAAAGAAGCACTATAGCACAGCAAAAACACCTATGATACAGAAATCTCTTTAGAGTCAGAGGGTCCAGACTTAGCAGGCTCAGCTCTAGTGTAAACCTCTTCCTCACACAGCTCACAAATTGGTATGCTGCCATGCACAGACACAGGACCATCACAGGAAGGGACACACAGGCTGACAGATATTATTTTCCCACTGCCTGACAAGACGTGGGGCTGTTTGAGATGAGCCCTGATGTTATCAGGATGTCAAGGGATAGAGGACACCTGCTGTACACACACACACACACACACACACACCCATCTTGAAGCACAAATACACGCACAACCTTTCATTACTCAGATTGAAAACTCAGTTTGCTCTGTGGTGCACGTTCAGAAAGAAACCTTTAGGATCCAATCATGCTGAAGAACAGATTTCAAAACTATGTGGATATACAATAATAAGCCCCACCCCCTTTACCTCATCCCTGTATGGATATACATATAGATCTGTTCTGCTGTCTGCTCTCATTCCCTTTAAGAGCCGGGTGCATTTACACAGCTGGTTTTAGCCTTCCTACTACACCAGACTCCTCTTCTTCTTTGTTTCTAAAACTATAAAATAATGCCATTATTGGTTCTGCTTTACAACTGTTAAAGAAACCATTGTGTGTTTGCATGTCTGTGCACGCATGATGGAAAGCTTGATGACATCTCCGTCTGGTGACACTGCCCTCATCTTCTGGTATCTTGGGATTGGCGCCATACTGTATGATGGTGTAAAGCAGTGCTTCTCAATTATTTTCTGTTACGCCCCCCGTAACAAGAAGAAAACTTCGCGCCCCCCACTCCCCACCGTGACTATCCATCTCTGCATAACATTTTATCCTTATTAACATTAAAGAAAAGAAAAAAAGAAAGACATATGGTCAAACTTACAAAGAATAACTTTATTAAATCGTGTTTTAAGTCTGCAACAGAAAAGATTTTAAGTGCATCAATGCCTGAAATTAAAAATAAATAAATCCTTGTTTAAACTGTAAACATGTTTGACCAACTAATTGCACCATTGCAAAATTAAATCAAATCAATAAATAATATTTAATAATTATAATAACTAATAAACTACAAAAACTAAAAAAATGATAACTAATTTATATTCAGTTCAGCAACATTAACTCAGGAGCACAATATATAAAACACTTGAACCTACAAAACAAAAATGAATTAAACAATTTGTGCTCTTTTTTTCTTTCTTTTTTTGATCAAAATGAGGAGGAAGTCAGGTTTAATGGCTACAATGAGCACGTTTTGCAGTGCACAGCTTTTCGAAGCAAGGTTCGAAGCATGATAGTGCAACTCTCAGCTCCTGCTCAATGTTTAGCTGGGACCTGTACTTGGTCTTCAGTGCAGCAAAAGGAAGCAGAATGCTTATAGCTTTCTCCCCTAAGAGTGGATACTGCCTCTCTACACTCAGCCAGAATGCACTGAGTGTCTGTGATGTGAACCTCAGTCTCAATGTGGAGTCAGACGTCATGTCAATGAACTGCTCCTCTTCTGCAGAGCTGAAACCAGTTGGAGCTGGTGCACTGAAAGGGTCTCTCACCCAGTCATACTGGGAACTGTTTTCAGGGAAGTACTTTTTAAAGAATCCCATCAGTGAAGAAATATGCTGCTTAATGTGTGGAATCACTGAGATAGCATCATAGTCATTAGTGTCCACAAATTCATGCAGGTTCTCAAATGAATCGGTGTTTCCTTCATCAAGTTGCCTGCCCCACATTGCAAGCTTTCGGGTGAAAGAGCTAATCTTGTCTGTGACCTGAGGGAGGTGTTTATCTTTCCCTTGAAGCTGTAGATTCAGTTCATTTAGCTTTCCAAATATGTCACTCAGGTAGGCCAGTTTTCCCAGGAACTTCTCATCACAAAATTTTTCTGCCACTTCATACTTGTGCTCCTGCTCCAAAAACACTCTTATTTGCTCTCTGAGCTCAAAAACTCGGGACAAGACTTTTCCTCGTGACAACCACCTTGCTTCACTGTGATAGAGCACAGCTTGATGTTCAGCTCCCATCTCCTCACAGATGGCAGAGAAGACTCTTGTTTTTAGTGGTCTGGGGCCTCATTTATAAAACCTGGCGTAGGATCCATACTAAAAGTGTACGTAAGTCGAAAAGCTGAAAAGTGCGTAGGCAAAAAAAAAATCTGATTTATAAAACCCTGCCTACGCACACCTGCACGCACTTTCACTTTATAAATCACAGACCAGCCAGAAAGTTGCGCAGCAGGGATTTGATTCATGCCCCGCCCTCTCCACACCCAAAATTCACCATGTATGGTCATGCAAATTACCTCATGAATGTGATTTGCATATAAATAAGCCTGATGGATCCATGGCATTTCACGCTTAACCATGGCATCAGCAAGTCGTAGAAAAAGAAACTTTTCAGAGATCGAGGTGGAGGTTCTTGTAATTGAGGTGGCGGCGAGACGGGAGACCTTATTCGGCGGCCATTCGAGTGGCATCACCAATAAAAACGCCGTTGCCGTGGCGGTAATTGCGGCTGGCACTGAGCACAGCGTTGCCCAAACAGTGTTGTTTTCGTCATATTTCGTCAAATATTTTCGTCAACGCCAGCGTCAAAAAAGGGAAATGTGTTGTTCTCGTTGACGAAAATATTTCCCTTTTCTTCCACGACGAAGACGTAACGTTGACGAGCTAAACATAAGTCGGAGATGACTAAAATGTGACAAGAAAAAAGTGCGTTTACGTTGATGGGACGAGACAAAAATGACGAACAGAGTTGAAAAACTCAGTCAGTTAAACGCTAAACATATCGGAGCAGCTTCTGTCCACTCTGACAGCTCTCATCAGCCTGCTGTGCTCCTCCAACACACAGACACACACGCGCGAGTTTTGTTTTCGTTGACAATGACGTTGACGAAAACAACACTGTGCCGAAATCAAGAAGAAGTGGTCTGATCTAAAGGTGGAGGCAAAGAAAAAAGTGGCTTTGCACCGTCGGAGCGTGGCGGTGACAGGTGAGGATCAGAAAAAACAAGCACGTGTGACACTCATGCATGTGTTCCAAAAAGAAACTGCTCCGATATCCACCGCTGCTTATGTGGTGAAAGTTCGTAAACCAAAAAGATTTAGTCATATTAATCTTAAAACAAATGCATGTAAATGGAATTTGTTTTTTTGCACATTTGTAAATTCAAATTGGCAAACTTTCTACACCGCCACAGTGGGGTCTGTGCTTTCTGCGAGCATCACTGCCTGTTACAGCAGCTGCAGCTCTCAGGACAGAGAGGCCCTGCATCGAGTCATCCGTTGTGCTGAACGCATCACCCGGACTGTTCTCACCTTGCTCCGATTGCCTCCAAAAAGTGCGTAAGCAAGGTGTGGAGTTTGCTTAAAGTTGCACACATTCCTACACTAGTTTTTCTTTTATAAATCCCAACTCTTGCGTAAGAAGTGGCGTAAGCACTTTCTAGCCAGGTTTTGTGCGTAAGCAAGCTTTATAAATGAGGCCCCTGGTCTTTATAAAATTGACTACATCAATGATGTCAGTCATAACCTCACTTAATTCAGGGGAAAGTTGCCTGGTTGCAAGTGCTTCTCTGTGTATAATACAGTGTGTCCACTCAGCATGAGGTGAGGCTGTCTTGATGAGTGCCCTAAGTCCTTTTCTCTTCCCTGCCATGGTTTGTGCACCATCACTGCAAACACCAATGCAGTTCTCCCACTTTAGCCCATTCTCAGTCAAAAAGGAGTCCAGAATTTTGAATAGCTCTTCAGCTGTGGCTCTGTCTCTGACATATTTACAAAAAAGTAGATCCTCACACAGGGAGTTTGACAAGTCAAAACGTACATAAGCAATAAACAGACAGTCTTTGTTGCTGTCAGTTGCTTCATCAAATTGTAAGGCAAAACGTTTGTCTTTGAGTTTATCTACCAGCTGTTCTTGAAGATCGTTAGCAATGTCATCTATACGTCTGGCGACAGTGTCATTGGACAGAGGGATAGTTTTTAGTTTTGCTGCACTGGCGTCGTCCAGCATGACAGAGACCATGTTTAATGCTGCAGGCAGTATCAGCTCCTCTGCTATGGTGTGGGGCTTTTTGCACTGCGCAATTTGGTACGCCACCTTATATGATGCTAACAGCGCTTGATGGTTTACTGAAGTAGCCTTCACAAAGCGGGATAACTGTTGGCAATATTCAGCACGTTTTCGCTGAAAAAACTCTAGCAGCTTATCGGCGTGATTGGGGTGTAACGTATTTAAGTGACGCGCTAATTTATTTGGCTTCATGCTGTCCGCTGCGAGCATTTTTAGACACAGCAAACACACCGGTCTTTCCTCTTCTCCAACTGTAGTCACAGTGAAGCCAAGCGCTAAATACGCTTCGTCGTATTTCCTCGTCTTAGCTTTCGGGTGATTTTCTTTTGTCTCATTATCTTTGTCTCTCTCCGCTTTTCTTTTCATCCCTGTTAAAAACTTTTTCATGTTGGGGGTTGTTATGTTGAATAACGGAGGCTATAGACAGAACGCAGTCGGAGCTTTCTGTTGACTCAACACTGCTAACCAAGGCAAACCTGTTGTCTTGTAAGTCGTAAAGTGTCGCAAACGTGACAGAAGTAACAATGAGAGCGCCACTGCCGCCTACTGTAGTGGATGCGCAATTACACTTTATACTAGTACGGCCAAAAAAAAAAGCCTGTTCCCCAGGGTCACACGCGCCCCCCCAGGTATCGCCCCACTATTTGAGAAGCACTGGTGTAAAGAGACCAGGGAAGATACTTGCAGCCTTTACGGTTTACCACGCCTCATTTGAAGACGCTTTAAGAGACTCCACTGAGTGCCAACACTGGTGCAAGTTCACTCGATAATATACATCCTGGGACTTGAGTGTAAAAGTTATTAAGTATGGTTATGAGTAACTTTGATTTCTCTCTGATTTGATATAGTCATCTTAAAACTGCTAAAGTAATGTCAGCAAAGATTAGCAGCTATTGCAATCAAGAGACAAACTCCGAACCAACGAGGAATCAGTAAAGCTTCAGTATCTTCTAACCGCTAACATTTCCTATAAGTGGACAGGAGGTCGATCTGACACTGTGTTTGTTAGAGGAACCATTTGGCAGAACAAAGAATCACAATGAGGTTCTCACAGTGATGTTCACAAAATGTAAGCTAATTTAGTCCAGATATCGGTATTAGTATCCAAAAGGAAGAACTACCTTCACAGCATCTTCTTATTTGGTCCATTCTTACTCTGGTTCCAGATACTTTATAAGTTTTTGGGCATTTGAGGCAAACTTTTAAATCTGTCACTTTACAAAAGGTCATAATTCTTTAAAGTATTATACAATCATCTTAACCTCTGTACTCACCTGTTTTCATCTTCTTCTGTTCCAGGTGATCGTTTGGGGCAATTACGGACGGATGGACCGCAAATGCTTCATGGGTGTTGCACGAATCCTATTGGAGGAGCTGGACCTCAGCACGGTGGTGATTGGCTGGTACAAGCTCTTCCCTACCTCCTCCATGGTAGACCCAAAGATGGCGCCACTTATTCGCCACTGCTCCCAGATGTCCCTGGAGAGCACCATTGGGCCCTGCTGTGAGAGATCCTAAGGCCCTGAAATATGAAGTTTGTTGATTTGACTTTGATTTATTGCAGTGTCACCAAACTCTCGGGTACATTTTTACAAACTCTGTCGCCCTGCAAGGGTCAGAGAGGCGGAGACACGTGGTGAGTATCCTACTGGAGGCACTCTGACAGGTCCAACCATGCTTGGTTACCAAACAACCTTTCTAGCTTGTAGGTGAGCTCTGAAATGTTTGGGAATCAGCCGCAAGTCTTTTGATATTTCCTCCGACTGTTTCTCAACGCTCAATGGAGCCACGTTTCTTTTGTTGTTGTAACGGAGAGCCCCTCAGTCTCACAGGGAAATTTAGCTCTCTTCAGATCTCTTTGATGAAAAACAAAAACCTACCTAATGAGGATACTTCAAAAGAGGGCTCGGCTGCCGGCATCGATCACATCCTACCGGGACCACGATCCACTGCAGGCTCAGCTTTGCTTCAGCTACGCGCCTTCCTAACAGCCAACTTTTGACTCTCATTTCCAGGACTGCTTCTCGTCTTTGTGTGTTCATTAGAGGGGTTTGACTGCTCTTGAGTGCTATCTGTCTGACTATGAGTTCAGGGAAGGGTAGCACTGGCCTCGGACTGTTTGAGACAGGAGCTGAAGAACAGATCATTGGGACACTAGAGGATGTTTTCAAGAAACAATAAGCCAATTTGTTGCAACAAACCAAGACTTCTTGGTCCTGAACACTCTGACTTCAGTTTTCTTTCTGTTTTTATTTTTGTGTCACACATTTGGCCCTTTAGTGTTCAGTTTGTTTTGTACTATCATTTTGTAGACATGAATGAAAACCCCTTTTTGTCTTTTGCAAAACATAGAAATCTCTACCTAATGTTGGGATCCAGAATACTGCTGTTTTTTCGACCAAACCAGTTTGTATATCGACAATTCCCCGGCATTGATTGATTTCTTACTAGACTACCATTATTTATATAGGACCCTCTGCTATCGTCAAAAATGTGGCATCAGGTAATGACCCATACAAATAGACTGTATAAAGAATGGACAGAGTCTGCCTCCTTGCTGGGTGAAGCCACTCCAAAAACAGCACCCTCTGTTGATGGGCTGCAGTATAGGTCATAAATCCCGCCTCCGCCAGCAAAGCTTATGGATCTGTGGACAAACTTCAGAAATTTATTACACAGAACATAAATTTTTCTCCCCCCTGCTTGTGATGTTGACATGTAGTTACAGTAAGACTGGTTTGTGCTCAAGTCCTCTTTTTTCTGTGAAGCTCCGTTTTTAAAAATTATTAGGGGGTTCATGTTTTCAATGATTGACACCTGATACAGCCTATGGGCATTCAAGGATTGCGTAGCTCTCCCTGGGGATACGCTGTTTGAGCCGGCGACTGCGTGCCCAAATGCACGCATTGCTACTGCACGGCGCTGGTTTCAGGAAATGAAGAGAAATCCCAGAAATACTGAGAGCTATTTGGCTTCAAATCCTTATACAGGCGGGAGGTGGAACCAAGTTGTCCATAGTATATACAGCCTATGCCCATACACCAGTCAATGAACCAATCCAATACCATGACTCATGAGCCCCAAAAATCAACAGTTTTTAGGTAAATCAGGCTGAGAGTAACGTGAGCCAAGCAACCAAAATTATAGCAACTTCTTCTTTTGTCTTTCCAGTAATTTGTAGATGTGAACTCTGTTGGTATTGGAGCTAATCTTGGTATTGTAAAGGAGAGCGAGCAGGTTTTGAGTTCCTGAGAATCACAGTAAAATTAGGATCTGAGAACCTGAGCGTTTCCCTCAGAAAACTGCAGTGTTGGGTTTGGTTGTGGCATCATGGCACCTGGTTGTTTCCATTGATACACGAACTCTGCTCCTGATCTTGTTGTTAATTCACCAAAATCACATCACTGACCTTAAACAAGAAGAGTTTGGGTGTTTTAGCCTGCCAATAGTAATGCATATGATTTCAATTTGATCAATAATCCAGATACATTTATGATGAAACAGCCAGGTGCTAACGTGTTTGAAATATTGACGTTTTTTTGTCGTTATTCGATTCATTTTTGTCTTGTTTTTGTGATAAAATTCTACTCCAGCCTGACAGTCCAAATGCAGAGGGGGGATAATGTACTTTATGGTGTGTGACTCTAATTTAAAAAGTCCAATAATCAGTAACCAATCAGGATCGTAGCCTGGCTGAGAGCTTGCTGTAAATCCCAGTGTCACTCGTCGTTTGGCCCTTTAGCTAAAATTAGACGCCATTTTCTAAGATCCCTCCTTCCTTTTGTTAAAGCTTTGGTGAACAGTTGTCTAATAACAGTTACTACTGTGCCAATCAATTTCTACCAGCAAGTGTCTTCTCCTTCCTCTTCTTTGGTTCTCTTCAGGCCTGAGTTATTATGAGGGAGAACCAAAACCAAGCGCTCACGGTGTTTAACAGCAGCATTCAGGCTGTGCAGAGGAGCGTCTTTTTTATTTGAAATTACAGTCCTAATCCACCGACTGCCACGGCACCTGGTGATTAGCCGAGCTACGAGGAAGAGAGGGAGGGAGAGAGGGAGGAAGAGTAAAATGTACTCTGCATCATCAGAACAAAAGGAGGGACGTCTGATTTTAAACATAGGATGAGTTTAAAGGGAACACAATGTGCGCACTGTAGAGAAGTGTATCGTTTATTACAGATTTAAAGGTTCTGTATCTTTATTTGGGCACTTTCATGTCTTTTCACTTGTAAATATTCTGGTTGTTCGTGTCTTTTGGAGTGAGCAAAAGTGAATCTATGATAGCAGATTAATGTTAAAACTCCGGGGAACTCTTGGAGATGGGATACCCTTGCTAGTTACCGTAAGATTGTAGCATTAGCTGGTAGCATCCGCATGATTTATGAATACTTTAAATTAATAAGCAGAACACTTGATAAGACTTAGCATGAGCTACAATGAAAGAGGAGAACTGAAAAAACGAAACAAATGAATTTCATTTTTACATATGTAGCAGTTTAATCAAGGGTTTAGGGAGATTCACTCTAGGTTTTATTTTTCTTTTTGCAGATAAACTTTAAGAGAAGACAAAAAAAAAAACAAGTTTCAGACTTTGAGTTGAACTTTCAGACCTTTTCTTTTTCTGAACTCAAATTTAAATCAAACACTTGGAGTAACTTAACTCATGAAACTTTGCAAAACATGCCTGTGTTTTGCTAGTAGCAGCCTTGCAGGGATATTAATACTGGATTTATTTCCAAAAAGATTTGCTACATTCAGTAAAGCAATAATACAAAAATCTGATGTTTCAGCCTTTTATTCCTCCTGTGAAAATGACAAAAAAATGGCAATCTTCACCGGTGATTTTCTCTGCGGTCAGAATCAGCATAGTCTAAAAAAACAATAAAACATGTCGTATGTTGTGAGTTTAAAACCATTTAAGTTGTTTCGGTGTAACTTTTTTATGTTTAAGACACACTTTTAGTATGTATTTCATCATCTAAAACTCCCATGCATGTGGGGAATGCGTGGAAATAAATTACTTTTGATTTGTAAATTAGTGAGAAGAAAACAAGCAATAGTAAAACGTTTTATACTGTGGCTGTTTAAAAAAAAAAAGGCCTTCAAACAGTGCAAAGAAAAAAGTGAAATTTAAACAAAAAGTTATGACGACAGCCAGCAGAAGGGTGGCGCTCATACAAGTATGTAACCTAAAGTTCACTCATGAAATAAAGCTGTAAATCATGAAAAAAAATTCACATTCTGCAAAAACGGTTCTTGAATTTTAAAAATATTTAATGAACCACAGGAATGTTGAACAAAACACAAACTATTATATGAAAAACAAAAACAAAAGATATTTCACAAAACATGGAATTAATTAAGAAGCTAAAACTGCAATTAAAATATTTTGAATTATATTTTTCTTTTATGAAACATTTCAGTTTTTAGTGAAACTTGTGGTGGTTAAAGTTTGACCCTCAGTGCCACCATACTGATTAATATTATTCAGGGTTATACTTTCAAAAACATACTGATAAAACTTTTTAACTCTGAACACGTGAGCAGAAAATCACTGGGTAAGATCCGACATTTTTTCCTCAGCACATTCATACACGTCTGTTCTCATAACTTGTTTCAGGCTGAGTGTTGTGACGCCTAAAGAAGTCTGTGTTAAATGATTCATAAATATAGAAATATAAATTTAACATAAAAACCTTCTGGCTTTAAGATGCTAAATTATTTATCAAAAATCCATAAGGACTGTGGAATGGTACAAACAAACAGGTGACTGTTTTTAAAGCTAATAGAAGAAAAGTTGCATGAATGAAAAGTACATATAAATAATTTATATTTAAATATATTTAGAAACTGATGAGCTCCTCATATAGTGACCCTGAGAATGTGTTTTTGTCCGTGTACTTTTGTGCCAAATTCAAATGTACTTTGAGGGCTGACTTCCCGTTTGTGGACCAATGACAGAGGAAAGTTTACATATGTGGTGAAAGATTTGACCACAATTAGCTCCCATTAAGAGATTATTTTGTTCAGTGAAAATGAAGAAGTGTCTGTCATTTATTTAACCCTCTGATGCATGAATTATGAAAGCCCTGATCAAGATTTTTTTCATAAGTGTTTTTATCATTCTCAGGACATAAAAGAACATGTAAAATTGTTTTTTTCCAAAAATGTTATTTTTTCACAAAACTACAGAAGTGTCCATTCAAGTGGACTATATGCGCCTGAGCACTCAACACAAAACATTATGAACTTACAGTAAAAAGTACAGTACACCAAAATATGCCAAACTATCTCCAACATTGGAAACAATATTGTAAATCCCCACAGTACTATAAAGATTCAGGACTGACATTACCATGCCCTTATACGAGCATGTTGTTTTCAACAACAAAAACTGATATTTTAGTTCCTGCATCTCTAAACATGTCTCTGCTCATCACACCTAGGATGTATGAAAGTTGGCAAAGCATCCAGGGCACAATGGCACACAGGCTTTATATGAGCACAGGATTTGCTCATATCTGTTTACAGACATGGCATTTGCAATCATCCCTAGACGAAGGCCATCCTCACTAGACCAGTACATGTGTGCCCTGGGATAACGAATGTAGCCCATGATCATTTTGATTCCTAAAAAAGTCTGCATTTCTTCTCCTGTCACTGCCAGATTTTCTTTCCCTTTCTGGGGAGCATACAACTTGGTGTTTTTCACTATATCATCAATGAGATCTGCTGGAAACAGATGTCTGGTCTATAGGTCTATAGGCTCTCTTCCCTCCACATTGAATTTCCACTCTCCTAGAAAAGGAGACATATCTCTATCAAAGTGATTGTCTTGGACTTTCCAGAAATTTTTGCGAGCTTGAGAATGGTCAGGTGTCATGTGCCCATTTTCCACAGCTCCCTGATCATGCTGACCTTCCCCTGCATCCTGCCTCTCATCATTCTGGTCCTCATCCACTTGACTATAGGCATCTACCCTTTCTGCACCCTGACTGTCTGTATCTCCATCATCCTCAGCCCCTACATGTCTATTCTTCTCTGGCAGCCACTCTTGGTCACTGTTACACACTGATTACACTGTATACACTGATTTATAACCAAAACAGCCACAAGTACCAGTGGAGCAATTACATGACTCCTGTTAAAAAAAATACTGGGTGATGCATGATGTCCACTCAGTTGGACACATGGTTAATTGTAATTTTCTACATATTGGACATGAAATTTTCAATTCCAAATGGATAATATCCTTCCTTAGATGTTACAGTATATCATCATATTTTTTTTACAGCTGGGGTTCTTCTACTATAGAAGTATTGACAGGACATGCCAGCTGTAGTCAGCAGGGGTGGCTGTTTCTCGGCCATCTTGGATTTGTAGGAAATTTACTTGCAGTTACACTGATTACTCACTAAATGTAACTCAATGGAGTAGGGCAGTAGAGAGCACCCTAGAGGCTGATATACACTTCCACCATAGAAACCATTGCATTTAAGAGAAAAAGAGTTTTTGGTAGCTGTCCACTGTAGTGACCACTATGAACCAGAGGGTTAAAGGTGAAACTGCATGAAAATAATGGAGACTTTGTGAATAAGATCACAGAGAGAGTTGGAAATGTTGCAGAGGTGGCCATCATTGGAGTTTCCCAGTTATTTATGATAAATCTAACCTGCAGCTGCCGAGAGTGAAAATTTGACATTCAGAGTCGTCATCAGATTCACTGGAGCTGGATCTGGAAAGAAATTTTAGCTGGTGTGAAGAAAAAAAAAGGAAGACTTTGCTTGACTTCTATCTCAAAATGTGACTATTTTTCTTATTTGGACTTTTTCTCAAAATGAGGAGTCACTATCACAAACCTTTGACCCCTAATCTCATAATATGATTCATGTCTCATCATTATGACTTATTCCTCATCATTTTGATTTTCCCTCTTAAAGTGGAAATTCATAATTTTGATTTTTAGTTCATGATAAATGTATTTTATTATCTTATAATTGCAACATTCTCATTCTCATTTTGACTATTTTGTCATATAACTCAAGTCTCATTATTGTACCAATTTTTTGTAACTGACAATTTAACTCAGAATTTTGATGAATTATCTCATGATTAGGACTTTTTGCTCATGAAAAATACAAAAATCTACTCTGTAATAATTAAGACTTCTCCTTATTTTGACTTTATTTTAGAGTTAGACATTTTCTCATAATTATGAGCTATTTCCCAAAATAAAAGTTTGCTGTCTCATCTTTTCAGCCTTCAGCCTGATAAGTCTGAATTTTCAAATTTTGTGTCACTGTCATACATTTTTGACTTTTAATTTAACAATTTTTACCTAATTTTGACTTTTTATCAGATCATCAGATCATTTTTACATTCGCTCATAATTTTGATTCTCTGTTATCATGACTCTCTCTCTCTCTCTCTCTATATATATATATATATATATATATATATATATATATATACATTTTTTTAAATATATATATATATATTTAAATATATATATATTTCCATCTTACATAAGGCCAAGCCCTCCTCTTTTTCTTAAACTGGTGTAAATGGGCTTTAATAGAAAGTTTATATCTGATGATGGTTCTCCTTTGATGGCTACAGCTGCAGACTTTAGCATCAGGCTTAACTCATTGCAAACTTTGATTTCACGAATGTTGAGATAATCTGAGTCACTTTTACAAGTCAATGAGAGGAATATGCCAACACTTACAGCAGTTAATGTTTGTTCATGGAGGAGTTGATTCTGTTGTTTTGTTCATAAGAAACTTCTTGTTCACCACTCTGATTTTTTTGTGACATTTTGTACCTTTGGAGGCAAACCGACGAGCTAATGAACTTCTGTACATGTGTAAATGTTCTATCTGACAGGTTTTAGCACCAAAAATGTCCGTGTTTGCATTCAGCCATGTTGATTGTGTCTGCCACATGGATGTTAGTTATGTACTACTACCAATTTAATGTAAGTAGAGGCCTTAAACACACAGATGTATATTTTGTCAGGGCTAGGGACTAAGAAATGTCATATAAATCAATCAAAAGATGCAAAAAAGTTTCACCATTACAACCTATTACCCAAACAAATCGGATTCTTTTGTAAAGAAATTATTACCTTTAAGTTTTCTTCAGATATTCAGCTGAATACTCTTGTATTATCCACTCTTCTTAGCGTGAGCTAAACTAAACAAACAAGCAAAAAACGTCATTTTTGCAAAGCAGATATTCAAATAAACAGCCTGTTTCTTAACAAGACTTCCTTTCCAACCCTAGAGAAATAAAACTAGAGTTTCTGTATGGATTATTGATGCACACGCTGGTACTTTGTGGTTCAAACTGAGCAGAAGAAGACAAAAGCAAAAAGGACATTTTCAATCCAGCCATTTCCAACACCCATAAGAGATGTTATAGCTTCAGTTTGGGGTCTTGTCTGACTCTGACTGCCTTGAGGTCGACTTTCTGCAGAAAACAGAGAAAGTTGTTACATCACAGTGGTTCAAACAGGTGACACAAATGTCCTATAACTGGACTAAGTTTTCATGCATGAAAAAGTAGCCGTAACACAAGGGCTGCCTCTAAAAGTGGACACTTAACCATTATTGCAGAAAACTTTAAGCCAGTGGACATGTCAAAAACTGGACACAGTGTTAGTTCAGGCAGGTCACAAAAGTCAGGCTCAGTCAACAACATAGCAGCTGATCTCCACAGCCCATATCAGCTGACTGCTTCAGCCTACACTAGCTCCTCTTTACCATGCTGACTTTACCATTGTCATCTTGATTGTCACTGATGCCCTCTTTGTCCATTTCCCAGGGGTCTTTGCTGCTGCTGTCCCTGCTCTTTCTTATACTGCTTAGCTAAATATGCACCCCAGATTTATTCAAGAAGGTTTGAGTTTTTATCTGTTTTTGCATAAGGTCAACCCAAGAGGTCAATCCAAGTCCAGGATTTTTAAAAAATGTCTGATATTTGAGTCCATACATGTCTCCTCTTGAGTACTTGGGTTTTCCTGAGTAGGAGTGCTCTGTTAGTGGCTTTCAAAGTGGCGGTGTGTTCATTCCTACACATAAATCATGGTAAATTGGTGGAGGAGGGGGAGGACTCTGCAGCTCTTATGAAACGCTGACTGGTGGATCCCAAAAGCAACACATCCCCTCCTTTTCCCAGAGTGGCACCCCAACACAGCTCTCATTAAAGGGTCCCCCTCACAAGCCACCCGGTGGATACGCTCGTTTATGATGTGCTACATTAACCTAATAGCAAACATTTTCAGGATGGGTGACTCCAGCAGGAATTTATGTGCCATGTTATTTTGTAACTCGTGTTCCTCGACACGAGGCTCCAAACCCCAAATCTTCAACACTGAGCCTCCTTTACAGTCAGCGAAACAAACTCTACAGCCTTTAATCAGCGGTATTTTCTATGAAGGTGATGTTTTGGTTTTGGGATGCTGAATGAGACAGTTTTACAGTCCTCTCATGCTTTTAGGAGATTGTTCTGTCGGCAACTTTTGGAAGCAATGCTAATGGAAATAATTTTTATATTTAGTGACAAGAGTTCTTGAGTAGATCATACAATCGTTATCTCTGCAAACACTTTGTTTCCATCCCTTCAGCTGTATATTTCATCACCTTCATTAGAGCTAATTACTAAATGGCAGCTCAGTAGCAAAGGAAATGGAAACCTCACCTAGCCATACAAGAATTTCAGCCTTTATTATGAGTATGAAAGCTTTCTTACGATACCTCTCATTCCATCTGGAGATCAACATGAATAAATATTAGCATAAACTACTTTTACTGATGCAAATGCCCGTCTGCATTGCTTTCCATTTGTTTTTCATGTGTTTCAAAGAGATGTAACTTTGATTTAAGTCACGACACTGTCATTACAAACACAGTATTTGCATATACTTTGGCAAACTGTTGAATTGTTGAGTAAATGCACAATTTGGTGTATTGTTATTCTATTCCAGCTGTCAATAAAATAGTTTAACTCCAGAAGAAGATCTTTTATTTCCTTTCTTTTGACTTGTTTTTACCAGATGTTCAAGACAAGAGAGTGATAAGAACAGAATTTGATGGTCTGCAAATAGTTCAATTTTATACCAGGTACATGTTTCTAAAGAGTAGATCCAGGTTCATGTTTCCCATGGTGTGTACTCAGCTCTCTGTAGACCTTAGTGGACCCAGAAGACCAGGTTCTGGTGTCTGACAGTCAAATGTTGTCCCATTCTGGCCTGATAGAGGATTTCATCTGCTCAACAGTTCAGGATCTCCTCGGTCCTGTTTTTGGGGTAATGTTGCTCCAAATGCTTTCAACAAGTCAGGACTGCATCAGTCCAGTTTCTCAGCTGGACTCTTCTCCTCCAGAGCCATGCTGTTGTAATCTCTGTTGTCAAAATGTGGTTTGGGATCATATGAAGGTCTTCCCTGAAAAAGTCATTGTCTGTATGGCAGCAGATGTTGTTCCTTAACCTGGAGATATTGTTTAAAAGTGAGGATGCAACATCTATGATTTCCTGTTCTTCGTTGAAAGGGTATGGCTAAATTCCACAGGATAAGGAATGGCTCCGCTCCGGAGCAGCAGCCTGATCAAATATGCAAGCATTACAATCAATGTGCGTGATTCCACACAATGCGTCCGAGGTTCGGCTCCACTGCAGGTCCACTTCAACAGTCGGTTTAGATACGCAAGGCTTCTATTTTTGCCAGACACCGCAGCATAACGCAGCAATTCAGTGCAGCACAGCACAAGCAGCAGTGGAAGTTGTACGCAGCTACAGAATAAAATATCAGGTGAATTTTCGAAATAAAATAAAGTCAATACGTTGAACTGTTCTTCACCGGTCAAGGGAGAGGCCAGGGTTGTGGTATGTGGGTATTGTGGTATGTGGCTGCCGATCTCATTCAATGTCTCGTGGTGAAACATGCGAGATCTCGTCCAGTCTCGCGAGAAACATAGGTAATATTGCAAGCGCTTCTCCTCCGCTTACAGCAGCGGCTCGGATCCAGTGGGCACTGTATGCTTGTGTTTTTGATTCGCCTGCCATTCCGGAGTGGAGCGTAGTGGATCTGCCTGCGGTGGAATCCCAGCGTTACCCTTTCCAAAAGAGTGTTAGATTTTGATTTCTTCAGACCTCAGGACAGTTCACGGACAGGTGATATTAAGCCCATGCGGTGACTCCAACTATACAGAGTGCTGTTGCTCCTAAACTTGGAGATATTGTTCAGCATTAATGGAGCCTTCACAGATGTTGAAGATAACCATGACAAGGACTGTAATGATCCTCATACCATCAGGGATGCTGGAATTGGACTGTGAGCTGAGAACAAGCCGGATGGATCTTCTACTCTTTAGAGGCGAGGATGCAGAGTCCAGGATTTCCAAAAAGAAGGTCAGATTTTGAGCCAGAGTTTTGCCCTCAGTCTATTTTTAACATGCTTGGTTCCAGATCGTCGCTATCATGTCTGGGGGTTAATGTTTACATGGTTTCCTCCTTGGATGGTTTATGGCATGGGTGGCGGGTAATTAAGGCCAAGGTAGGCTATGCCTACCTAAAATAAATGCTAGGTATTTTGAAAAAGACATATAATATGTGCACAGCATTAATGTAGGCTGCAATATTGTCTGTGTGTTGTTGCTGCAGCCTCCCCTGGTGACAATGCGGTGATAAAAGGCTTGGTTTAAAAAAATTTTTTTAAAAAGCGCAGCTGGGGTCCGTTTCACGTAGCAGGTTTAGTGGAAACTCCGAGTTTGTTAACCCTGAAATCAGGGAAACTCTGAGTTTTCCGTTTCACAAAGTAGGGTTAGTTAAACCAGGGAGAGAGGGGTAACTCTAACCTGTTTCACAAAGAGAGGTAACTCAACCTCGCGGTCAGTTACCACAGTAACAGACTCCGTGAACCTAACCTGCTCGGGAGCAGGTTTAACTCAGTAAACCCAGAGTTTCAGGTGAGACATCGGCATTTTCTCATTTTGATCATGTTTTACATTGTCAAGTAAGTATTAAGTGGCAGTTTGATCCCTTAAAAAATGCCTTTTTCACACTCAAAACTGAATTTTACTCTCTTATTATGTTCCGTTAAATGATTAGGAATATTAAACTAACACAAAAACGGGTGGTGGCCCAGCAGCCCCACCTTTAACGGAGGCAGAGGAGCTGCCCCCCCCCGTTCGACGATCGCGGCCGGTCCGATCGCAAACCCCCCCCCACAGACACACACACACACACACACACACGCACACCAGTCCGACGATCGCTGCTACGGGGTGGGGGTTGCGATCGTCGAGGGGGGGGGGGGGGGGGGGGGGGGGGCAGCTCCTCTGCCTCCGTTAAAGGTGGGGCTGCTGGGCCACCACCCGTTTTTCTGGCATCTGCCCTCTTTCTGTTTGCTGAGTGAAAGTCTAATATTGAGTGTAGTGTGTGTTAGTTTAATATATGTACATATACATACTGAGAGTTAGTTTAATATTCCTAATCATTTAACGGAACATCATAAGAGAGTAAAATTCATATTTGAGTGTGAAAAGAGCATTTTCTAAGCGATCAAACTGCCACTTAATACTAACTTGACAATGTAAAACATGATCAAAATGATTCAAGCAGTTTCCCTGCAACAGTCTGTCATTGTGATTGCACAAGACTAGATTTAAAGTTACGCATTGACGCGAGCAGCGATTTCCTCCCAAGCCCTCTCCCCCTCCTTTGCAGCTGCTGCTATATTGCACTTTCTTTTAAAAACGTGCTGTAATTCGCTGTTGGCTTGCTGCTGCCCCCTCCTCCTCCCTGTTTCCATTGGTTGATCATTGAATCTGCGCTCCACAGATGCTGGCTGTTTATGTCTGGCGTGCACGTGCTTAACTCCAGGTCAAACTACTCGGAGTTGTTAAAACCGTCTCAAATCAGGTGTTGTGAAACCGGAAACTCAGAGTTTCCTAACTCAGAGTAGATCAACTCAGAGTTAAGGATTTAACTCAGAGTTTGTTGAACCACCTACGTGAAACGGACCCCTGATCACATGCTGATCAACCTGTTTTGTTTACAAAAATATGCCTTATTGTATACATCCGCCTTTCGCCCGCCTAATTCGACCCAGCGGGCAGCGCTCACTTCGAAACACCAATCCCTAGAATGGATATACGCTCATATTTGAAACCAAAAGACAAACAACGAAATAAATGGACACAAAACAGTGCAGAAGCGGCCAACAGCAACGACAGTGAGTCGGAGGGCGACTGCAACCCAGCAGCCAACACAGCGTCAGCGAGCCCTGATCCGGCTGGGCAGAACACTGGGGGTCCGTTTCACGTAGCAGGTTTAGTGGAAACTCCGAGTTTGTTAACCCTGAAATCAGGGAAACTCTGAGTTTTCCGTTTCACAAAGTAGGGTTAGTTAAACCAGGGAGAGAGGGGTAACTCTAACCTGTTTCACAAAGAGAGGTAACTCAACCTCGCGGTCAGTTACCACAGTAACAGACTCCGTGAACCTAACCTGCTCGGGAGCAGGTTTAACTCAGTAAACCCAGAGTTTCAGGTGAGACATCGGCATTTTCTCATTTTGATCATGTTTTACGTTGTCAAGTAAGTATTAAGTGGCAGTTTGATCCCTTAAAAAATGCTCTTTTCACACTCAAAACTGAATTTTACTCTCTTATTATGTTCCGTTAAATGATTAGGAATATTAAACTAACACAAAAACGGGTGGTGGCCCAGCAGCCCCACCTTTAACGGAGGCAGAGGAGCTGCCCCCCCGTTCGACGATCGCGGCCGGTCCGATCGCAAATCCCCCCCCACAGACACACACACACACACACACACACGCACACCTCTGCCTCCATTAAAGGTGGGGCTGCTGGGCCACCACCCGTTTTTCTGGCATCTGCCCTCTTTCTGTTTGCTGAGTGAAAGTCTAATATTGAGTGTAGTGTGTTAGTTTAATATATGTACATATACATACTGAGAGTTAGTTTAATATTCCTAATCATTTAACGGAACATCATAAGAGAGTAAAATTCATTTTTGAGTGTGAAAAGAGCATTTTCTAAGGGATCAAACTGCCACTTAATACTTACTTGACAATGTAAAACATGATCAAAATGATTCAAGCAGTTTCCCTGCAACAGTCTGTCATTGTGATTGCACAAGACTAGATTTAAAGTTACGCATTGACGCGAGCAGCGATTTCCTCCCAAGCCCTCTCCCTCTCCTTCGCAGCTGCTGCTGTATTGCACTTTCTTTATTAAACGTGCTGTAATTCGCTGTTGGCTTGCTGCTGCCCCCTCCTTCTCCCTGTTTCCATTGGTTGATCATTGAATCTGCGCTCCACAGATGCTGGCTGTTTATGTCTGGCGTGCACGTGCTTAACTCCAGGTCAAACTACTCGGAGTTGTTAAAACCGTCTCAAATCAGGTGTTGTGAAACCGGAAACTCAGAGTTTCCTAACTCAGAGTAGATCAACTCAGAGTTAAGGATTTAACTCAGAGTTTGTTGAACCACCTACGTGAAACGGACCCCGGGGGTTCAGCGGGTTCACCTGTGGCTGCAGCCGGCCGCGTTAGCAGGGATGACCGGGGAGGGGGAGACAACATCCACTGCTGCTTAGTGATTTGGGAGGAAAAGGCACTGTACGGGCGGGGAAAAACCCAAAAATTGCGCGCGCGCGCGAGTAGTGGCCCATATACAGTATATAGCCTACCCAAAGCTCTGAGTCACCCGCCGCCTATGGTTTATGGTGTTATAGCTGTCGGTTCAGTGAATTTAAACTCAAACTGACCCTGAATATCAAATCGAAGGTGTTGAACCATTTCTGCCGTTGGAGTTGTAATCTCCTGTGTCATTGACAACAAAACTCTCTGTCTCACACCTTTTAAACTGTGGAGATATATTTATGTCTAATGCCACACCTGTTGCTGTCTGTTCTGCTTAACAAAAAAAGTTTTAAAGGCTCTTAAAAAGTCTTAAATCTGTACAAGAGTGCATTAAGCCTGACTTGTAGATTTTTTTTGTCATTTTTTGCCATATTGCGCTGAGGCTGATAGAACAACGGTTAATTTTTTTTTAGGGTGGCATATAAATGAACAAAACAATTAATAGCTAGCCTTTAGTACGTCTAAAGGACACAACTGTGACCAGTGTGAATGTTTTAAAAGTTTTAATGAAAATCCACCATCTTATCTGAAGCTTTGAGTCATCCTCCTGAAGAGAAACAAGGGTCTTAAAGGGCAGAGTGTTTTGATTTTGATAGACAGCAGATGAATCAACTTCAGTTGGACCGATCTTTTTAAACTGAAGTAGAACATCCTGAGCTGCAGAGGAAAAGGAGGGTAGGGATCCATATTTAATTCACTTATGGGTCACAGATAAATCAGTTAACCATGAGCAGAAAAAATCGGTACATATTTCATTACCTGCCCAGAATTTTTTTAGCATGTCCTCTGCTCGTAACACACTAAAATATCACACATGCAAAACTTAACAAATCAACAATCGACAACCAATAAAGGTTGTATTGTTGTTTTTAGTAAAACCTTATTATAAATATTTTTTTTAAAAAGAAGAAAAGATAAGCAATGAAAAGTATGAAAATGGTGTTTTAGTGCATTGAAATCTAGATTGATTTAAAAACTTCATAGTAATATTAATGCATGTTTTCTCCACAACAGCTTGATCCATAATGAAAGTATACCCCATCTTATTCCATTCAATTCGAGTCTAAAGAAGATAAATATATAATTCACTTCAATATCATGAAAAGTTTCAGTGCCGTAAAAGATTTAACAGAAAAAAAGGTCAAATCTGACACTCCTGAAGCTTCTCAAATTCCAACCGAGCCTGATCATGGAAGCTACATGCAGCCTCTGCTGCCCTCTAGTGGCTGTTTTATGCATGTGCAGCAGCTGTCCTTATATGTTTTTAAACTTGCCAATGTGACTTTAATAATCTCTTTTATGTTTATTTTTCACCCTTCTTCACATATTTTGTTCAATGTCAAGTCACCATACTATCAGTCTAAATGAAATAGGAATATTTTCAAAACTGAGGTGTTTTGACATAAATAATCAAAAACACCATAGGATAAAGGTCTCATGCCTGTGAAGAGATTGGAACAATCAAAGAAATCAATGTTATTTCATGTCATTAAATGCACACAGTCTGCAGATTCTCTGAGATTTAGCTAATGTGTGATATTCAAACTACAGATTCTGCAGCCTGAAGGAGCCAACTATCACCATTTTGGTAATGATAGATTTTGTCAGTTAGATGTGACAATTTTACAGTGAAATAATTTCTGAAACCTTTATCTGAATATTAATTTCTAGTTAGTTGAAGCTGAATGGAGGTTGTAGCTCAACAAATAAGATGACCGTCCTGCCTTTTTGCCCTCTGAACCGAATGTCTCTGGAAAGCTGTAATCTGTCTGTTTGTGCACAGATTTACATATTTGTGCTGTGAATCAGGTTGGACTTCCATGTCGGCGTCAGTATCCTGAACCAATCCACTATATGACTTTTGAATGTAAATCAGAATAAGGTCAAAAGTTCCATATTATTTGAAGGTGATGACGTCTGATGTTCTGGTCGAAATAAACTCCAACTAAAATATTTTTAATTGAAGTTTCATAATCATGTACTTTCATTTGGATGGTGTGTTGTTCACTTCTGTGATTTTTTCCATATTAGTATATCTTATCTTTACACAGCTGTTTACCCTTTTCAGCAGTTGGATAACAGACCCCATCTTTTTGTGCTGTTGTAGTCAGTGCAGCATCTCCATAGTTAGATTCAGTCTAATAAAATAACATTCATGCTTTTAACTAATTTAGTTTGGGCCTTAGCATCCTGCAGATCTATCTCATCTCAATAAATAAAGCTGTTACAACACAGCCAATTTATAAGCAATCAATAAATAACCCCGATGAGCACATGCACTAGATGATCCAATAATTTAATTGCTGCACCAGACAAGCAATTTAAGCTGCAGAGATACATCTCCATATCCTGATATTATTGTGACTTGTGTTTGTGTAGTGCTCAGCATCACAAATCTTAAATGTACCCGTTCTCCTTCTGCAAAATCCCTCTATCTCTCACTGTAAGCTCTGCTTCAGAGACATGGAGCTTTAATAATATATTTTCCTGCAGGCTTTGGCAGCCAAAACACAGAGGAATGCATCCATCATCCTGGTGCTAAGGTCAAACATCGACAGCGCTCGTCATTTATAATGTTTCTAAAACTTTTGCAACCACATGCACCAGATTTTATAACAAAATGCCCATGGGTATGGATATGTAAAGGACCTTTTATACTTGCATATTCAACAAGAGGCCAGACTGACACGAAATTTCTCCTCTGTGGAGAGTCTTTGTATTTGTCATCATATTTTTGTGTAATTTGTCACTGTTGTCTTTTGATATTTATGGAGTGCTTCAATCTGGTAAATATTCCGCTGTAAATATCCAAAACCCCCTTCCATGGTTGCCATCCTACTAAGTGGTTGTAATTGTCTAAACTTGTTGACTTTTTGTAACATTTCATGTTAAAAGTCTGTGGACAGTGAAGTCTGCTGGAGTCACACTCCTTTTTGTGATATGTACTTGGCCAATAAAGGTGATTGTGATTCTGATTCTAATTGAGTTAAATTGTGTTTTAATACATAAAATTATCAATTGTGAACTACAGGGCCAGGACCCAAAATATGTCTCATTCAATTTAGAAAGGGGACAAATAGAAAATCCCCTGCACTTCCTCCTCCACTGTTGCCATGCTGCAAAGATATTGTCATTGGTTTAATTGTGTTCCTCACATAATGAACCTTACAGTGCGTAATATAATTGATAAATAAATAAATAATATAAAGAATTTATTTAGATTATTTATATAATGCTCTTTAGAAAACATTTATTTAAGTTGAAATTTTTTTTAAATTAAAACAAAAATACAGCCCCCAAAGTTTCTCACCTCCAATCCCTGACACATCTGGCCAAACACAGTCATTCAGATTAAGACACCTTCATGGTGCTTTAATCTCTTCTTTTTAAACATGATGTTCTCTTAGATTAACTTTAAAAGGGTCTGAGATAAGTGTTGTTAAATGCAACACAAGGCAGACCCAGTGTAATCTGATGGCTGTGTGTTTCAGGGTGTGCAGTGGTTGTGTAGGTGGTGTGGTGGGAGAAACAGAGCAGCTTGTTATGAAGTATAAAATCAGTGTAACCCACACAGAGCTGTCAGCTGACACGATGCTGAACTCAGATACGATGGTAGCAGCAGCGGCCTCGTGGAGACAGTTGCCATGGACACCCGTGTACGTCATCCTGTAGCTGGTTGCCATGGCCCTCCTGACGTCAAAGCCCCTCGAAAGATGCTCGGGAAACCCCCTGGCGCGGTCGCCATGGATACTGGCGGGGGGAGGGGTGGGGCTTAGAGGAAGCGGAAGTGTCAGAGCAGGCGGAAGTGGTACTGCCCTGAATACCCTGAGCAGCAAGCGGAGGACAGCTTGACAAACTCCCATCGTTCAGAGAAGAAAATCAGGATCCCTAGGACGCTCTAAATGTGAGTTTTCACACATTTCATTTAATATTTGTCTTATATGCAGGCTTGTGATAGGCTTTCTCCGAGAACTGCAGCCCCAGCGGTGGCCTCATTCCCTGCCTCTGCGGCGGACGGTGCCTATTGTGGTTAGGGGCTGGGTGCGAGGATTTAGGCCGATACTTGCGGCCAAAACGGTCGGAAATACCCACAAAACATCCCACCTGGGTTTAACTGCTCTCATTTCGCTGTCGATTGAGCCACATAATGCAAAAATTAGCGGCCCAGGCTCCGGTCGATGCCATGCGTGTAACGGTGACCGTGTAACGGGAGGAGAAGCAGCCGCACCAGAGTTTGGCCATTTTGACAGCTTAGCAGCCGAGCCCTGGCCGGGAGCAGCCGAAGGATGCCGAGCCTGAGTCGAGAACAGCCGAACACTAGATTCCGGCGGCCGCGAGCAGGCCGAAATCAACCGAGTCCGGGCCGGGAGCGGTCGAAACAGGCCGATAGTAGCCGATCCTAGATCGAGAGCAACAGAGACAAAGTAGCGGCCAATACTAGCTACATGACTCATTAGAGAAGGCAAATGCCGAGCTGTTAAACAGTTTTATAAAAATATACGTTTATTGGCATCAGATTGGCGTTGCTGTTTCAAGATTATCTATGTCATGGCGTAGTGAGACGAAATATAGGCTATCCCACCCTCCCAGTTTCCCCGGAGTTTCCTCTTCAAGCGCGATTAAAATTCAAATTTGCTCTGTTTTCGATATAACTTGACAGCTGTGATTTGAAACTGGACCGTTTAATTATTTCACAGTTGCACAGTTTCAGTGTGCAGCTCGGCTTGAGCGCATTTATGAACTCCGTTAGATTGAACTGGGTCAGATGCGTTAGCGGGGCTACCGCTAGTGCTGCATTTAAGGACTTGACAATGCTCAGATTTCCGATATTCATGAGTAGTAGTAATTTTTTTTATTGACGTACCTCAGGGACTCAGTCAACGATTGAACCTTAAAGAATAAAACAGTACATGAACAGTTGTCCTTGTGTAGCAAATTCTATCTTCAACTCAACACCATGAAATGCAATTAAAACATAGTATACTTCAGTACTGTCGTTACACGCTTGAAGATTGTTTTACCAGTAGTTTATGTTACCTAAAGTCTATAATTTTATTGGAGAACTGATTTGACTTCGTTAATGACAAAAAGCCCAAACTGGCTTCTAAATGTTCACCAACTGGGTGTGTAGTTTTCCAGAAGTAAATCAAATTTCCGATTTTTAGCACGATATGAATGCAACGTAAAGCCAGCGGCCGTTCATTTAGCATGCTAAGCTAACGGCTAAAGCCAGTGGCCCTGTTCGACGCTCCGTTAGCGTGCTAGCTGTCGATGATCTATCTCTCCATCTTAAATTCCGCAGGGGAATGCGACAGGGAGAGAGGGCGTAGTTGCTGGCTGACAGACTAAGCAGTCAGACCTGTTTATTATTAGCCTAAAGGGCCGTTTTTGAGCATTGGTGTTATAACGTTGGCTGAGGCGATGGTTTTAAGGCTGTTTCGTTCTGCTGTGGTAGATGGTGTTCTCCATTTTTGTCTCTGCGCATCAGCTTGCTAAACCATGAGAGTTAACTGCAGGGCCGCTAACATTATCGGTCGGGGGGGGGGGGGGGGTGAAGGCGGGCCAGAAGAGGCTGAGCAGGATCTGTGTTAACCGTTGTGCAGGCCGCACAGACGGAGAAATATGGTTTCTGAGAAGCTTTTGTAGCATATATGGGTGGCATATTCCCCACCTTCCCATACCAAGGCCCAAATGGTTTAAGAGTTAAAGAAGAATCCAGTTCGCCTTAAAATGGCTCAGGGTGAGACCTCTGTGGGAATAGATTACACCGGTTTAAGCTGAAAATACTGGAAATGTCCTTTTAATTACCATTGTATACACATTATGATGATCAGTCAAAAGTGCTATTCTTTGAGATATTGATCTCCAATACACCAGCAGATTTTGGTGGTGGGTGGGTGGCCATATACCAGGACTATTGTTCCTTATTGATGTGTTCCTGGCTCCGAAACCGCCCTGGTCTTTTACATGCACCCCTTGCTGCCAGAGATTTTACCTGTTTTATGAGGACAGTGGGGTGGAGTATTAGAGGCTGGACATGACATAAAGAGGACTGCTCAGAACTAGGAACAGAGAGTAAATAAGGGTCAAAGGAAAAACAATTACGATCTTCATTGCAATTTCCAATTGCTGTAGTTTTCGAACAATTAAAGATCTTTTTTTTTTCTGTATTTTGCAAGCTTGTGCGCAGCGACTCTGCAGCTAACACTGATTACTGACACTGGCATCCACAGAATTTAAAGGGCGTGTTGGCCCCAGGTAGCCAGTTCTGACTTCTCAAGCCATATCTTGGTGTCCCTTATGTCTGCTTCCAGAACAACAAGGCCAGGGTTCAGGTGCTCTTTGGGTACTGCTATCTCTGAAGTAAAAAGAAGCTTTACATGACCTTTTCTGTATGCAAAGTGAAAATAAAGCACACTGCACAGGGCACCAGCACCTGCAGTTTGAAGAATTAAGTGAAACAATGAACACCAACAACAGCTGACCAAAACAGACCTCAACTATTTAGAAAACACTGTAATTTTTCAAATTTGAGCAGGAAAAACAAAATTTTTAGATTCCTCGCTTGTTTCTACCAGAGATACTTGCACGTCTACCTTTAAGTTTTTTTTTACCCACCACTTGTGATATCACAGCTTAGCAGATCATTCTGACTCTATGGTATTCAAATTTTTTCCTGCAAAAGAATCACCCAGAAAATTCCACCAACAACAAGCTTAAGTTATGTTCATCTTCATTTTGGGATTGTTTAAAGATCTTAAATCTTGATAATAGGCTGACCCAAGCCTTCCATAATATTAAGTACATTTTCACTTTATCTCCTAAACTTTCTATAGCTTCTTTATTTTAATGGAAGTTGCTAATAATTTTGAGGCTTCAGATGAAGCTTTTTTTTTTTTTTTTGCAAGTTCAGCATCAAACAAATGTGTGCCTTTGTTTTAGTTCAGCCGTTGTGTGTTCACATTATTGGAAGTTCAAATAAAGAAAACACAAATCTATTTCAGCCCCAAGAGTCAATCTCAAATCAAACGGTGACGTTTCTAGAAACTTTAATTGTTATCTTGCAAAAAGACACCAAAAATAAAATGAAAATTCATCACAGTGAAATTTTAAATGAAATATGAATTAAACATCAAACACCTTTTTTTAAGATTCAAGCTGTTTCATCCTGTTTACACATTAAAAAACTAAATTCTGGAGGAGGAGCTGCACGTGTAAACATAAACACTCAGACACCTTGACGACAGTACTGGACTAACATTTCGCTGCCTGATAAAATAGTAATTCCTCCTGTAAAGTGTTTGACTTTGGATGTTTTCAGTAGTTATTAAATATTTGGTATATAATGATCTAAGAGAGAGAGACAGTGTTAATCTAAGTATTTAAAAGTGTTAATAATAATGAAAAATACTGGTTAGAATAACAAGTTGTGTGCAGCAAAAAAGACATATGATTATGAATTAGATATATTAAAACCTGATACGTAATTAAAAATGGACACTTAAGCCTGTCACCCCCCCCCCCCCCCCCCCCAAACAGGAGAAAAACAACCAATTAGTGGCTGTAATAAAAACATCTCTGTCATCAACCTCATCAGTGAGAGTGCTTATTAGATAGGAAATGGTTGTCTGGATTTGTAATTATCACTAACGTTAATGGTCTGACAGTGATTTTATTTTTCAGCTCTTGAATTTCAATTCAAGAGCTGAATCATAATAAATTAAATTGAAATAAAATTGAATGTTCAGCTTAATGACTACAGACCTCAGGAAGTGAATAAGAGCTGCAGAGTGATCAAACTTGATAAATAATACCAGTTTGTACTTTTTCTTCTAGAATCGTATTTTCCACCCTTGTCCAAAAGTGCAGCTTCACACTAAACGGTTTAAAAATAAATAAATAAATCCTGATTTTAACCCTTTTAATTCAGAGCGTGGCTAAGTAGAAGGTTTTGGATATTCTATAGTTTTGAAATTATATTATTGAAGAACAGTTTTGACAGTCAACATGTATTCAGAGTTTCAGACAGGAACACAAATATTGGATCACCTGAAACTTAGAGTTCTGTCTGTGCTAGATAGAGCTTGTTGTGTGAGATAAAGGTTTAAAAATGTATTAGTTTAAAACCATGCTGTTATTTAGACATATTAAATCCAACTTGTGTCATGTTCAAAAAATAAAGTTAAACTTTTACAAAGTCAGCATCATTTTGGCATCAGCCATCAACAATATCACTGTCATCTTTTCTAAATAAAAACTAATTTTTCCAGCCAGTACTGCTTATCACACAAATATCAGTCATGATCTGACATCTATCGCACTATGTAATGTGTTTTTTTTTTTCATCAGTTCATTAAAATTCTGACAATCCTTTTTTTTTTTTTTTTTTTTTTTTTTTTTAATAAATGCTGAGCCTTTTCTGCTTTAATGAGGCAGTTTCTGTCCAAACAGATCTGTAGAGTTATAGGTTATTGATTTATTGATTAAGTTGTGATTAGCAGGAGCTCACGGTGAACAATAACATAGACTAGTGCCGCATAATTATAGACAGATAATGAAGTGGAGGAGAGCAGAAAGGTGGAAATAAGTTAGACCAGCAGAGATCCTTCACAACACAACAGGTAAAAGTCGTTCTATTCTCCACGGTCCTCCATGAGACCGTGAGAAAATCAAAATCAGCTGTGTGCATATAATTCTGGTAAATCTAGAAATTCTCTTTGAATTAAAAAAAGAACATGAAAATAATTTCTCTTCGTGGTTTGTGTTTGAGAAAACTTTTTTTTTTTTTGAGAATTTGACTCAAGTTTCTTGTGAGAATTAAGACATAAGAAGATAATTTGGATTGATGGTCAATGCTGCATGGATGATTAAAGGAAAACATGAAAAATAAAAATCCTTTTAGGGTTTGCAGACAGTGCAACACAGCATCATGCATGCTGCTATTCCTCCTGTCTGCTCAAATCCACACAAACACAACACTCTTATTGTGCACCATCATTTTCCTGCTCAACACCCAGAACTAAACCTGATCAAGTATTGATCTCCATGGTCCCTGCTCCAAAATATGTTTGCAGACAGTGTTGGACAGCAGCACCTGGTTTGGCATCAAGAGGATGTGTTTAACCCTGAAGGATCCTTGAACTCCTGGTGACAGGAGGATATTTTTAACCGTCGGTCTCGGCAGAGAAGAGCACACGAGCAGGAAGCCTGGAGGTGGAACGTCACACTGTGGAGATGCTGCTTGTGAAGGTGGAGACTCAAACATGGAGGCAACAAAACAAGATCCAGAGTGTCAAATCTGCTGCAGAGAACCCACATTTGTTTTCTAACAACAGAAGGACTCAAAGAAAATCCACACAGGAATGGCTTAAACCCAACTGTGTCCCGCAGAGGTTCATTACACTCAGTTCAATGAACAATTTGTGGCAGGACTTGGGGAAAAAAATGTTGTTCAGTCCCTCTGAAACACAACAGAGCTCCAGCAGTTTTAAAAACAAAAATAGACGCGCTAAATTTGAGGAGTGTTTTTGCCAAGCAGGAAAATATTTGAATACTCTGGCCTCACAGCCAATCAGAGCTCTCAATCTGCTGCATTTTGGTGGCATGAATCGTTCAATTGAATCTTTGTCTACAAACTGTGGAGTCGGTTGTATTTGCTTTATCAAAGGCCTTTTTTAAGAGCAAAAACCATCCAAATAGAGCGCTACTGTTGTACAGTATTTATGGTACCATCTAGGATTTGAAGATCTGAAGAAACTTCTGTACTAAAGAGACAAGGACCAAAACCAGGACTGGATGGTCCTGATCTTCAGGGCATTAAAAACAGACAATACTCTGGAGTGGGAATCACCGCATAGACTCAGAATCACTTAGAAAACCATTGACTGTGAACACAGTTCATCCCTGCATCCACTAATGAGGTTTAAATTGACCCATGAAAGAGGAGACCAGCTAGAGACAGGATCCAGAACCACCAGAGACTTCTGGACCTGAGTCCATTTCAGGTGGATCGGGGAAAACTGTCCGGATGTCTGATAGATATAAATCTCTCTTTTTGGAAATCTTAGACTCTGCATCGTCCTCTCTAAAGAGCAGAGGATCTACTTGTTCTCAGCTCCCAGTTCAAATCCAGCATCCCTGATGGTATGGGGATCATGAGAGTCCATGTCATGGGTAGACCTTCATATTTCAGCTAGACAATGACAAACCACATTTAGACAACAGGGATTACAACAGCATGGCTCTGTAGGAGAAGAGTCCTGGGGCCTGTACTACGAAGCTGGATTTGGTCTTGGCGAGATAACTTCTGGGTTTTTCTTTTTACAAAGGTGGATCTCTTTTTATCCGGGTCCGTTGCCACGGTAACTTACTCGGAATGCCAAACCTGCTCCGGAGCAGGTTATGTTTCAGGATAAGATCTCAGCAGGTATAAAAGACCGCCCAATGACCAATCGGATCTCTTGGAAAATGGCTTGCCCACTTTTGCGGGATCCCGGGGACATCGTTGCATGGATAGTGAGAGGAGCGATTCGCAGAGAGCGTTATATTCATGATCGTTAAAATCCGTTTGATTTACCTCATGACATTCTCTATGAACGTTACAGGTTTTCCTTGGACGGCCTCAATATTCAGGTAGCATGAAGTCTAAGCAATGCACTAACATTTGCCAAGCTCCAGGTTCCAATTCCATGCGGCATATCAGTCATCATTCAGAATTTATTGAAGCAGATTAGAAAACTCCTCTTAACCCCAAATGTGTCTGCAAATGACGTGACCATCAGATGATGGAGAAAAAAGAAAAAAAGGCAGTGTGAGGAAATCGCTGTTTACGCGTTGAAATATGTACAAATAAAATCTTCCAATAAATTTACAAACTACTTTAAAGGATGTTTTTAGATTTATTCTTATTTGCTCCCACGTACTCTTTTCCCCACTGCTGTTGTATCTGAAATAATGAGGTCAATGATGGAGGTGATCACACACACTGCATGACAACATATTAGGGGGCCATAAATTTATGAACACACAAATGTAATTTACACAACCAGTGATTTTTTTTGCCTGCAGTCCCTCCAGCTGTGGCTGTCCTGCTCCTCACTGTTATAATGTTGCAGTGCTCCTCGTATTTGCGTAAAATAATGCTCTGTTCTTCGGCTGTGAAAAATGACATGCAGCCTTCTCCATTGTGGAGATTGGTCCGGTGGCACTGACCCCACCCCCTTTACGTGTGCGCGCACAGATCTGAAGTGGCCACACCTGGATTCAGTTAACGAGTTGATAACCGGCTTCGTAGGACAGCTGATCGGGATCACGGAGATCCGGTGAAGTTGAGCAAGTTCCCGCAGAGTTACCCTGGATGTGTTAATCCAGCTTCGTAGTACAGGCCTCTGGACTGATGCAGTCCTGACTTGTCCCCCATTGGAAATATTTGGATCATCATGACCCCAAAAACGGGACAAAGAAAACCCTGAACTGTTGAGCAGCCGAATCCTCTATCAGGAGAACATTTGACTGTCAGACTCCAGAACCTGGTCTGCTGAGTCCACTAAGGTCCACAGAGAGCTGAGGACACATGGGATGGGAGACCCGATCCTGCTCTGTTTGAAACATCAGGTATCAGATATTTTCGATCAACCCTCTCAGGGTTGTGTTTGGAGGATGTGCAGACGTGAAAATAGAGCCGGACTGCTGGGCGTGTTCACATGATCTTCTTTCTAGTGCGATCGTCTGTCTGCCTTTTGTTTAGCTGTTAAAATCCATAAATAAAAGGATCTACAAATTATTCAAATAAATTAGATATGCAAATCCGGCCCATTGTGGAGCTCTGAGAGCATGTTGTGTATCTGTGGAGGGGAGATGGAGGCGAGGCTGTGGCCTACTTAGACCTCCAGATTCATCTGGAGAGCAGGAAGCCCTCTGGGATGAAGCAGCCACTTTGCTGGAATTAAAAGGATTTGTATCAAGTGCTGTGTGCTGCTTGTGCTTTCTGCTTTGCTGGTTCTTTTTCCCGTTTATGTTTTTCTGGTGTTACACAATCAAAGGTTCTTTTCATCGGCATAAACCCGGGTCTTTGACCTGTGCTGGGTCTGAATTGATCAAACAGTGAGGCCCTGTGTCTGCTGTTCCATCCCATAGGCGAGTGTGCTCTGTACGTCCTCGGGCTTAATGGGACTGTTGTGTTGTTATGCTACAGCGGAAACCCACAACAGCGTGACAGGATCCAGATCTGCTTCTACTAGAACATACAGCCTCAGTTTCTACCTTCTCCTCAGTCTTCAGGAATGCTGCAAAGACTTGTGGATTTCAAAGAATCAAAGCTCAAGGTCAATATTTGGATTTGAATGAGCAGTGAATGGATGAGTCCAATATTTCAATAGAACGTTTGCCAGGAACGAGTTCTGGATGGATTCTTACCATGATTTTATGTCAAATAAGAGTTCTGAAAATGTGTTTCATTCAGAGAAGATGATGATGATGATGATGATATCACCTTTCTGTCCATCTTTAATTCAGTCCTTCTGACAGTTTCCAAACTCCTAGCCCCGTCTGCAGCACATCCAGCAGAACATCACAGCGTTTAGGTCCTCCACATGAGAAACATACAAGCTTTCTTAAAACCTCTGCAGTTTTCAGTGCGAGTTTGCTGCACAATCCGAGTCCAAATAATCACTTTTATGTCTTGTTTAGCTTCAAATGCTCCATATTTTAGCCACCATATTGGTAATCTGCAATCATAGCGCCTCTATAAAAGCAATCTTCTCTTCTGATAAATCTGTAAAAACATGCTTGACTTGCATCAGGAGTCGTGTTCATATCATCTTTACTCTTTCTCTGTTTCTTTGGTGTTTTCCTCTCAGGTAGAAACGGTCAAATCCTCAGAGTTCATGTACAAACACTGTCTGTCTGTCTGTCTGTCTGACCATGCTCTTCTCTCTGCAGCCTAAAAATGGATAAGAACGATCTGGTGCAGAAAGCCAAGCTGGCAGAGCAGGCTGAGCGCTATGACGACATGGCCAGCGCCATGAAGTCTGTGACGGAGCAGGGCGGCGAGCTGAGCAACGAGGAGCGCAACCTGCTCTCTGTGGCCTACAAGAACGTGGTACGTCCTCTAGACAGCCCTTTAAAACACACTTAGTACTGACTAAATATCGCTGACAGTAAAGAAGAGCTTCGTCAGTCTGCACCTCAGAGAACTTTCTGGACTTCCTCACAGACTTTGCAGCCAAATGGAGAAAATGTCCAGTTTGTTTTTTATGAAGATTTTCTACGTAAAGTTTGAAAGTACAGATTATGTAAGAGAAGCCTGAGGAGTTGCAGCACTGAGGCTCTGTTTGCCATTGAGCTTTACTTGAACTGGACTTTCAGTCCCACTCTGCAGCTAAGTTTAATAAGAGCTGGACAACCAAGCAGCTGGACAGAGCAGCTCATTCTGCAGGTATCTGTTCAGTTTTGAGGTTCAAGAAAGAGACATGGACAAGAGTCTTCATGCAACACCAACCTGATTACTCCCCCCCATAAGTATTTAAAGAGTCTGTACTGTGAGGGTGAGGGTGAGGGGAGGTGGATTTAAGGGGCTGATTTAGGCCCAACCCACATAGTTCACACCTTTTTAAAAAGGGGTCTGAAAGCCAAAAAGACCTCCTAAGCAAGAACTGATCTCCATCCATGCCAATATGTTTACAAACGCGGTCACATGACCATCTGCCCACACCGGACACAGGTCCTCTCACTTCATATCTCCAAGCATCTGTCCTGCAACAGACAGGTCAGAGCAGGTTTATGAGAATGCACAAACAGGTATCCAAGCTGTCATGTACCACAGAACCTTCCAAGTGGTGTCACCATCTGTCTGGGGGGCTGTGTTCTGGGGTCTATTGTCGCCTCCTCACAAAAAGCTACAGCATGCCAACCTGTTAACCAAGTTGCCCTCTGATTAGCTGATCTCATGACCCTGATTTTTCTGAACCAAAGGGTACCAAAGAACTATTCAGAACCAAACTATTCAGAACCGGGCTTTAAGCATGTTTAATTTTCCTCCAAAGATGAGCTTTGATGAAGTGATTCTGCAGACAGCCTCTAGTGGACACTCAAAGAACTGCAGTTTTTCTCTCTCCAGGCCTGAGATAGCAGTTTGGATTAGTCTAGAATTTTTGTTGAGGTAAAGGGTCACCTAATGTGGATGACATGAACCAGTAAGGACCTAAAGACAGCTGCTTTAGGGGGGTGTAGTTTGAATTTTTAGATACTTTTATTTATGTATTTATCTTTATTGAATTTCCCTTCAGAGATCAATCAATCAATTCTTCATACCTTAATCTATAATTTCTGCCTCATGAACTAAAAAGAAAAAATCAGAATTTGCATCCTTTCCTGCATTTCCAAAGGTCACTGTCCTCAAGGCGCCGGAGAGACATGGACCTGATCATCCACTACCTCAGCAAATCCTCTCTCTTTAACCAGGAAAGCCTTAAGGGTGGAAAAATCTGCAGTTCCCCAAGTGTCCACTGGAGGCTGTCTCATGTTCAAATCTCTGTTTTTAGTGGAAATAAAACGGCCCATTTACACTTCTGGCTCTTTCAAAGAAACTGTCCTGGTTAAAATTCAGGGTCATGCCACCATGTTGGTTCAGTACAGCAGAGGAGAGCTAAACAAGCCCAGGTGTGAACATTATAAAGGATGTCATAAAAAAAACAGATTTGTGGGTCTGCAGTCTGGGAACTAAAAGTGCCTAACTCTTTCAGTTTTAAGATTCAGTGTGTAAATATCTCAATACAAGTGAAATCTATTTATCTGTTTATCTAATCTAATCTATCTCTATTTTTATCTTTAATGCGAGTGAAATCTGACTTTGAATTTAGACTAAGTAAGACAGAGCTCTGACAGTGAAGTTTGAGATTTCAATAGTTTGTGGAGTTTATCCAGTCATGAATATAAGATGGTGTCAGTATCTCTGGATGATGATGGCGCCGTTTTTTCCATCAGGTGGGAGCTCGCCGATCATCCTGGCGAGTCATCTCCAGCATCGAGCAGAAGACTGAGGGCAACGAGAAGAAACAGCAGATGGCCCGCGAGTACCGCTTGAAGATCGAGTCTGAACTCCAAGAAATCTGCAACGACGTGCTGGTAAGCAGCAAGGGAGGGGAGAGGAAAGGGGTGTGTAAGGGAGGATGGGACGAAACGGGGCAGGAAGAGGAGGACAGAAGGCAGAGAGATGAAGAAGAGAGCAGAGCAGATCTTTTCTTAGACCCTCATGGTGTGACTGGAACAGGAACATGTTTCCAGCAGCAGCGGTGACGGTGTAGGGTTGTTCAACAAAGCTTTGATTTTTCTCCAACTTTATTTTACCGCAGAATCTCAGCTCAGAGTTTCCTGTTTACCTGCTGCAGAGGAAGAAAGAAAAAGTCTCCTCCAGAAAAACACAAAAACATTTGAGTCTTTCAAAATCTCTGATCAATCAGATGTTTGTAAATGGACCTCTTTTTTCAGCCTGTCTTCACTTCATCACCACACACCTGAGAAGTGTGGCATCCACAAATAGCACTGCAGTATACAGCACACACAAAGCTGTGTTTGTGTGGGTGTGTGTCTACAGGTGCAGGGATGAGAGGATGAAACCTGATCCAGGAAGTCCAGTTTAGTCACTCTTCTCTAAGATTTAGTTTTCTGGTCAGGTGAGAAACAGACTTCCAGGATGAGAACCTCTGCACGTGTTTATAGGGCAGGTTCTCCCTGGTCTTGTGGGTCTTGTCCTGCAGATCACTTTGTTGGATCTTGGTGAACTGTATGAAAGGTTTCGGTCTAGCTGGGCTCACTGTCCTGAAGCTCAGCTGAAGAGGATCAGTGAACAGGTTTGAAGTCTTGCCCTGTATTTGACCCGGATTAAAAGTTTTGATGGGATTTTTGAAGAGTTTGGTTTCCATAAGAAGCCAGTTCATGCTCACAAGGTGGGCCAGTTTGGGTTCAGGTTTAGATTTCTCCATTGCTCATTGTTGATGAGTTTTAACCCTGTGATTAAGACCGGTCAAAACTCAGAAACCGCTCGATTCAGAGGCTGTGTCTCATTTCAGAGACCGCATCGACCTAAGTGCCCTTCTGCACCGTCGAACGGTGCATTTGAAGCGTGCATGACGTCACGACGGTGCGAACGGTGTCCCATTTGGCACGAGATGCTAAAAAATGCTAAGCGCGCTTAGCATGTTTTCAAGCGTGCATTTATGCACGCTTTCGTGCCGTCGGTATCCCAGAATGCTTTGCGTGCCGCTGCACAGCTGCGCATTTCAGGTGAGAGGCTGGACTCGCTTGGAGACGCAGCGCGTCTTCAAAGAAAATACAAGCAATCCGAAAACAGCAGACAGTCAGCTCAGGCTGTATGAGAGCATGATCTCTGAACTCACTAAAATCTGTTAACCAAACATTATAGATTTAGAGACGAACTGATCCGCTCTGCTTCAACAATCAAAAACATTAGAAATGAGAAAGCTGACAAAACTACAGCAGAGTATCAGGACAACATTGAGGTTTTTTTTTCTTTTAAGATTTAGAGATTAAAGTTGTAAATTTAGGAGAATAAAGTCATAAAGTAAATAAAGTCATGAAGCTGCTTTTGTGGAGGGGGAAATGACTGAAGCTGGTCATCTGCAGGGTTATCTGTGGATGTATCAGCGGGTCATTCAGAGAGATTTTGTGGTTTCTGAAGAAACAATCAAACTGATGATGATCAACATTTGTGATCCAGAGGGAGTTGAGCTCGGACGAGCACCACGTCTCTGACACCGGCAGTAACCTACACCTGCAGCGACACCAACACCTTATTATGGCATATGGATTCATATCATAAATTAAAGCTCAATGTCATTCACAGATATTTACGGCTGCATTGACAGATATATCCTCAGCATATTCATTTCTGCCTCCACAAAAGCAGCGATTTCCTTCAAGTACACCAGTTTTTTTTCCCCGTGGAAAAGACGTATTTCTCATATATTCTTTTTTTAAAGTCTTTATACTTATGACAATGTGATGCCGATGTGCCAGAGGATGAAGTATCTCCTATCCTCCTTCTCAATAGGGCCCTCATACTCCTTCATACAAAACAATCATTGGATGAATTTTGTGGGAATGATCTGTGCTTGTATGTATCTACTATTTTGTGTCTGTGCAAGGTCGCACAATTAAAACAATACATGCTGCGCTCCGCAGCTTTTTTTCTAATCAGTCGTGACGTAAGCCTGAGGGCGGGGACATTTGGAGACCTTCGGAGGACTTCCTGGTGGAGTTGCCAAATGTCCCCGCCCTCAGGCTCGCGTCACGACTGACTTAAAGGAAACCCGCGGAGCGCAGCATTTATTGTATTAATTGTGCGACCTTGCACAGACACAAAATAGTAGATACATACAAGCAAAATTCATCCAATGATTGTTTTGTAAGAAGGAGTATGAGGGCCATATTGAGATTTAAGACTTTAAGGACTTCGAGATTTAAGTCGTGAATTTACGAGAATAAAGTCATTAATTTATGAGAATGAAGTCATAACCTGTTATTTCAGAGAGACTTGTTAAAATTAGGGCCATGAAGCATTTGAAGGAACTGTGCTTCAGTATAGGTTTCACAAACAAGGAGATTCTTCATCCTCTGGCACATCAGCATAACATTGTCATAAGTATAAAGACTTTAAAAAGAATATATGAGAAATACGTCTTTTCCACGGGGGAAAAATATTGGTGTACTTGAAAGAAATCGCTGCTTTTGTGGAGGCAGAAATGAATATGCTGAGGATATATCTGTCAATGCAGCCGTTAATATCCGTGAATGACATTGAGCTTTAGTTTATGATATGAATCCATATGCAGTAATAAGGTGTTGGTGTCTCTGCAGGTGTAGGCTACGGCCGGTGTCAGAGACGTGGTGCTCGTCGGAGTTCGACTCCCTCTGGATCACAAATGTTGATCATCATCAGTTTGATTGTTTCTTCAGAAACCACAAAATCTCTCTTAATGACCCGCTGATACATCCACAGATAACCCTGCAGATGACCAGCTTCATCATCAGTTCGTCTCTAAATCTAAAATGTTTGGTTAACAGATTTTAGTGAGTTCAGAGATCATGCTCTCATACAGCCTGAGCTGACTGTCTGCTGTTTTTGGATTGCTTGTATTTTCTTCGAAGACGCGCTGTGTCTCCAAGCGAGTCCAGCCTCTCACCTGAAATGCACAGCTGTGCAGCGGCACGCAAAGCATTCTGGGATACCGACGGCACGAAAGCGTGCATACATGCACGCTTGAAAAAGAGGCGGGGGTAGTGTGGTTTTGAGACCGAATTTGAAGCGCGCTTAGTATTTTGTGCCAAACAGGACACAGTTCGTGCCGCGTGGTGACCTCACGTACGCGTTAGATGCGCCGTTCGATGGCTGCTCTATCTGAAATGGGACACAGGAAGGGCACAGAACGGCTCAAAACGGCAGTGCACTCAGCTAAGCGCCGTTAAGCGCGCTTATCACGATGCGGTCTCTGAAATGAGACACAGCCACAGTCTCTTAATGAGGCCGGATTGATGAGAGCCACACCCACAGACTCGCAGATAACCATAAACTCTCTGAACTTTGTCTTTTCTGACCTTTGGAGACAGAAACAGGTCACTCTGAAACATTCGAGTTATCACCAACTCAAGCTCATTCACAACTCATACGACTGATGGCTGAAACTCTGTATCAGAGTAGACAATGAAAACTGATGTGACCTGAAACTGTCTTTTGGAAGTATGAGTATTAAACAGGTAAAATAAGAGACACATCTCAGCTGATTTGTAATCCAGAAAAACCTCAAAGACTTTTGGAGAATAAAGAATTAAAAAAAAAAAAACGGATTTTCTGTTGAGAAACCTTGGCAACGACCACAAGAGTTTATCTTGATGGACTTGAACACCAACTGAAGGAGCTGAGGTTCAAAAGGAGTAAACAAAGAGCACAGAGGACTTCTGATCAGATAGTTCAGGCTGTGAGGAACGTCCTCACTTCTCCAGACCCTGACTGGATTGGAGCAGAAAACTCTAAAGGTCAGAGCAGACGGAGATTCTTAGCGCCTGAGCAGACAGCTAATAATATCTTCAAGGTCAGACTGTGTGCCGGAGTGCTGATGTGGTGCCAAAGGAATGAAGGAGGCGAGGACGGGTGGAGACACGCTCTCTTTTCAGTTCCATTAAAGCTCGGGAGGACAACGTGTTGGAAACGGAGAGACCTGAGAGAGAGAGGAAGAAGAAACCTCTGCAGGACATCCGAGTGTGTATGTTTAGGGATCATGAGTGAGAGAGGAGGGTTTTATTTTAGGACTCGCATAAATCAAACAGCAGCTAGGTAAACAAGAGGGGAAACAGATGAACTGGTCTGATTGACAACAGTCCTCATGATGGTGATCCTGATCAGAGACCCACATCTGAAACTTGGTCAAACGTTTTCTGAAATATTGGAAACATGAAAACCTGAGAGGAGACAGAGGAGCTCAGAAATCTGTGTTTCCAACATGTACAAGCTGACACAGCAGCAGGCTCAAAATTCCGTGCAGGACTTTATTGGCTGATAATGAAAGAGAAACCTCACAGAGAAAAAGTCTGACCACTTGGGTTGTTACTTTTTACACAGCTCTCTTTACCAGGTGTTATCTGCAGCTCCAGTATCAGCTGTTCTAATCTTTGTGTCTCTGAGCTTCATGAAGGCTTTCTAGACCATCAGCTCCAGGTTTCAGTACCAGCTGAGTCTTTCCTTCAGGAGGTCTAAGTTTAGAGACGGACTGGACCGACTCAGAGCAGCTTTAAGTCTGAGTAAATATGTCAGTCTGTCTTTGACAGCGTTTCTGGTCTTGGTTGTATTCTGCTCAGGTTTTGGTCTAAGGTTAGGGTTTTTAAAGAACTTGTTTCTGCAAAGATCTGCAGGTTTTTGTTCCTCACATCCAGAGGCTCCTTAGGCCCGGACTACACGTATATAGATATTTATTTATCAGGATATTTTTGTACTCCCGTCCAAATAAATGTATCTGTCCACACATGTTAGTTCTCAAAAATATCTGCGTCCACACGTAGCCTTCAAACTCAATCCTATCTGGTGCCACTTAAAAAAAATTCAGGAATGAAGCTAACTGATTGGCCGATGAATCGTAACAGCGTGATGCGTCATGCATTGTTTGCGGAAGCTACGCTAGTGCGTCGGGTCCATGTGATGGATCATGTGACCAATAAAAGTATTGGGCGCAGCAGACGCTTCTGTGAGCTGGCTGACTGGTGGATGTAATTGTATAAAACAAGGTTCACTTGCAAGGCTGAAATTAGCCCCAAAAGGGCAAAACAAACGTAAAGAATACCCTGTATGTCCGCCATCGTTGTTGTTGTTTTTCTTTTTAATTCGCATGCGCGAGCTGCGGTTTGACGTCATCGATCCGTAAAAGTTCAACCACACAAATCCACTTGTACAGATATTTTTTTATTTCTTCACTTGTTTTTCCGGATTCAGATTTATCCGGTTTGAGTGTTCCAAACTCCCGTTTTGGTGTGGTAGGGAGGCCTAATCGGACATAAATATGTGCGGTTTGAAATATATCCGCATTCGTGTAGTCGGGGCCTTAGTGTCGCTCTGCTGTTACCGTGTACCTCCAGATTTCTTAGCCATCCTCAAAACTTCTGCTTTTTGTCTTTTCAGAATCTGCTCGATAAATTCCTCATTGCCAACGCAACTCAGGCGGAGAGCAAGGTGTTCTACCTCAAAATGAAAGGAGACTACTACAGATACCTGTCAGAGGTCGCCGCTGGAGACACAAAGAAGAGTGAGTATCTTTATTCAGAGTGAGGGAACTGCTGTTTTTTCTTCTTCTTCTCTCTGTTTTTAAAGAGGAGATTCCTGATTTGGTGCCTCAGCTGCTGATCAGAAGTCTATTTTACTGATCAAACAAAGTCTGCTCCTGTTTACTGTAAGCTCCCAGTAGATGTTTTCTGTGGAGGTCAAAGGTCAGTGTTTGTGGATCCTGAGCGCAGCTCTTCATGAGGGTTTCTTATCATCTGTTACTGCCTCCTGCTGGTCATTGTTGTTATGATTTGGATGTGTCTGTTTTTAGTGACAAATGATGGGAGGACTCGGTCCCACCGTCTCTGTCTCTGTGACCTTTATATACTGAAGGGGGATTTACAGGAGGATCCGGATAAAGACCTGGACAGGTCACAGGGACCCAGCTCTTCTTTGATGGTGTTAAAAAGCGTCACTGATCTGAAGGAGTCTGACTCAGCTGTGGTGGTTCGGTTCTGTTGCAGACACGGTGGACAGCTCTCAGCAGGCCTACCAGAACGCCTTCGACATCAGCAAGAAGGACATGCAGCCCACACACCCCATCCGGCTGGGGCTGGCCCTCAACTTCTCCGTCTTCTACTATGAAATCCTCAACTCACCTGAGCAGGCCTGCAGTCTGGCCAAGCAGGTAAGTTCAGACCTCTGGTTCAGGCTCTATCGTGATCCCAGCTTCCCGGCTCCTGTGCTTCCTGCTGTTGGTCCAACAGAGTCTCAGCTGGATTAGAAATAGATTGATGTAATTTTTTATTCAAGTAAATCTCATCCATGTGTGAACTGGCTCTGGTGTCTGAAATCTCTCTCTCCTGCAGGCTTTCGACGAGGCGATTGCCGAGCTCGACACCTTGAACGAGGATTCGTACAAAGACAGCACGCTGATCATGCAGCTACTAAGGGACAACCTGACTGTGAGTGTACACCCACACACCTGCGTTGTTGGCCCTTTTTTTAGGAGGTTTGGACAGTTTCTGCTCGGACATGTGGGTCAAATAAAAAATCTGAAATTCCGATTTCGGGAGCTTCTTAAGTTCCAGCTGCAGGTCTGGATGAGCCTCCATGAGTCCAGTCTCCAAAATATTGTCTGGTTCCTGTTTTTTAATTTCTGGGCTGTTTTTCAGTGTTCATATTTATTTCAAATCAAACACCGGCTCTGTTGTTGTTGTTGTTGTTGCAGTTTTTGATTATTACCATAATTTCTGTGGGATTATGTAGACTCTGTTTTCTGAAAATCTGACGGTGCATTAGTGTTGTTCATATCTCTCTCTCTCTCTCTCTCTCTCTCTCTCTCTCTCTCTCTCTCTCTCTCTCTCTCTCTCTCTCTCTCTCTCACTCTCTTACTCACCTTCCTGCAGCTCTGGACATCAGAAAACCAGGGAGACGAGGGTGAGACCGGCGACGGGGAGAACTAGAGCGCACTTCACTGTTGATCCATCCCCACTCTCTTCCTCCTCCTACTCCTCCGTTTATCTCTCTTCTTCCTCCTCTTTCGTCTCTTCTTCCTCTCTTCATACACATAAAAACAGCCCGTTCATTCCCTCGTCCCACTTTTTCAAAACCCGGCCTCCCGACTTCCCTTCTGTATAACCAACAGCATGAATAGTACCTGACCCTCACCAAAAGATATTATAAACATTTAAAAAATAAAAAAAGGAGGGAGGAGAAAAGAGAAACTACTCCATCATCCTTCCTCCATCCCTCCTCCCACCCTCCTCTTCATCATGGCACTCCATGGCCGTCCGGTGGACTCAAACCGGCGGGCAGTCTCGTCTTCTAGCACGCAGGGAGGGTTTTTATTCCAAACCACGAAGAAATAAATTAACATCTTTTAGAGCCCACCTTTGACCTCCTCATTTAATCTTCCCCTTTTTCCCTCCTTCCTAACATCTCAGTACTCCCTCCCTCACCCTCCTCCTCCTCCTCCTCCTCCTCCTCCTCTTTAGCGAGTTAATGCATTTATCTAGTTGTCCATCCCTTCTCTCTTTTTGGCTTTTCTTAGTGTACTGGCATACATGGCTGGTTTTATTCCACTATAAACAAAACAACAAAGGTTATTAAACTGTCCGTTTATTTTCAACAAACACTGTGATGCTTAGTCTTTCCTCCACATCCATCATGGATGGTACAGACCATCATTATCCAGCTGGGAGGGGGTGTGGCTTTGAGCAGCAGTGCCATTCTGCTGAGTTTATACAGAAGGGGGCTCCTACAAGGCTGTATTGTGACACTGACAAACGAAACCAGAACCTGCATTTCACCTGCACAGACTCTCACCTGTGACTCGGGAACATCATGACAAAGCTTACATTCCATCAGATCTGACTCGTGGTCACCACCATTGGGACCCCTCTACTTCCTGGGATCCCCTCAGCATCAGCACTGCTGTCCCCCAATCAACATGTTTGATTCCGTCTGCGGTTCCTTTTCTGTGTGTGTGTGTGCGCGCGCGTGCGTGTGTGTGTGTTTTACGAATTAAACACCCCCCCCACCCCCCCCGTCCTCAGTTTTTGAAAACTGTAAAATTGTAAAACATTTTTAGAGCTTAACTGTAAATCTGTCTTTTGGAGAAAAAAGAAAACCTCAACGGTTTGTTGATGTTGTCCGTTAACACCCGCTTGCAAAGAAAACCTTGAAGCCGTTACAGTCAGCTGCTGAGTTTCCCGCGTTCTTCTTTTACCAGATCTTTTTTTTTTTATACCCTCCTCCTTTCACTGCTTGTATCGACGAGTTCAGAGCTGACAAGACAAACAAAGCATGCCTTTATTAATTGTCCTGAGAATCTACACAAGCGTCGAGCCCGTGGATTCACTCTTAAACTTCCCGCTTCCTTCTCAGCACAGCAGCGAGTCCAGGTGTGGGAGCTGATGTTAATCTGGTGGAGAATAAACAGCAGAAACACTTCCTTTACAAACAAAACATGGAGATTAGCAACCATCAGGAAAGGGTTCAGAAATCAGAGTAAAGTTTACAGATCTAGAAAAAGTAAAGGCATTTTTTTTTTTTTTTCAAATTTAGAAAAAAAAACAAAACGAAAAAAAAAAAAAACCAGCAGCTTAAATCGGTGTGTAAGTCTGCTGAGTGAGGAATTATGAAACTCTGGACTGACTCTCTGATTCAAAACTTCCTCATATCTGAAATGTACCAACTCTTTTCCTTATAGGTAAATCTGAACCATCAGGATGACAAAAAGTTCAAATAAACATCCTTTAAAGTTTAGAAATCAAACCAAGGCCTCCCCAAACTATCTTCATCTGATGTCAAACTTTTGAGTTCTGATATCAGACGGCTAATTTGATCCTTTATCAGGGCAGGTTAAAATTGATGTGAGGAAGACTCCAGACTGGTCTGAGAGGAAAGCTTGGACTGTGGAGGATTGAGAGTCAAAGAATTGAGTATTGACCACATCTGTCTCTTAACCTGGTGGATGTGTGACTTCAGCGGACTGTTGTGGTGTTGAAAAGGAAGCAGAGACTTTAAGTGTGTCAGTTTGAGAAAATAAAGAGGTTTGTGTGCGTTCAAGGAGCCAAATCCCCAGGCAGCCGATCATCTGTCTGTGGAAGAGAGAACCTGTAGTCCGGTTCACGGCGAGATTCTTTACAGAAGCACAGGTTTCGGTTTTGCTCAGACTCCACGCTCGATCCGCAGAAGAAGAAACTTGATCCGAAACAAGAGCAGCAACAATCATGCTGATGACCTAAAAACTTTTTTCCATTGAACCCTAAACTGAAGCTGAACTATTGGATGAATCTCTTCCTCCTCTTCCTCTTCTTCCTCTCAGTGTCACAATAACCTTGTCATTCAACATCTCGACATTCCACTCTGTAGGTGTAGAAACGTCATGTGTCTCAGTGTTTCTTTTCTTTTGCTGGGGACAAATGTTTTCATGCACTGAACTTAAAAAGGTTTAAAGAAAAAAAAAAAGGAAAAAAAGTACCTCCCTGCCGCCGCCGCTCTTTTTCTCGTTAGCTGATCAAAAAGGCAGTTCTTCTTCTTCTACTTCTTCTTCGCTTTCTAAGAAAAAAATGATCCCATGCAGTAGTGAATGTGGCACCGAGCCTGTCTGTATATCTGGTATCTCAAATCATTTTGTTTTTACTGACCAGTATTCTGCTTAAAAATAAAAAGAGAAAAAAAAAATAACCCAAAAAACCAACAAAAACAAGTTTGCTTCTGTGACGGTTTTATTGCTTAGCGCGCACGTGGTTGTGAAAATTTAGACTTAGCTTAAGGACACAAAAAAAAATAATTTGAAAATGACCAAAAAAAAAAACCAAACCCTTTGACACTTCTCCTCCCCCACCCTGTTTATTGACGTAATACTAGATTTGTGTATGTCTTTTAAAAAAAATCCAACTCTAGTTTCACCCTACATGTTATAAACAGGACAAAAATGTAAAAGACGATTTAACGTGAAATAAAGGTTTTATCAGTTCGAAACAGCCCCACTCTGTTTTTTACCAACGAGCCTCTTTCACTGCATGACTGCTCTTCTCATTCAAACTGGCGGGAGGTGAGTGAGGGCAACGCAACAAAGAAAACCCAGAAGTTCTGGGAAAGCATGCAAACACACACAGCGGTGTCCACGCTGAGTCCACGGAGGAGTTTCCACAGGTTGGTGAAGAGACCAGTGAGATAAAAATGCAAATATTCCACATACAGACGTGCAGCTGCTGCTCCAAGGACGAGATCCTGTTTCTAAACTGCCGTATGCAAATGTATGCAAACCTGCAAACTCAACAGTTAATGCAGACACCTTCACCCAATCGAAAGAGACTGTGTGGTCACCCAGACCTGAGGGGTCTGGTTTAAGTCCACTGTTCTCTACACTTCAATCTGAAAGAGACTCCACGTGTTCAGATCTGACACTAAACTGATGATTAAGAGAGAAGAGGAGGGAGGAGATTTTCTTTATTCACTCACAGACCCCGGCTGAGCAGAGAGAAGACCACCACACAGTCCGAGGTGCCTTTTTTTTCAGTGGAAGTTCCCCTCAGCTTTAACTGAAGAGAGCTGCAAGTTTCTTCCAACCTTCAAAATAAAAGCATCCACTAGTTTTAGAAATGATTCGCAAATGTGCTGAAAACTGCAGTTTCCTGAGTGTCCACTAGAGGCATAAGACCACAAACACCCAATCAAAGAAGTACATTTGTAGAGCAAGAATCTAAGTTTACCACCTGGTTTAAAAGTCAAATCAAGTTAATGTTTATTTATAGAGCACCTTTAAAATACTGCAGTCAAACAAAGTGCTGTACATGGGATGAATAAAAAGTAAATAAATAGACAACAATAAAAGTTAAAAACAGTAAAATGAAATACAGACAGTAAAAGAATAAAAGCAACAGTGTGTCTGATTCCTGTGTGCTCATTTATTAAAAGCAAGGGAGAAAAGGTGGGTCTTTAAAGATGATTTAAAAGACTGTAAGGTCTGAGAGGCTCTAATATGGCCAGGTAAACTGATCCACAGTCTGGGGCAGTGGTTCTCAAGTCCAGTCCTTGAGGCCCACTGTCCTACATGTTTTGGACGTCTCCCTGCTCCAACACACCTGATTCAAATGATTAGCTCGTTATTAAGCCATTACAGAGCTTGATAACAAGCTGATCATTTGAATCAGGTGTGTTGGAGCAGGGAAACATCCAAAACATGCAGGACAGTGGGCCTCGATGACTGGACTTGAGAACCACTGGTCTAGGGGTTACCGCTGAAAAGGCCCTGTCACCTCTAGTCTTGAGTGGTTTTTGGGACGCTCAACAGTAGCGGGCCAGAGGACCTTAAGGCTCTTACCTGGGAGTGGTGATACAGGAGCTCGGACAGGTAAGGAGGGGCAAGACCATTGAAGCTTTAAAAACTATTAAAGGAATTTTAAAATCAATATGGGAGCAGACTGGGAGCCAGTGAAGGATCACTAAAATAGGAGTTATGTGGTCGCGCTTCTTCTTGCCAGAGAGGAGTCGAGCTGCAGCATTTTGAATAAGCTGAAGGCGGTTAATGGATGACTTGTCCAAGCCTGCGTATAAGGAGTTGCAGTAATCTATACGTGAAGTTATAAAGGCAAAAAGCTGGTCTTGGTCTGTTAAACTCACAACATAGCAGAGGGATTATTAAGGTCACCAGGTCAGTGAATCAGCTGATTTTACTGGCAGGTGTGCATACTGTAGCTGTTAGTGAGGAGGCTCAAGACCCGTTCGCCTCTGGTAGGTCAGTTGAATCAGCAATTCCAGTATGAAGGCTGCCACGCCTCCACCTCCTCAGCCCTCAGTACATCGCAGTTCAAAGAGTCTGTTAATAAGCACGCCAAAAATCAAGCTGCTCTGAGGTGGTCATGTGCAGCCAATGTGTTTCCTGTTTGAAGTACCAGAGAAGATCAGGGTTTCCCAAAGTGGATCACTCAGAGATGAAGCACCCTTAAAGAGCTAAGTGCTGCGTCCGAATTACCTAGTAGTAGTAAGTAGTATGTAGCATGCCTGAATTGGACACCGGAGCGAGTAGCATGCTACTTCAGATACTACTTTAGACACGCCCACATTATAGGATGGTCGCGGTGCATCCTACGGGCATGCTACTGACCCATAATGCACCGCGGGCTTCTTCTTCGTCCTCTTAAAAGTTGTAGAAGCGCATGTGATACTAGCGCCACCAGCTGCTCTGCCTATTTAGATGCGTCGCGAACGCCGGCTGGCCACAGCAGCGCGCACCATGGCGGAGCAGCAGCAGCAGCAGCAGGAGACAGGACCGCAGCAGTACAGATGTAAGTTTCATGTAACTTCACACACTGTCCCAAAAAATGCGCGGTTGTATCTCTTTGTCATGTCATGGTGTCATATTTGCCCAAGTAATCATTTTATGAGCAAATATGTGGCGACATCACAGAGGTAAAGCTCACTTATTCCATCATTAAACTGCACAGCTGCAGTAATCAGGCAGATCTCATTGAACAAACGATCACCACGTGAGCGAATGAAGGCTTAAAGTAATAGAAAAGCTACTTTGTGAATTTCTAAAGCAGTGCAGGAATATAATACAGCAGCATCCATCACTTGCACAATTACCATTCAAAGAGTCTAAAACTCTCTGCTTGCGGGGGTCGTCTTTCCCCACCGCTCGTCTAGTGTGTCCGAATTAGGCCAACGTGTGTAGTATGTAGGAGTAGGATCTAGCAGTAGTATGTAGCAGTAGTATGTTGTATGCGAGCGGGCAATTCGGACACAGCAAAAGTGTTGGTGCATGTGAGTGTTTGAGGGACTTTTATTTTATCACTTGACCAAAGGGGGGCGCTGCTGCATCAGAAGAATGTTTTTTTTTTTTTTCTTGCTGAAATTTCAGCATCATTCAGCTGATCTCCTTCTAAAATAGAACTTTTATTTCTTTAATTAAGAAAAAGCAGAAATGGATGGATGCAGGTGAAATCTGTGGCATTGTGCTGTGTGATAAAACTGCACCTTTTTTGAGGCCAGTCTAAGGCACACCTGTGCAATAATCATGCTGTCTAATCAGCATCTTGATATGCCACACGTGAGGTGGATGGATTATCTCAGCAAAGGAGAAGTTTTCACCAACACAGATTTAGACAAATTAAACAGGTCAATCACAGCTCGGAAAAAACGTGAGGTTAAGAGGGTGAAAACAGGAGTCCAGTCAAAACCAGTTTTCTTAAAAAATGTTGAAAAGTCTCAGGTAGAGTTTTTTTTTCCATTAACTTTATTAGCCTTTAAAACAGAAGCAGGTTGACCAATAAACAAACAAACAAACAAAACAACAACAAAAAAAAACAGCAGATGTGATAAAACGAATACTTTGTCTCTGACTCAGAAACTTTCCTCCAGACAGAGAGAGCGAGCAGAGTGACTGAAACCTTAACGTGAAGTTTCTCAACAGCAGCAGCAGCAGAAAGGCGACGAGGACAGGCACTTCAAGGCTAGATGGAGGACGCCACGCTGCAGCAGGTATTAAGATGAAAAGACGCTCCAACAGGAATAGAACACGGGTGAGGCATAAGTGTGTAAGTGACTCTTTAAGGATGTTTTTCTTTTACCTGAATTTAGACTTTCAAACTTGAACAACACTCCCCATGGTGAACACAGCAGGATACCTAACAGGATTCATCTGACTCCATGTTCAGAGGAACACAGGTGATCTACCTGAGAGAGTGTAGACTGCACAGGTTTTACTTTTGACACAGAATTAACTTTTACAATCACCAACTTCAGACTTTCAAAGAAACTCAGACTTTGTTAAACCAGGCGTCTCAAATCTGTGTTTGAGGGTTTCAGACGGTTTGAGACACGATCATGATTTCACCAAACTATCAGCCATTCAATAAAAAAGAACTGATTCATGAGAACATGTTCAATATATAATCTAAGATCAGCAGATCGAGCTGAATTTTCCAACTGATTTATTATTCTGAATCAAATTGCTGCAGTTTTCTTAAGCTCTGACCCTCAAAAATGCATCAAATAAAGCCAAGTCTGAAAAAAGGAGTCAGGTTTCAGTTTTAACACAGATCCTCATTAAACTAAGTCATCTTTTTCTCTTATAGTGAAGTTTGAATTTTAGACTGTTATCAAAATTTAAGGTTTGAGCTCAGAAGCTGCAGAATTGACACACCAAACCAGCAGATTGGTCAGGAATCAGGATTTTATCTTCTGTATTTGATCTGGAAACCTCAACACTGATATCAGAAGATATCAGAGCCAATGTGGACACACGGCTCGACCTTTGTCTTTGATTCTGAAATGTGTGCTGGAGAATCAGAATATCTAAATAACAATATGACAAAGGTTCATTTCCTCTCTAATTTTACGCTCAGCACTTCTTGTAACTGGATCAGAGTATTTTCTTTATAAACCAGCTAATGAATGTCTCAACAACATCACAGACTCTTGAGAGAAAAAAAGTTTGTGGTTTAAAAAGAAAAACAGAGTTAATAAAAATGTTAGATGTCATAATTACTGAACAGTGCCAGGACGAACAGAAAAGTAAGAGTAAACTTAGTTTTCTAAGACGTGTCTGTGATTTGTCAAAGGTTTTTTTTTTTACAGGACAGAGCCGTGAACATTTCTGCTCATGCAGCAGAAGCATTTCAGTTTTAGTCTTTTTATGAGTAATGAACGCAGCCTCATTCTGCAGGATGTTTAGAGTGATCCAGGAGTTTTTAACATGTAAAGGACTTAGTGCTGCATGTCTTGTATGAAAAATGCCTTAGAAAAAAAGTTTGATTTGATTTGTGGTGATTGTAAACGTTTATTCCTCCTCAAAATTGTGATGTTATAGTCAAAAGTTTCAGCATTTATACATAAATACCAATAAATACAGAATAGAAATAAAATGTGTGAACTCTCAAACTGGAAACGACGGCTCATCCTCCTCCTCCTCCTCAGATCTCGCTGCGTTTTCAAGAAGCTTCTCTGGACCGACTCGTGTTTGGTCAAACACAGATCAGAGTGACACAGCGTTTCGAAACAGGTGGATTCTTGGACTCACAGCAGCAGGATGAAGTCACTCACAGAGTCTTCTCAAACTTCAGCGATTCTTCCCCGTCCTCTCCTCCTCCTCGTTGTGATCAGTGATCAGACACACATCCTCACCGCCGTCTCCAGAGTCCCTGATGAGTCATCATTTCTTCTTCTGCACTTCCTGCAGCAGCTTTATGGCGGCCGAGTTCTTTGGTTCCACTTTGAGCAGGTTGTTTAGGTCGTCCACGCAGGCTTTGATGTCCTGCAGGAGGAAACCGTTAAAGGGATTTCACGACTCTCTAAACCCTCTTTTTTCACTCCTGAGACTAAATTTTCCTAAATTTTGTTTTATCGACATTTTTTAAAACTGATCTTGATAATACTGAAGTCTAATTTGACTTGGGCTCTGAAACTGTACAATCAGAAACTCTAAAAGTGTGTGTGTGTATGTGTGTTAGAGTATCACCTTCAGCTCCTTGTGAGCCTGAGCCCTCCTGTAGCGCGCCTTCACGTTGCTGCTGTCGATCATCAGAGCCTCGTCACAGTCTCTGATGGCATCTTTGAACTGCTTCACTGAGAGGTAACACAGAGCCCTAAACACGCACACACACACACACACACCAGACATACAAACACGATTGTTAATTAAAAAAAAAAAAGTCTGAGCAGTGCCGCATGTTTAAATCTCTAAAAGGAGATCCGGTCACAAAGGCCATCCCAGGTGACAGGAGGCGGAGACTTACCTGTTGGTGTAGGTTGTGACCTCAGTGGGGTTGTGTTTGAGGCTCTGGCTGTACTTCTCGATGGCCTTCTTGTGTTCTCCTTTTTTCACCAGAGCATTGCCCTCTTCTTTCAGGGTTAGTCCTCTCTTCATGTCCTTGTCACTGGGCGCTGCAGACAGAAAACACAGAAGAAGAAGTAGAGAGGTGATATGATAGGGAAAATAAGAGAGGCAGGTCTCCCTTAAGAACTCTAAATTCTGAACCTCCTCACCAGGTTTCTTTGTTTGTGGGGTGCCATTCTGTTGCGGTGTGGGGTTTGGTTGTGCAGCGTTGGCAGGGGTCCTCTGGCTGAGTTTCTCCCTCACAGACAGAGGAACTGTGGGGATGGGAGGCAGCTTTTCTCTCCACATTAGACCGTCTGCTTCTGTGAGCGCCTTCGTCATCCTGGAAACAACACATAGACAAAAAACAGTGAACTGACCCTTTATTCCTGTCGTTTTACCTTTGAAACCTCTGGGTCATCCTTGAGCTACCTGTTTGTGCCGTCGTGAGCTGCTGCGATGTTGCTGTCGATCTGCAGGGCAGTCTTGTAGTCGACGTAGGCCTGTCTGTAACGCTCCAGGGCTTCATGAGCTGCCGCACGACGGAGGAGAGATTTCACGTTGAACGGAGACAAATCCAGAGACCTGCAGGCAGCGAGACAAACTTTCAGGCTGATAGAGAAAATACAGAATCATGAACGGACAGGATAATCCTTTTGAACACCTACATGCTGCAGTCTTTCACACACTCTGTACAGTTCCCGTCTTTCAGGTAGCTCGCTGCTCGATTCGAGTACAAAATGGCCAGATCTTCGGGGTTCTTTCTACCTGAAGGAGGAAATAAAAAAGTCTTTATCATGAAGAAAACATCAGACTAGAGCTAAAAAATTGAGCATGTGTGTTTTACAACTTCATTTATTTATCTATCTGGTTTATTAGTTAAGGATAGACATATCACACACCTGTGTTTCTACTGGAGTGATAATCACCCATTCTGAGAAACTAAAGTGTTGGACTTACTGGACTTCTCCAGCTCTTTGATGGCCTGGCTGTAGAGGTTAGTGGCCTCTCCATACTGACCCGCTTTAAAACACTCATTTCCAGCCTGTTTAAGCTCTGACCAGGCCCGGGACTTCTGTTTCTGGGGCATTGCTTCTGCTCTCCTGTCCAGACAAGATCAAACACAGATTCGTCAGTTTCAGTTTTCATTAATTTCAATCAATTAATTTTATTATGTTAAATCAGTTACAGTGGGACAAAAAGACTGAAGCACATCAGAGCTGCATCCACCTGTTTTTTTTTTCTCCCCCTGTCTAGACCACATACATATCAGAAACCCCAACATCTAAACTTTTCAAATCTAGCCTGGATTATCTGAGACTTCACAAAAATCATAAAATCAGTTTCAGATCAGTGAATCCTTAAACCTTTCTGTAATTTCTTATTTAACCAGTTTCAATTTATTTCATTTTTTAAAAAATTGAAACTGGTTAAAAAGGTCTCTAGACTCTCTGGAGTATCTCAGTCTAGAACTGACAAGTCTATGTATTGTCTAGATCAGGACCTGGTCAAACTTGGTCTTGATTGAAAAAACAAACAGGAGAAGGACCTGTCTCACCACCCAGTTTTTACATTTTCATAAAGATTCACAAATCTGAACCTGCAATCTTCAGACCCTGTAGCCTCCTACTTATTATTATTCGTTTTATTGTTTTTAATATAATTGTTAATAATAAAATATTAGTGACTCTCACTCTTGTCAACATTGTTTAATTATTAGCATTTCCATTTCTGAAAAGCAGAAAAAAGTTCTGAATTATTTGAATTATTGTTTATTTGATTTTTTTTTTTATTGTTTTTTACTCTCTAAATTAACTAAACCTTAAAATGTTACCTTTCTTAGATGACTAAGCCAAGGTCTAAGAGATCTTTGTATAACAGATTTGGATCCGGACCTGGACCTGGTCAAATGTGGTCTAACAGAGATAAACGCAGTTAATTCACACTTGCTTACATTTTAACCAACAGAATTGAGGTTTCTCAAATCCCAAACCGTGTCCTAAAAAGTCTGTAGACTCTGCAAGATAAACTGAACCACCCCCGACACGGTTTAGTACCGAGGTTCTGGATCAGAACCTTGTTTTTCTACAGCCATACCTCTGACAGACGAATAAGAAGCGAACCTCAGTGTCGCAGTCTGTTAGCTAATATGGATAAGCCACAGCGTAGTTAACTACATTAACCGTGTAAATTTCAGTGCCTACTTTAGGAAAGTTTGTTTGAACTAACATGATCGACTTTTAGTGCTCATGAGTTGTTTATTTTCAGCTGGCGTTATGTGACTTGAACTGCTAAGCTAGCTCTTTGGCTAAGTTAGCTAACTTCGCTAGCACAGTTTCCTCGTCGTTCGCTTTATTCAGTCACTCTGCTGATGCTAACCAGTCCAACATGAGGACCTTGCGGTCTTACCGGCTCCTGGGTCTGAGGGGTTTAAAATGAGCACAGAGGTCCTCCTCTTCTGAACACCTGTGATCCAAATCTAATCCGCTCTTGAAACCGTCTGTACCTGTTATTGACCCGGTGTGAACAGTGACATTACTCTGAGGAAAAAAAAAGGTATTTTCTCCAGGTGTGTCAGGCGCACGAGGCTCTCCTGGGTCGGTGTGGGGGATTGTGTTGCGGGGCGACAGGAGAAGGACTTACCGGCTGTCTCTGGAAACTCATCAGTTTTCTTGTACAAGGAGGGAGGGCGTTCTAGTCCTGGATCAGTTTCACTTCACCAACACGCTGCTGCGTTCAAGTCTTGTGGAAATTACAGTACTGTAGAAGAGGGTGAGCAGTGCGCCCTCTGCTGGACGAAGTCAACGACCAACTCAGTGACAAAGGGGCTCCTCTGAACCAGTTTTTCCACTAAAAAAGTCCCACTGAGCGAAGTAAGTCTGAAAAAGTACCTTAAAAATATTTTGTATTGATGTCATGTTCTTTTTGACTGATTTACAGAATGCTGACTTTAAACTCATATTCATGACATTTCGCTGGGAAAAATAACCAATGCTATTTGTGTGATCAGTTTCATTAGTCGCTAAAACCTTTATGAAGAAAAAGCGTTCTTTTTCATGGTTGATATGCCACAAGGTCATTTTTAAAAATAAATTTCGTATTAACACCATCTGGTTCATGTCAATAGTTATCAACAACAACAACAAAAATGTTGGTGCAATTATATTAAGCTAAGAAAAAAAAGTCAAACTTTGCACAGTTTGACAATAAAAATCATGTTCTTCTCTTAATCAACAGTCTGGGACATGTAAGGGATTTTTTTTTCAATATGTCATGATACATTCTGTTAAGTAAGTTCTTCCTGGTTTTGTTATTTGAGTGTATTTTCTGTGTATTTTCCTGAGTGTTTCTGTTCCCTATTGTTCCTATGATCCAGTCTTGTGAGTTTTCAGTTGTGTTTGACCCTGTTTCCCTCCTGTTCTCAGTGTTTTATTCTTTAGATCAGTTTTTAGTGTTTCCTGTTTTTATTTTGTAGTAGTTGATTCCTTGTGTTAATAGTCTGGTTTTACTTCCCTAGTTTTCCCTCCTTTGTTCGTCACCCATGAGTTTCACCTGTGTCTCGTCTGCCTCACCTGTTGCTCATTACATAGTCTCTGTCTTCCCCCCTGTTCTTGTTGGTTCACTGTCTGTGTGTATTGTATGTCTGTCGATGTCAGTATATGCCTAGTTAGTTTCCTCAAGATTTTTCCTTTGTTAAGCCCTGACTCATGACAATTGAGGTTGATGCATTTTTATTTTTACCCTAACCCTAACCCTGGTAATAAAAATGTTTATTTTTAGATCTCAAACACTTTATATAAAAGTGACCAAACCCCTGTGAGAACTGTTTGCTTTCACCTCACGGGGACTAAAGTGGTTAATCATCACCACCTGCTGGAAAAAAATAGTAAGAACTATAAATTTGAGTTTGCATAGGGACTGCATTTAACCTGCAGACATACCAGGATGTATACACTATACAGCAATCCCATTCCATAAAATCACAGTGGTCACATTGTTAGACTCAGAGACAAAGACTTTAAAAAAATTTCCTTGTATTATACGCTTTCTTTGAAGGTTTTCTGTTAAAGAGTTTCTAGCTGCAGAGAAGAACCTTAAAACAGTGGTTTGATCAGTTTGATGTGGTTATTTCCCATAGTATTGAACGTATCACTGGACAGAGTTGTTTGGTTTCTGTTTCTGAGAAGTGAGTGAGCAGTAAATGAGTCAAATCGAAAGCTAAAACTGCATTACTTTTTCAAACTTTGATTTGATGTTATTAATTGTCACTGTCGCATTTCTCTAATTTCTTTTTCCTTTATCATACTCTTAAACATTTGACTCCTACTAGATGGATTTCATTGTAGAGCATCATGACCTTTACCTTTTATAACACAGTCTGTTTGTATATTTTATTTTCATTGAAAACCAACTGTCACCAACAGTTTCATAAACTACCAAGTCATTTTTACTCTGATCAAAGGTTTTGGCCAGCTTATATTAAAACGCAGTCAACTCTCACAGCAGAGCGCTCTCACAGAGTTGTGATTTTCAAGCCATCCCCATTTGTTTGTGTCAACATTGACACAGTTTCCCCACTTTAAAATGACTGTTTACTCCTTTTCTGTCTTTCCTTTCACTTAAATTATGACTCCTGAGATTTAGTGAGGATCAGCAGGAGCACATCAAAAAGTTCTGCAGCTTCATTAAACCACAAAAGGAAAATGATTGTGCGTTCACATTTTATTCTTGCATGTGAAAAAAAAAACAGTGAAATAAAGACAAGCTTACACAGTATTTGGTCTCTTATAATTTTAGCCACAAGGAGACGCTTTAACACCAGATACAGGGCTGACAGGCTGAGATTATGCAAGAGCAGAGACGTCTATGTGTGTCACAGAGGAGTACAGACTTGTTGATGTGATCATATGACACCTGTGCTGTATAACCACAACCACAACTTCATGCTTTATACTGTATTTGTGAAATAGCTCTCAGGACTTCACTAAACCTGAGAAGATGAGACAAAGCTGGACTAGACTGAAGTTTGTAAACACCAAAGATTACAGTATAAAATATTATCAATCCCAAACAGAGACAGGTTGAATCAGCAGAGACTTGGATCTGCAGAAACAGTGAAAGATGGGAAATCCATGCACCTGAAAGAATCATGAACCTGACGTTTTCTTTCTCAGTGAACCCGAGAGTTTAAGGCTTGACAGTGACGGTGCAGCTACCTTTAATATCTCTGAAGACGGAGCAGTCAAAGTCTACGAGGAGTGTCCTCACACCAGCCTTATAGGGCAGGATGGGGAACCTGACACGGATCCTTCTGGATTGTAGTAAGTCTCCAAGTCTGAGAGAAACACAAAGAGTTAGGCGTCAGACCACAGAAACACCAGGAACAGGGGAGGGCTTGTTTTTTTCAACTCTGTTTAAAAATGAAATAAGGATTTTGCCCTAATAGAAATATAAAATAAGTAGAGGAAAAAATGTGTGTCAAATGTTCACATTTGCTGCACATTTGACATTCCTCTTGGGCAATGATAAAACTATTTTTTTAATGTGTCTGGCACTGAATTTAAACTAAGAGGACCTCCAGGACTTCTCCTGAAGTTCAATCAGCAGCAAACTCTTTTTATTAATCGTGTTTTTCTGCCTCTGGCCTCAAACCTTCCATGGGTTGGTTGTTATAAATGAACAGATCAGAAGAAACACTCACTGGACTTGATACTCTGCTTTACAGAGTCCACTTCCTGAGATCGTCATCGAGCAGTTTGTCAGCGTCTCATTCACAGTGTTGGAGAAAGTCACTTCGGCAGATGTGAGCGTGCCAACTTTTGCATCGCTTGTAAACTGAAACACAAGAAAATTAACTGAAAGATGAAAACTGTGAGTTAGAAAACTAAAGACACAAGCCCGAATAAAAGACCTTTATTAAAAAAGGACTGAATAATCAATACAGGTTTATTCTTCATCAGCTTCGGCCTCGTATTGAGTCATCTGTTTCAATCCGAGGCTGTTTCAAATCTTCACAGTACATCTGAACTCTAAGAAAAGCTTCTTCGGCTGAACGCCAGAGCTGAAGGGCAGGAATTTCTGGCATGAAGTTGTTTCATAATTGTTGTTTTTGTGTGTGACAGATTCAGCACCAACAGGACTGAACATATTTCTCTTATACTGTAACCCCACAAAAAACAAAAGAGCCCCTTATGATGACAGCTTTGAGCCTAAAGGCAAAACTGACTCTGAAAAAAAAAAATCCCCAAATCCCAAAACCATCAACCTGCCCTGAAATCAGTGACCTCAAACATTACTCCATGAGAGCTGAGACGCTGAAATATACGAACAACTTTGAATACAGAGCCACCCATGATCATGGACTCTGATGATCCCCACACCATCAGGGATGCCGGATTTGGACAGGGAGCTGAGAACAAGCTATTGTCCCTGGATTCCCACAGTTAAAGCTGGCTAACAGAGAACCTCAGGGACTCACCTTAACGTTGATCGGAGGGTTGAGCAGCACAATGTCATGCTCACCCAGGTACGGGTGGTCTGGGTTCTCCTTGTCCTTCACCAGGGCTGAGATCTTCATGCTGTCACACTCCAACATGGGTTTACTGTACATCGTAAACGGGACCAAGATGGGGATTTTCAACTCTAAAAGAAAAGAGAGATTTGAAGGATAATTAACACAAATATCCCTCACACACAGGTGCACATACCTTTTAAAAATCTCTGCCCACAGAAGTACCTTCAGATCCAGACTCACCGTTTCCTGGCAGCAGCGTCTCCTCCTTCTTCTCAGCCTTGATGGTCCCCTCTGGATTTCCATCGTACTTCATGGCCTGAACGCTGATGAAGATGTAGAGAGGCCGGTCAGCGGTGCTCGCACTGCTCAGCAGCAGATTCAGGCTCACATCTTTACCGTTCATCGGCTGTGACACCTGACAGAACCGAAATTTAGAGAGTTATACATGAGTACCACACTCCAAGATCCTCCAGCAGAGCAACCCAGGTTCTGGAAGACTAACTTCCAACATCTTCTGTTTTTGAGGAAATCTCCTTTTTTCAACTTAGTCCAAAGTGATGGTTTATGCTTCAAACTTTAAGGGCTCTATTTTCGTGCCTCGCTGGAGACGTGCCGCAAGCGCGGCGTAAGTCAGGTCCGCCGCGCCGACAAGGCGTTCCCAAGCACAATTTGGTATTTTGGTGAGCAGCGGAGCCTGGCGTAAGTATCCCCCCTCCCTAACTCAGCTCCTCCCAGCGGCGTAAGTCATAGCGAGGGAGGAGAAAGGGCGTAGAGTGGGTTTCACCAATCACATCAGCTCCTCTCCTTGCCTTTAAATCCGCCACAGGCGAGGCGTATTACCATTTTCGTGAAGTAGTCAAAGAGATCAAGAGATGTCTGAACACAGTAATGCCACAAGATGGCGACAGAGGGCAGCTCCTCAACTAGTGTCACTGTAAGCGCTGCATTGGGCGTCTTCCACACTCTCTCATATGAGCACAGATGGATTTGGTGTGTGTAATGTTGGACCCACTGGTAAGACAAACACCCTTTTCCACAAATAAAGACACTCACATAAAGTTGCATATATTCAAACCTCACGTGACAAAGGTGGGTTGTGCGCACAGATCACAACATAAACTCCAAAACTGGCATTAAAATTGGAACCATCTGTGCGTAAATGACGCATCGCGCTCCGTGGCCGGGCTCTTTCTTTCATAGATGTTGGCATATAAAATAAATTTGCCTCACAAAACTGAATATTATAATATCCGTATGTCGGCTTAAAGTAGATAACGCATCTGGGCACTGAAACAAATCATCTGTTCAGCCGCTGCAGGACAAAGAGAGGACACGGAGACGTGTCCAGGTCGAGCTGCACGAGAAATTAGGGGAAGAGGAAGAAATAAAAGGAGGGAGACGAATTACATATCTAGTTAACTTCATCGTGTGTCTATTTACTAGATATTTAATTCAATTTAATGCGGTTTCAGCTGTGTTGATTCGGTCAGGTTGTGTGTCCAAACGCATGCTAAACGCGCTCATCGGATCAGATATAGATCAGAATATATCGATATAGATCTAAATGTATGTGCTGACTCTGATTATTAGTTGTCGATGATTATTTATTGCACTGAAATGTGCCTGACACTGTGGAAACCTGCAGGTGAGGCATCGGTGACGTATGCCGATACGCCGCCGGTCCACCAAAATACCACTAGACCAGCTGCGTTCCGCCTGCGCTGAAAGCTGACCAGGTTTGAATCGGCGAGCTTTCAGCACACTTTACATGCCGGTGGCGAGCACGAAAATGTCACTGCGCCCGGTGATTCTGTCGACACCTCCCCCCTGCCATGCCACCACGCCCAGCTTGGTTTATCTCGGATCGCCTCCGAGCGCCTCAGTCCACGAAAATACCAAACTGGCTTTATGCCGGTCTCTGCCAGACAAAAATACAACTGCGCGGGATCCGCCACCCTCCGTCGCCTCACTGGCACGCACGAAAATAGAGCCCTAAGACTTTAAATAGACAAACAAGGCTTTAAGTTTTTTTTTGTAAATCTAAAAAGGCAACCATTCCGAACCTTGGGACACTTTTAAAGGTGCATTTCCTTATAATACTTACTCCTGTATTATAATTTAAAAAAAAACACTTGTTGAAACAAATCCAATTATTTACCTTAACCTGTTTTTAATGAAGCTTGTAAAGGCAGACAGTGTTGTCGTTGACGCCTTTGGCAGCAGAGCATCCTTCGGTATTATCCATCGCTAACATCCAGAAAAGAATTCCATGTTTGGGTGTGCATCAGGACCACAAACCACTATTGACACTTCATCTCTCCAAAAGTTCTCAGGTGAGGGTGTGAACGTCTGTTTCAACATCAATCCAATGAAATCAGGGAGTCACAGCCAAGTTCATGTCAGCGTTTTGGTTTCAAGGGGGTGCGTGAAAACCATCTTACTCACATGCTATTTCCCAGAGGGATTCTGACTCCAGTTTTTTCACAACTTTAGACCTTCTCGTTACCCTGAAAGACCTCTATCACTGCAGTTTTACTCCAACAGCTGGGAAACTCCAAAAATGGAGAGAGCAGCTTCTCTTTGGAAGTTTGGGTCCAAAGACGATGAGGGCTAGGTTTGGATTAGGATTAGAGTTTTGTGTGCTGGATGCCTTTCCCTGCAGGTGGTGGCTCCTCACTGTTTAGGGCCCGATGCAGGAAGTCCAGCCACCAGAGGCTCCCCACTTATGACCTTGAAGAAGGCCAAGAGACCAAAAGGTGGTCCTAATATAGAAAACTACATGTGGGTGGGGACCATAATGTGCGACACTTTCTTCACTTCAAACCCCCACACTGGTAATGAGAAATCCTCAGGTAAGATGAAGCCAGTGGCTCTCAATAGAAACACTCGTTTTAAACGCACAGCTAAGTGGAGGCATAGTTAAAGTTCCATTAAGAGATGAATGGACTGCTGTCCTTGTCCCGCTGGTTTACAAACACAAGAGTAAGTCCACCTCCGTTACTACTAGGCCGTCACCTGATTGATCTGTTAAGTGACGTACCAAAACAATCTTTAAACCTGTTAGCAAGAGGCTAAGGGGCTGTACACTAAGCAATGTGACGACTGTCATGACCTGACAGCTTTGCCTTTTTCGCATCCTTCTTCTGTTGAGGGTTTCTATACCTCTATAATTTATGCTGTTCTACTTTGAGGACAAAGCTTAGCACGTGAACTCAAGAGAATACTCAGAACGCTTGGTCCAGTTTCGGTCAGATCCAGGTGCATGTATACGAGAGAAAGACGACCAGGGTTTGTTAGTCCAACTGTGAGAACATCGGTTTGGTACAATTTCAGTCAGACTCACGAGTTGACATGCATTTCTTGGTTCAGTGTCAGACTAACTCATTAAATATATTTTTTGAGCACGGAAACATACAGACCGAAGGCGGTAGTGCCTGTGATATACCTCTTCAAATCTCAGCAACACTTTCGGCGGTGGTTGGATGATTTCTGGGGTCTCATCTGCTGCCTCATCTGGCGTCTCATCTGGCATCTCCTCTGGCGTCTCCTCTGGCATCTCCTCTGGCGTCTCTTCTGGCAGCCCGTAACCCACCGGCTCCACGTTTCCCCTCGCCTCTCTCTCCTTCCTCTCCTTCTCCCGGATTTCTCTGAGGTTGTCGTAGTGTCTGATGATGGCTCTTGCAAAGACAAACCTCTCTGCTACTGTTCCTGCAGGAGAAGCATTGTTGTCAGTTTTTCAGCACCATCATTGTACCAAAGTTGTGTATCAAAGTTTTAGGTTTTTTTCTGTGAACCCACCCTCTTTATGTTTGTAGGTGTTGGTGACATCAGACCTGTCATCGCTACCAACCGCCTTTGTGGAGATCGCCTTCCCAACCTTTTCAGTGTCAGCCTCGGCTTTTTCAAGGGAACCATCAGGTCTGATCTGGAAGGACAGGAGCTTAGACTTAGTGAACTTTTTCTGCAGCCTGTTTGTTTGTTGTTGCTGTATGTACTTGTCTGTCCAATGCTGGGGATTTGCTTCATTATAGTTGTAAGTTGAAACTGTGCTCACTGACCATCCAATCCACACAGTCAGCATTGACTTCAGAAAAGACAAATGGGACATCATATTCAAGGTTTGTGTGTCCATCAAAGATGGCTGCTTTTGAGGCGGGACCACAGCAGAAAACACCTGTAAGATGAACCAAGTGTCACATATTAGTAAAAAGAGATTTCTGCTGTAGATCATCAATCCCCAATCATGACATTAAAGAATCGGTTTGCACATGAGGGTGATGGGTGTCAAATAGCGTGGGTTCGAGCCTTGGACTGACCATTTTTGATGCACTTTAAGAATGTCAGGAGGATTCTTTAAAGAGGAAATAGCAATAGGTGGCACTATTGCTATAAGGAGAAATGATGTGGATGAGTTCAGGTTTGAGCTGTTGTATAATCTAAAGCAGATTGGACATTGCATGTAATAGTAAGGACCATGTTTTTCCACAAGGGGCGCTATGACAGACTATGACTATGACTGTGTTCAGGGGTGGACCTTAATCATGCATTTGAAATTTTGAACAGATTGAAGGTTGTATGTACAAGCAATACTGACTTCCTGTTTCACAAACTGAGTTTTTTTTTTTTTTTTTGTGAAACAAAAATTCATAATAATAATAATGATAATTTTTAAGATTCCTATAGTGTTGTCTAATGTTCAATGTGCTGGTAAATTGAATCAAGAAAAGAGAAGGAAAGCCAAGATGTTACTCATATTTCTTTAAACTCGGTTAGGATGGTGCTGCACTTATTGAACTTTGACATGTCAGATCAGAAAGAGGTCATTATATTAAATTAGCATGTGAATTAATGTCACATTAACATAGGAAAACGTGTCCTAGTTAAGCCTGAAGGAGGTTAACATCTGAGCTGTACCATCGCTCAACTCCTGCGGTGTTGGATCCAGAACCTGCCAGCCGTCATATTTGCCAGTTACTGAAAGGTCAGGCCGCTTCATCCACCCCTCCACCCACACATGGAAGTTCCTGCAACACAACATGACATTAAGGCTGTGCAACAACTTGCAATTAACACACTGAGCAACACTAATGTGTTACAAAAGGGATAGCTGTGAAAGACTATCACATCTTTCTGCAAATACTCTGATCTTCTTATTGCAACTAATTCAGTCCAACTATGGAGCTCCCAAACTGTCTCAGTTTGCAAACCAGGCGAATACTGCACCAAAACAATATCACTATCATTACGCCCTATCAAGCCTTGTTTATAAGACCTTAAAATCCTGTTTGGATTGATAGTGTTGACTTTTCTTAACCAAGCACAACTCCCCCAGGTAATATCAGGCCCCCTTCCTCATGTGCCACACCTTCCTCAGTTATGTAACTTTGCCTGACATTTTAAATCAAACCAGAGCATCTTGCCAAATCCCCAGGAGGCTTCTAGTTACTGATTTTTAGGTCAGAATAGTGTGTCGGCATGTCAGTGTCTGCAAACCACAACACACACACAAAGCCTGAACATCGCCTCCAGCTTTTCCTCCTGAGTTATTCGCCAAACTTTCTGATTTGCATATTGACATTGTGGGAGTGGAGATCACTTTCAGCCTTTCACTAGCTAATAAAGATGTCAGTGCTGTTCACTGTGGTGAAGGTGAAGATTACTGCTTTGTGTGTGTATGAATTATGACAGTGTGAAGCACATAGCCGTTATGACATGAGTGAATGATCACCTACTGTAAGTTGGGACTGGAAACTGGAGAGAAGTACATTCATGTGATTTCAGTGCAGTAGATAGCACTCTGCAGCACTTTTCAAGTTATTGCAGGCTTCAAACTCACCATTGGGACTTAAACTACTCAGTAGGCTGTTTTATCTCTACTCTACTCAATTTGGATCACCAGATCTTCAGATGACCAGATCTCAGAACTAGGTAACCCTGAAATACCAAGGTCAAGAGTGAAATGGGGGAAGTATGTTTTTGGTACTGATGCTCCTGTTATGTGGGATTATTTTCAGGTGGCCATTTGTAAACAATCCAAAGCTCAGGGTCCAAAGTAACTGGTGCAGAGAGAACTAGGCCATGCCCCGACTTTGTTTTGCTTATTAAGGCTAAAACATTCAGGATCCGTATTTAGCACGTAACGTCCGAGTTGCGTATCATGGAGCAAATAGGTTGCCATTCTAATCGATGCAGCATCGCATACAGGACGCATATCAGCTCCATATCAGGAGTGTATTGAGCACAGTTCTGCTAAAGATATGCGCTGAGTCTATTTTTGCTGCTCTACACTTCTAATATGCGTCAATCTACACAGAGAAGATCGCTCGAGACAGGGTGACAAGCATGTGCTGGTATTTCAAAATAAAACACCAATAAAACACCAAACACTCCTGACTGTGTCTCAGTTCGTGTAGATGAGAGAGGTGCAGACTCTGGGCATTAACTGGGGCATGAGCAGTACTTGTTTTTTACCAGCCTATTTTGTCTGGCCATGGCTGTAGCTGCTGTAGTAAAGCAATTCACAACAAAGTATTCATCAAAGAAATATCTGCCCTTTCCTATCCTATCTAATAAAAACCATGTACACACATGAGGCACAGTAGCACTAACTTTTAATGATCTAAAACGACAACAGTATTGGATTGGACGTCCTGCATGTGGGCTGTTAATCTCACTTATTTGTTCAGTGGGATCACATGGATGTATTCTGGACTGCACTCATAATGGAGATTTGAGTTTTTACTGATAGTTTTGAGCATCATTGCCCTTGTCTTCTGACATCCCTGATCAGCCCTAAATCAAAAGCAGTATCATGTTGTACAGAGACAAAGAGGAAAACACTGATGTCTCTGAGTCAAAAAAAAACACTGTCATATCATCGATCAAATTCTTCACCACAGCGAACAAAGCCAGTGTTTTCATTGGCAGAAGCTTAAGAGGCTTAAGGCGATCGCCCCTCCCAAACCCTGGATGCTAATATTCAAATCAAGAACTCTGGCATATCACTGTGAAAAATAAACTGAAGGGTTATTTAAGGATCCAAAGATGGGTGTAGTTCACAAGCACTGACATGCCAACATGCTGATTGGACCTTAAGGCTGATAACCTTCAGCCTCCCTGGGACTTGTCACACAGTCCTGGTTTGTTTGGATGGTTTTGTAATTTCACACCACAATGATTTATTTACCTGTAAAGGTGTGGCACAGATCAGAGGAAGAACATGACACACCTGTGGGAATTAACTGTAATATATCAGGCTAAGTAGAGTACGTCAAGTCTCAAAAGCCAAGTCCTGACACGACAGTCCATGATATTTATTTATTCTTTGCATGACTAAAGCAGCTAAATAAATTTTAAAAAAGCATTTAAAATGGGCCTTTCAAAGGGACAAACTCAAACCAAGCTCAGTTTGGTGTTTGTCTTTCATAGCTTCACAACCAGCCCAACAAATCTGCAAACAACCGCAGTAGCAGAAAGATAAAGTAAAAGAGAAGCTGCTGAAGACAAAAAGCCACTTCACTGTGGAGTATAGGAGTAATGGATTTAGTCGGGCTTATTGTTGGCGATGCAAAAATGTGCAAGTGTTCAAAAAATCAGAATTTGGGTGGGGGCGGAGGCATACCACAAATGTCTGCTGCCAAGATGACCAGTCACAGGGTTTGCAGTCCGTGTTGTTTCAGCGTGCAGTTACATTTTTAAGGTGTGTGTCGGGTTACACATGTGGGTACCTGGTAAAGGGTTATGTAGACCATCCATGTGTACAGACTGAGCTTTAGTGCAGAGAATGCGGCATCCATGATTTCCAAGAAGAATGTCCTATTTAGGACACACTCCTCCTCCCCTATGTCCACCTTTAACGAGTTTGGTTGCATAACATTTTCTGGTCTTGCAGTAACAACATGTTTTAATAACATGGTGGATGAACGTGTTGCTTATGGAAACAAGAAAGAACCTGCTAACCCGATGAAGGACTACCAGCAGAGTACTCTGGGTAAGCAGGGGCTTGATTACTGAAGTTCTGGTTCAAATCTATGTGTGTGAGTCCTCACCAAATACTGTCACGGGACGCCATCATCACCACCCCCTCTTCAGAGTGGTATCTGTCGATGGTCAGGTTGGCGTTGCTGTCATGAGCTGAACTAAAGTTGGTGATTACCCTGCAGGGGATTCCAAGAAACCGTGCCACTGTTAACCAAACACAAAAGTAAACATTTTAGGTTTGCAGTAAAAACCATCACGTTGGCTTGAGTATCAGGGCTGCAAAAACTTAAATCTCAGATTTTTTCAGACCTTTCAAACATTTCCTTTCAGTTTTTGATCTGACTGAAACACCATCTTTGCAGACGTTATTTCAGGTGTGAAGGGACAGACTTTACCTGAGCACATCACTCCAGCAAACACCCAGCACTGCCCGTATTTGACAGGCTGGAAACTGCTTTTCTGCCACTCTGTAAGGATAGCGCTGCTGCCGGTCCAGTGAGTGGGTCTGTGCCCATCAGAATATGAACCTCCCCACTGTCCCTCCAGGACACCTTTTTCATTCTGACTGTTGGTCTGAAAGACAAGAAAAACAAAGCCAGGTTTAGTGGCATGAAGAAACACATCCACAGTTTGTCTTTGTGTCATGGAGCAAAACAAAAGTTAGTAAAAAATTTCAAAAGAGCGAGAAAAGAGTGTCTATGTGCTCACAGCAGCCAGCTCTCTCTAAATAAAGAGGGTGTCATATTTGCAGAGACTTGCTCTCTAGTGTTGACCATCTATCCATCTTTTTCTACTCTTTTGGGGGCTGGATGCCAGAGGCAGCAGAGTGTGCAAATGTCAAGCTCCTCCCAGGGGAAACCAAGGCTTGTCAAGGTCGGGTACACCTTTAGGGCTCCAGGGAGGACAGGGTCTATGAGGGGATCCTCATTAGATGCCCGAACTACGTCATGTAGACCGTTATGTTGCAAAGCTCAACTTCATCTGAGGTTAAGTTCATACATGGTCAATATGTCCATTTGTCTCCACAACCCTGACCAAAATCTCAGGATCGGTTCCCTTCTCCCAAAGATGGTTCAGTTCAATACTGGCAGTGCTGCTGAAACTCCACCATATACTGTATCGATCAGTTTGTCCACATTGAAGTGGACCCCAAGAAACTGAAATTCCTCTACTCACAGCAGAGACTTTCTCCTAGTCAAGACAGGCTAATTCAGGGCGTGCACCATGGCCTCAGCTTTGGGGGTCCTGGTCCTGGTCCTGGTTTTAGCTGCTCCATATTTTGCAGGGAAAGCAGCCCAGCTCCTGCCAGATTTGTTATTGTTGTTTTGTGCTAAAATTCTTCCTTATAGATATTCTGCTGAACTTTTTTCTGTGACCTTAAAGGCTCAAACTTTTAGTATGGTATTCAACTCATTCAGGACATCATTGCTGTGTCTTTTCCCATTGATATTCATATTTTCCAAAATGATCAGTGTCCAATTACATGATTATAAAACTTCCCCAGAATTTTCTAACTTTTCAACCTTGTTCAAGCCTTCACAATCCAATTATACATCCACTTCAAACTTTCTTGAAACCCTCAAAAGATTCATCAGACTTTGCAGTTTCTCAGCAGCAATATTTTTCTGTAGCATTTAAACTTTTATCACGATATCAGTTCAAAGTTCATAAAGTTTTTCAGCCTTCAAGACATTTCCAGGAGTGTGTTTTGGACTAAGAGAGGAGAAATTTTTCAAGAAATCGCCATTAAAGCCACCAACATTGTCAGCTGATAAGTGTCTTCACTTTGCTGTCAGAGGTTAGACGTACGAAAACACTGATCTCTCACCATGGCACTGACTATGCGACCAACATAGGCCGGGTCGGATCGATTGGCGACATCATTGGCTGGGTCGTCCTTGTGTTTATGGCTGAGGTCCAGCATCTTCATACAGATGCTCACCATGTTATCTTCAAACTGCTCAAGAAAAGACACAGAGACAAAGGTTTTAGAAAAGTTCAGTTTGATCTGTTTCATGACAAACCAAAGGACAGCACCTGTCCAAAGTCCCAGTCCATGTCGCCAATGAAGTCTTTACTTCCCCTGTACATCTTCCCGTGCTCGTTCATCACGTACTCCTGTTTTAGCTCCTCATCAGCCAAAAAGACAGAGTCCTCTTCAGAGACAGAGAGGACATATGAATGAAGACAACAACGGATTCAAAGAACAGACAGAAAGACAGAGAAGGCAAAACAAGGAAGAGAGACAGAAAGGAGGCTAGATGGACAGATGTACCAGGACACCAGGGGTTAAAGAGCACTGTGGGCACTGCCAGTATCATCTCCTCTTCTTTGTAAGTGGCCACCATGAAGTATTGTCCAATGGGGGCAACAGCTGGAGGGGTGATGGACAGGACCAGGACACCTGTAAATGGGGAGGACGTCTTGTCCAGCTCCAACTTCCACACCGCCTTAGCTAACGGGGATACTGAGGATGATGGGATAGAGAGGTGGCTCATTGTCCCCTTCTCCTCACTGGGTTGTTCCCCTGTAGGAGGAGCCAGATACTCTGTTAACCATTTTGACTTTGATAACGAGGTCAATTAAAACTGACTTCATTAACCCTGTCAATAACATTGAGGTTTTTTTAGCATGCGATTCAAACCTGGTTTCAGGAAGGATTACCAAACAAATAAAAGCTTTCTTTGTAATATAATGTTTTCCTGAGGGGATTTTATCGAGTTTTTATCATTCTTTTATTGAAAGTCTGTTAACGTTTTCTTTTATGTGCTGGTTTATGGGACCATCAGTAAAGGACAGAAACAGCCTGAACCAAATTGTTAGAGTCTGCTCCAAGATTATAGGAGTGCAGATGACAGACCTGAGCTCTCTTTGGGAGAAGCGTGTAAGAAAGCCAGAGGAATATTGGATCAGCCTGGACATATTCTGTTCTCTGACTTTCTTCTTATGCCTTCTGGGTGGCGCTACTATGCACCCCCAAGGAAAATGAACAGATACTCAAACTCTTTTACCCCCTCAGCCATCAGGCTTTTAAATGCCAGGAAGTAGGCTGATGGTCATATGTGGCCTGTGCTGAACTGGAGCTTCAGGAGTCTTTTATTTCTTATCTTGTGCCTCATACTTGTGGATCTATATTGTATTTCTGCTTATTGTAATTATTTAGCTATTTATTGCTGATCCTGCTGATCTGTAAGAACTGACAAGGGAAAGTGGTTGTCTACTGGCTGCTATTAATGTCTTGCACTTGTCTGGTTTGTTTGTCTGCTGATTTGTGTGTTTGGATTGATCAAACGGCAGGGTAACTGTAAACAGAATTGGCCTTAGGGAATAAATAAAGTTGTCTGAATCTGAATCTGAATCCACTTTAGACTGATTCAAATTCACCATTTATCCATTCATCTGTTAGTCTATTCACCATTCATTTATTCATCCATCTGCTCAATAGTCCCTGTTTCTCAAGTCTCAGCTTGGATCTCCATTTTTTCTGAACCGTTAGAGTTGGACCGACAGACTGACCTGTGGTTGTCTTGATGAGGAACGGGGTCGAATCCTGAAAAGGTTCGCTCAGTTTGACGGTAATGGTGAAGGGCTGACCTCGCCGCACAATCAGCTCTTTGATTGTGACCTCGCTGGTGTGATGAGCAGAGTTGTTGGTGTCACAGTGGAGATCCACATCTGTAAAAACTGGAAGGAAAGAAGGTTAAAGAAAAGAGATATATCGTAAAAAACAGGTTTGAGTGTTTTTAATGTTTGGTTTATTGTAACATTTCAGCAGGTTTTAGTCTTAGACTCTGCAGGGTACTGTACTGCAGTTAGTATTAGTCCCAGCACGAGTTATGTAACACATTTTTTTATTCAGGATGTGGATGGATGTGGATAGATCTCCAAAAACGGGCTCAGCGTGTTGAAAGTCACTGCATTGTCTGGTATTCGGGTGGAAACTAGGTCAGGGTGTGGAAATGAGTAGATAAAATATGTAAACATACTCAGCATGCATGAAATGGCACTGATGGATGAGTTACACTGAGGTTAAGAATAAGAATAAGAAGGTAAGAAGAAGAAGGTAACAAGATAAGAAGGTAATAATAAGAAGGAAACAAGTGTGAACAGAGCAGGACAGCACAGGGACGGGATTACAATGGATTACAAAACAAGTAAAATGAATCCAACATCTACCTTTCTGAGTGCCTGATTAGTTTGGTGCAAACAGTAAAATCTCATCTGTGCAGTCATATCTTTAAATGATGAGAAACCTTTTTGACGTTTGATAACTCTTTATGTTTTCTTGTTATGCAAGTACAAAAACGTGCACGTCAGAGTCCGTGCACATGATAATGATGAAGAGTTTCATTAATCTGTGCCGGCTCAGAGTGAAGCTGGCTTGTTAGCAGAGGTGAGGGGGTCCTCATCTTTTGGCATCCCAAGATAGGCCTCATAATTCTGGCCAGATTTAAGACTGGGGAGACAAGTGAAACCAAATCTCGCCATCTCCAAGACCCCAAGAGAAGAAGCTCTGCTGTGCATGTCTGCACACAGATGAACTAAAGCACTAAAAAGATGGAATAGACTGCAGGGGTGACTCTAGACCGAGTTTTAGTTAGTCCTTCTGCATCCTAAAGAAAGCAACACACCCCCTGTCCAGTGAACTCATTGAACCCCCACTGTGTACATGTACATATCAAGTATTTTCAATTGTTTTCTGAAGTATCCAGTCACCTAACCACGCCCCTCTCCCTCTCTGTTCTGGCTCAGTCTGTCTCCTCATGTCTGGTCTTTTGAAGTCATCTCATTGACACTGTTCATACAGTAATAACACAACATGCAGAACAAACAGAGAAACTCTGTGAGTTTAAGTCCTTCAAATGCTGTGAAGAGAAGCTCTATTGTACTTACAGGAGCCCATCTTGGCAGAGTGTTATTGTCTGTCGGATCAATGCAGGTGAAAACAGATCGAAGATGCACCCTGTCAGACTGTCAGCAGCACAGTGACGAGTGCGCTGACTGATTTGAACACACCTGCCTACAGGTGGCCCAGCCCAGTCTCTGCATTCACTCCAAACACATCCAACAACCTGTCCTGTTAACTGTTTCATGACAGTCTGAGTTCACATCACACCTGAGACATAACATTTGTGCTTTTCTCATATCCTGTATAGATGTTTATTCGTCTGCTTCATTCATCAGGACAGCAGCTAATTCAAGTGTTTTCTTCTTGGTGTTCTCAGTCTGCTGGCAGGTAAATGTCTGGTCCAGGTGGGGCGGCTCAGGTGCCTCCTCAACTCGAATTATGGCAGCAGTATTTAGGCCATGGTTTATGTAACTCAGTATTACTGATAATATAAAAGTGAAACTCTTGACTTTAAAGTGTGAAACGTGTCGGTGATGCAGCCATTTTATATAATCAAATAAGAAAAAAAAACAGACTGAACTACAGCTGACGAGTCCACTCAGTGTGGAGGTGACAGGGAGAGGCTGAGATTACCAAAACGTCAAAGTTACAACAGGATGAACGAGAACTATGACAAAATTCGTCAGGGTGAACAAAACATGACTTTGTCCTTAAGTCATTTGACCTGCAGACAGCGTGCATGTGACTCAGACAGGAAACAGTTGTCCTGAGTTTCTTTACATGTTTGATCAGCTTGATTATAAATCAGAGCCAGTGAAGGATGTTCAGACCTGGAAGCAGCTTCAAAACTAACAGATACTGTGGACTGACCCTGAGTCAGGTTTTATTTACCAATTCACTAGTGTGTGTGTGTGTGTGTGTGTGTGTTGAATGATGAAACATAGTTTGACTCAGAGTTTTTTTGTTTTTTTTAATCGCAGATCATCAGAATTGAGAAATAAGCAAATGAAACAATCACATGTTCACAAGTTTTTATTCAGTATTTCCATGACAGGGTCATTTCAGTCAAACTTTACTCACCTTAAAATAAGTTTTTCTGGTTTTCACCTCAGAGGGGGGACTCAGCGTCTTACACACCCCAATGTCAGGTGACCAAATATAACTCTCGGTTTAAGTCTCTTCTTTTGCCATGGTTTTTAGAGAGGTAATGTTTTAATCCCCAGAATCCAAATTCAGACTGTTGTAGCTGCAAACAATGCTGCTTTGTCTGAGAAATTATGTAACCTGAGCTCTTAAGTCAGAAAAATTAATCACATATTGTGTTGAATGCTAACCTAAGCTCCAGGATATATTTGTGGTTTTACAGTTTGATCCTGTTGACTCATTCAGGACAGGTTTGAGAAAGAGATGAGTTTCTGACCTTTTCTTTCTCCCTGATCTTTACTTTTCTCTAACTGTAGTCAGGACTGCATCAGTCCAGTTCCTCAGCAGGACTTTCCCTACAGAGCCATGTTGTTGTAGTCCCTGTGTCAAAATGTGGTTTGGGATCTTATGAAGGTCTTCCCTGAAAAAGTCTTTGTGTGGATGGCGGTAGATATTGCTCAGAAACCTGTAGATATTGTTTAAAACTGAGGATGCAGCATCAATGATTTCCAGTTCTTCTTTGACTCCAATTACAGAGTCCTGATTCTCCTAACCCCTGTAGATATTGTCCAGGATTTCCAATAATGTCGGAGTTTGATCCATCAGACCTCAGGACAGTTCTCCTCGTGGGCTCAGATCTAGTCTTTCTAGATCCTGTCTCCATCAGGTCACATCTTTACATGGTTCAGTCTGACCTCATTTGTCTGACCTCTAACAACTGTTTACCTGTTTTGTCCTCAAAGTCTTAAGTTATGTTTCTGACATGTATACATTTTTTATTTTAAATTGTATTCTTTTTGATAAGTCTTTCTGAAAACAATCTAAAGAAATTTAAGATTAATCTCTTGTCTTTATTCAGTTTATCAGGTGAACTGTGCAGTAACAACTCCAGGGCAGTTGTGTGTGTGTGTGTGTGTGTGTGTGTGTGTGTGTGTGTGTGTGTGTGTGTGTGTGTGTGTGTCAAAATTCACAAAATTACACACCAAGGCATCTATACAAGAGGTCAGGTCAGGAGTTCCTGCTTTTATTTCTTATTCTCAGATGTTATTTTTTTATGCACATGCCTGTAAAAAACACCAACTCTCATACACACACACGCGCACACACACACACACACACACACACACACTCACTCACTCACACACACACACACACACACACACACACACACACACACACACACACACACACACACACACACACACACACACACACACACACACACACACACACACACACACACACACACTAACTGTCTGCATGAATCAGGTCTATGGTTTTCTGCAGGTTGTGGTCAATGGCCCCCTCTAAGAACTGAACCCAGGTCAGCTGTGACTCTCCGCACACATGACTGCACCTGAAAATAGAGAGGATAGAGATTTGACTCTAACCATAATTACAGCTCAGTGAACCTTCATGACTCACACAGACAGGAATTTACCTGCAGGTGAGCTGATAAGGTTCACACACACCCACCCTTTTCTCAAACCTCAAACACACCCAGATATGAAGACACTGCTCTGACCTGCAGCACTGATTCCAGGGAACTCTACCTGCAACGTCAGCTCTGACAGTCGCTGATACTTTGTATTATCACTGTGAAAAAGAAGATCTCTGCACAAACAGAAGAGCGTCCCGAACCATCGCACAGGTTTTAAATGAAGTAGTTTGATACTCAGATTGAATAAACCCAAGGCTAAGATTAAACTACATGAGCGTTTAACTACATAAGAGCTGTGACCCACCTGACCCACAGACACACCAGCAATGACCAAACTTCTCCTCCTTACCTCAGCAACAAGATCTCAGTTTAAGTTTGTGTTATTTAAGAACAATGTGTTTGAGTTCACTTCATACCTGATTATCTCCAAAACTTTCTTCAGCAGTGCCGCCAGTTTAGCCACCTGTAAAGAAATACGGATACTTATTAGACTTTTTTTTTTTTTTTAAGTATTTATCATAATAAATTAAAAGATAAAACTGATATGAAACAACACAAAGACAAAATACCTGGCATACATTTCTGTTTAATCAACTTTAGGTGAATCGAGCTAACAGCATTTGGCTGCTAACAGGTCGCATCAGTGTTGCCAACATAGCAATTTTTCAGACCCCCCTAGCCACTTATTTTCAAAAAAGCACATAGCAACAAATCTAGCGACTTTTTCTGGAGTTTAGAGACTCTGACATGAAAGCAGGTATCAATGTTACTCTTCTCAATGGGTAACAGATGTGCATCGAAAAAAAACCCCACACACACATACAGACACCCTAGAAAGACTCCCCCTCTGCTGGCGGGGGTGACTGAAAAATTATGCAAATTAGGTGATGCTGTCATCTCGCGACTTCTAGGACAGCCACCAGCGACTTTCCTTACTGAGGCATTGGCAACACTGGGTCACGTTATTTTGCATGTTATATCTGTAGACGTCGTAGTTAATTGGTAGCATTGAACGCAGCTTTACTGCTTTTTCTCTGTCCAAATATCCTGCTGCAGGAACTCCAAGTGGCTGTCGGACTCTCTGTGTTTGTTACTGCTGTCTGCTAAATATGTCAGGTTAACTTCAGAAAGATTGATCATATATTTCTGTGATTTATACAAACCTCAACCTTTGAATCGTGTGTGTGTGTGTGTGTGTGTTATTGTCTTACGTTGCTCTCCACTCCAATGTAGTCCATTGGAGGGTAAAGACAAAGAGCCAGATCATCCACACTGAGGAGAAGACAAGAGAAGTTCAGACATGAGATAAAAACGAATGCTACGTTTTAAAGTGCAGGATCATCAAATGAGTTAAGGGGTAAAACATATTCAACGTGTGTGTGTGAGTTTGTACCCTGGGCTGATCTCCTTGCTGATGTCACCCAGGTCATCGAGTTGAGCAAGTTTCTGCGGCGTGCTGATGTCACCGTTACTCCTGACAGCAGACATCAGTTTCCTCAGACACGCCGCCGATGCCTTCATCAGCCCATGACACTGACCAATCACACGCCGGTCCTTCTCAGACCAGTACGTGTCCTGGTTTCCTCGAGGCTCGTCTCCTCCCTGTTCGTCCTCAAGGACATCACTGAACGGGTCTTGAACCTCCGCTAAGGCCTGAGACATGATCCACAAACATTTCTGACTTCAATGCCTTTATTATTTTAAATGTTATTTTACTAAATTTACCAACATTGTTTTGTTTTCTTCTTTATTCTCATAAATTTCCAAATTTGTTTTGGGTACAGGAAACAAAAAAAACTAAACTAATCTGTGAATTCAGATATTATTCAATCAGCCTTCATTTAAAAACATCATGCTTCAGTTTGCAGAGGAGGTAAAGGATTTCAGGTTGTGATTTTACTTTAAGTGTTTGGACAAAAATCTGATGAATTCATGGAGCAAAGTTTGTTAAAGTCAATATTAAAGAATAATCAGAGATCAATATTAGAAGTATTGATTTCTGTTAGAGGAACCGTAACTCTCAAGGTAACAACAGTCAGTCTAGATCATGTCCACGGAGGTGTGTGTACCTGTTCAATTTCCTCCAGGGCGTCTTTCACAACTCCAGACTGATCCGACAGAACCACCAGCACGGCAGCTTTATTATCTGTCAGACAGAAACACAAACACATTTAACCATTATTTTTTCCTGCAGTTTAAAATTGCAGAAATATATCTCTTCAATTTCAAATACGGATTTACTGAATCACAGAGGCCGAGTAACTTCAGAGGGAGCTTAACAACCTGTGACCTGATTTGTCCTTAATATGACACCACTAAATACGAACGTGCAGATCATTATCAACACCTGCAGGCAGAGGCTTGTACCCTCACGCTGCTGCCACTGATCTACAGTTGACAGGTAGATGAGCAACGGGAGCAGCTATTTTTATTCCATAATACAGTCAAATTTACTGACCTCGTGGTAACTGGGCAAACTGGTCGCAGGCCGACCACACACCTCCTGTTGATGTCAGCTGTTCCTGGGTCAGACTGGAGGTGATAGTATAGAGAGGAAGAGGTAATAAGGTGACAAGGAAGCAAAGAAGGAGGTAAAGGAAGTAAAGGCAGTGAGGACAAACATTGTTCTCCGTTAAACCATAAGGAGTGTAAACAACACGAACCACTTCTTATAGCCAAGGGCCTGATTTCAGCGCTGCTTTGGCTATTTTAATATGATTCTGAGTCCATGCAGTGATTCCAACTCCAGAGTCCTGTCTGTTTTTAATGCCCTGAAGATCAGAACCATCCAGTCCTTGTTTTGGTCCTTGTCCCTTCAGTACAGAGATTTCTCCAGATCCTCTGAATCTTTGAATGGTATTAACTACTGTAGATGATGAAATCCACTCAGGAACTTTATTCTGAAACTGATGAACTGTTAGTTCACGCAGTCTCTCACTAACAATCATTCAATGTGTTATTGGATATGTTATCTTTTTACTATTTTCAGTTAAGCCTTGAGTTGTTTTTCAAACCATCACATTACGTTTTATTTAACGCACCATCCTGACTCTCATGTTTGGTTGTATGTCGCCTCCATGTTTGTGTTTGGATGTACCTCTGTTGCGGTGACCTCAGTATGACCTCCAGAAGCTGTGAGACTCCCTCCAAAACCTCCACAGTGGCATCCCTAATCTGTCGACGCAGACTGATACCTGAGACACAAAGAGGAGATCTACAGAGTCAGAGGTGGGATGGAGGTTCTGAACAGCTGGTGTGGACCTCCATGTTTCCGACGGTATATTACCTTGGCTCTTAGGCAGCCAGTAGTACACAGTGGAAAGAGTCAGTACACTCTTCATCATGGAGTCTGATAACTTCTCGGCATCCTGCAGCTCAGACAGACAGAAATTACTCAATATAACTCCACTTGAAGATCTTGTGGATTTATGAAGTCCATTCAGGACCTGTGTGTTTAGTTTGCATTAATAAACCGTTGCCTTTAATGAGCATGTTTAATAAAAAGATCCTATCTGACCTGTTGTGAAGGTAGCGGTGGTTTGGAGAAAGCCAGGCTGAGTTTTGTACCTTCCTGACTCACAGCCTTTACTGCCTGATCTGAGGACAAAGACAAAAACACACCATCATGTAAAACACCAGAATACAGACCCTTTTTTTATTTTTTATTTTTTTAATATTTCATTTTATAGTCTTTGGATTTGTTTATGTTTAAATCTGGGACATGATGGGCTTTTTTTAATTACAGGGTTTGCCTTTATTTTGTTGAAATTATTCAGTTGTTAAAGGAAATCTTTATTTATTGGAAGCTAAAGCTGTGTCAGTCGAGTTTCCCAATAATTCAAGAGCCAAGAAATGTATTTATAACATAAAAGCTGTAATAGTCCACAAAAGATTGATGAATCCAGATGGACATTAAAAAATTATCAACTGAGAAAGAAAATAAACAAAAAAAGGTAAGTATAACAGTGGTTTCACAGACGATACTCAACTCAGGGTGTCCCAGAAGTTGGAGAGGTTGAACGCTCCGTCAGACTCATTGGACTCTCCATCTGTGGTGGGAAATAAAAGCTTTATGAGGCAGAATTGCTGGGTTACATTAAAAGACTAAGACTGAGTTTAAATGTCAAAGTGATGGAGGATAAAACTACTTTCAATAACTTTAAATGTGGTTTTTGCAAAGAACTGTGGGTCAAGTTTCCTCCTCCTCTTTTATGGAGGATGGTCCAGGGAAGTAAAGAAGCTCCTTTCTTATCATTTGGAGAGTTTGAACAGCTCTTGTCGGAGCTGAATTGTGAGCGTTATTTGACTTCTGTATGATACAAAACTAAGTTTGATGTTAGTGTAATTGTAATTTTGGACACTAGGTGGAGCACGAAGCATTCATAAAGCTGAGGACCCTGGTACCTGGCAGTTCTCAGGTATAAAAGTAAAGCATTGTGTTGAGGGCAGCCTATACTGGAAGAACTTAGGCTGAACTGAGTCCTGTTCGACCCACAGAGGTTAAGTTAAAGCTCTAGTTCAACTCATAATAGATCATTTTTGACCGGGTAAAACTCAGTATAGAATTCTAAACTGCCATGAAACAGACCCAAAGTCACATTTACACCTCTATAAACGTTATACAGAATCAGAGGATTAAATTATGTGACTTCTACAACCCTGTTATGCGACATTATTCATCAGGGCAGTTCATTAGACTTAAACAGGATTCATGACGATCTGACAGCTCAATATCCAGCAAACACACAGCTGTTAAACTGCGTCAAATGCTGCAAACAGTTACGGCTACAAATCAAATCAATTTTTATATGACGAAAAAACCCTGATCGTAAGACAAGACAACGGTATAACAAACGGTGAACCTTGGACTGTTACATACGTTAGAATGCTAACAGCTAGCTGGCCCATCTTACCTGCTGCGTCATAACTAAATAAAGGTGTTCCATTTACCTCTGACTCTGTCTCTTATACACTGGATGGAGTTCAGGAGATTCCGTAAAGGCACGGACACATTTTCATCACAGTTTTCAGCGCTCATTTCACCACCAGAGTGTTTTTCGACAGCTGACTCAGTGAGCTATATGTGTGTTGTGGAACTGACAGAGTTAAACAGGGGACGATTAAAAAAGTAACACAGAAGGTAGATCCGGAAAAAGACGCTCTACTGACGCCCTGCGGTGAAAGGTGTGTACTGCAAAGAAACATGACCGTCACAGAAAAAGAGATTCAAGTGACACGTTTGAGCACGAGTCATCTATTTGTCTATTTTTTTTTTAAAAGAATTATAAAAAACAAATAAAAATGAAGATGGTCAAAAAATACATTTTAAAGAGTTTCCCTATACAAATGCTTCTTTTGCTGGCCTAAATTTTATTAATTTTTAATTATTTATTTGCAGTTTTTTGTTTGTTTTTTGCATGAATCCTATTTAGTAGTGATGGCGAGATGAAGATTCATGAAGCATCGAAGCTTTCCATCCAATTACTCGACTCCTGGGCCGAAGCTTAATGATCGTGCTTCATTTGCTCTACTGCGCCATCAAGTGGACAATAAATGTAAAATAGGCAGAGTGATAAACCAAAGACACCCTGAGGCTTTGGTGCGCGAAGCTTTGAATTCAATGAATGAATGGATGTGATGCCATGTGTTTGTGATAACATACAGAAATGATGAAGTTATTAATATGGTGTTTGTCTTTAAGACACAGTTTCAGTGTCAAAAAGGGGAAGAGGACATAAATTACGGAGAGGGTTGTGGTGTGGATGTGCTAGTGTTACTTAGTTTGTTGTTCGTACTTTTGTTACGGGGACAACATATAAAACATAAACATTTAATTTATATTTATTTATTTATTTATATTTAAAAACAACTTTTCAACAAGTCTTGAGTCTATGGATTGTGAGTGGGGGAGGACTCCATTGCGTTTCGATGCCTGTTAAATCGTCCACCAAACCCGTGAACCATTTCTTGAATCAGTCACGTGGTACAGCCGGGTAGCGAGGCTTCGGACGTCATCATTTTTGGCTCCACCCCTACATGAAGCAAGCCTCGATACGCGCTTCGCGGAAACGCCCCCTTCATTACTCGACACACGCTTCGAAGCCTCAGCACTGAAGGACACATCACTACTATTTAGAAACAAAGTGCACTCTAAGGCAATGCTCTGGCTGCAAACTGTAAATGCTATACTAAACACATGATTTCATATGTTAAAGGGATATTCTGGCGTAAGATTACCCTACACCGAATTAGACACTCTGTCAAGAGATGAATGTTACCGACCACTTGCTTCTCTAGTTACACCAAGTTTAGAAACGACCGTACGATAGCAATACAAAGAGCCACACGCTCAACCAAAAAGCCACTCTATAGCCACAAATAATGCTCAGAGCAGCACCTTACTTCATCAACAGTACATATAGGGTCCCAGCCTTAGTACTAGCCACTGAACATCTTTTTAGATTTTCTAGCTGCTACTGTGTTACAGTGTGTTTGACCATAAGTTAATTTTACGCCGGAATATCCAATTAAAGGTGGGGTAGGCAGGACCTGACGGAGAGCCAGTTTTTGGTAGAAATCTTAAAAAAACTCTACCCCTCCCAACTAGTTTTCCCTTCAGCTCCTTCTCTCCCCTCCCTCTCTGCTCCAGCAAGACCCGCCCACAAACAGATTGCTCCTACTCGCTCGTATAGTTTCAAATAAATTCAGATATAATGCAGATAAATACTTAAGATAATTACAAATGGGGCCCAGTTAACGTGAAAGTAAAAAGCATTGGTGCTACTGTAGATCAGTGGCGGCTGGTGAGAAAAATAATAAGTGGGCTGAAGGTTTGGAAAACAGAGCCCTGTAGGGGGATCCTCCCCCGTGAGACTTTTTTTTTGTTTTCAAAAGGTAAATGAAGCATTTTGGTGCTTTCTAAGAAAAAAAAAAAGGAAACATACGATGTTGACCTACAAAGACAAATGGGGTGGGGATACTATATTTCATCTTATTAATAGGGCATTATAGCAGACACACAGCCTTCCTACATTCAATGTAATCCTATGATATAGAAACTGACAGTAGCATACTCTTACTCGTGTACATCCACCTGCATCTCAACAGGTTAGGCTACAGCAAAGGAACACACAAAGACAACAGCAGAAAAATAGTGAAGAGCAGACCCACATTTATAACAAATCAGGCTGCATATCAAAGTGATCAGCCATGGAAAACAACACAAACATTTGCCCTAAATACAGAACAATTTTATTACATTTGATATTTCAGTTGAACTGAATTGAAACTGGGTGAACAAATACAGGGTTCCCACTCTTTTATAGAAATCATTTTTCAGGACTTTTCCAGGATGTTTTCATCCTGCCTTAAAAATCATTTATTTCTAACATAGTGGCATAAACATTGTCTGTTAGCTTTCTTTTTAGTCTGGCTTTTATGGAGGATCTCACTATAATACATGTATGGTTTATATTAGGTTTTAATCTTTATATACTCTACTTTTCTACAAACAGATTTTGCTGATTGACTGTTTCAGTAGCCGAAATTATATTTTGTCAGCTTTATGATTTCTTTTTGTCACCATTAATTTACACGGGAAACAGAAAAGAGCCTTACTCTTCGGACTTACAGTTAGCCATGCTTTGCGCCTATACCATGCTCTTGAAAATGTCAGCGTATATTGTCTGCTCTTCTCGGTGGTCACTTGCTGAGCGCAGAGTTCTCTTCCTAAACGGGACCTACTTGATGGACAGCGCAGCATTCTCCGGTAAATCAGTCGATAGGGGGGTTGTGGTAGTCATTCCCACGTCCTCTGTCATTAGCAGCCAAGTGCAGAGTGAGGGGCGGAACGGCTCCGAGTAGAGCAGCTAGCTACGTCAGACGCACATTGTAACTATGCGTCGGTTTGTGGCCAATCTGGTTATGAATGTGCTTACGTCATTCAAATTAGGGGCGCTCGTCCCTGGCGCCCCTTCAGGATTCTTTTTATGTGGCTAGGATAAGCTAACTTTTTAATGCAGAACTGTGATCTGAGCATGCGTGAGGGAGCAGAAAGCTTGGGCGCTGGCCCGTAGCGCCCCTAACGCTAATGCACAACTTTGATCTGAGCATGCAGGAGACAACAAACGTTCCGAGTCCGCCCTGGCACTGGGTGGAGAGATCGCTAAAAGACTGAAATACACATTTAATGGAATGATTAACATAATGGTGCCATTTCCTTACTTTGAGAATAATTTTCAGGGAGACAGCAGACATCTCTTTTTGCTAACGCAGCTCAGGCGGGGCTCCGCCGGCAGTGCCCTTATATACCGGCCGCCACTGCTGTAGATGCCAACAGACTTTCAGCAAACACAATGTTTGCAGGACTTCTACAACTAGGATAAAGTGACATAGTCCAGGACCTGAGGTTAACAGTTTAGTGGCACTACAACAAGCAGCTGGTCATTATGTCTTTATTTTAAAATTTCACATAAAGCAACAAATTGGCCCAAACTGCAAGTTGTAAAATGTAGAACTCTTCTCATGGCTTACTTGTCAGCCCACCAGGGTGTCTCATTCAATTGTTTGGGAATCATTGATTTTGAAGGACATCAAACCATCAGTTGTAATATCAATCATGTGTTTGAAAAGTAAACACTGTGAATGTTGTCAATATGTCCAACTTTTTGTAAAGGTCCTTGCTTTGACAGGTCAGCAGAGTGGTCCCCACTTAGATACAAGAACAAGAGCACACACACACTCATTGAAAAATCAAGCAGTCTAGACATTGTGAAAAAACCTAATGAATGTTTTTCATATTGTTGAGCTGCAGTTCCTCTGAGGAGTTTGTTAGAATCTTGGTGTTTCTTTACCTCTTCCTCTTCCTCTCCTCCCTTCCTTCCCCCATCTCCTCCCTTTCTCCCTCCTTCAAACAGCTCATTTTAAGTCGCAGACAGATTTTCCTCCCCATCACTTGAAGGATTTAAGGAGTGGAAAAGAAAAGGAAATTATTTTATTACCTCTTTCACTCCCTCTCTCATTTGTCTCATTTGCCTCTTTGTCTCCTCTTTTCTTAATCTGTCCATCCCCCCCTTTCTCTCTCTCTCTCTCTCTCTCTCTCTCTCTCTCTCCCTCTCTCTCTCTCAGGTGAGATCTGTGTGGGGAGTTTCTGTCTAGACAACCGATTATACCAAATAATGAGGCAGGGGGAGGGAGGGATGGAGGGAGGGCTAGACAGAGCATGAAGGGAGAGAAAGAGGCACAGGGAGGGAGGATGTGATGCAGACCGAAAAGATGGATGATGTCAGAGAAGAAGAGAAAGAGAAATGTAAAGGAGAGGCAGAAAGGAGTGAAAAGATAAGCAAAGGATCAGACGTGACAGAAGAATGTATGGAGTGAATGGCAGGGAAGAGAAAAGAAAAGAAATAAGGATGAAAATGAAGAAAAAAGGAGGAGAGAAAACAGAATTACCACAGAGACCAAACAAAACCTGATAATGGAGCAGAAAGCTGTCGGTTTTTCCTCACAGGGGTCTTTTTCAAACATCTCAACCAGCTTTTAGTATTTTTTACTTTCAGCACATTTGATAAAACACTTTTTTAACATGATCTGAAGCTCACAGAGGAAGTTCAGGGTGCAGAGGGGTGAGTCAGGCACAGCTGCTGCTGTAAGTTCACAGGGTCAAACAAAGAAATTCACAGAATCGTGTTAAAAGGAAGTTTTAGTTTGTTAAAATCCATTTAAATCTTTTACACTTTCAGGAAAAAGGAGCAAAAGATAATTAAGGAAAAAAAGATAGACACAAACAAAGAGATTACAGAAAAAGAAAGGGAAAAGGAAAAAAGCCAAACATCCAAACAGAAAGATAAACAAAGAAACCTCAGAAAAGTCTGAAAGAGAGAAAAAAGAGGGAAAAGACAATAATCAGAAAGACAGAAAATAATGAAGAATTAGAATTACACACACACACACACACACACACACACACACACACACACACATAGAGTCTAAACTCTGCTGAGCCAGAACAGCATCTCAGTCTCATCTGCTGTGTCAGGAAACCCTATCAGACACACAGGCTTTACTGTGTGTGTGTGTGTGTGTGTGTGTGTGTGTGTGTGTGTGTGTGTGTGTG